CGTTGGGTAGGTCAGGACCCCAAATGCATGTTGTGCTGTGACTTTTGGTGGGTCAAAGCAATGGCACTGTCGCAATTTTCTTTTTATTGCTTAGCTTTAAAATACAGACACACTGTTGGGCTGGAAAGCAAGAAAGGAGCTTCCGTTTTCCTCTAAAAGTTCTTCCCTCTAATAGTAGCTGAGGAAATTTCAAGCAGTACAGCTTTTCCCATTCCTGATTGGTAATACTGAATCTGAGTTTTTTCTTCTACAACACTGCTGAAATTGAAGAAGTCCTTTGTAGCTGGTCATTTTAGAGGAGGAAATGGTTGTATGCAAACACATAATTGAAATTGGGTACCACACAGGTTGAGATTCCTAGTGATAAGGTTTTGATAATGTTAAAGGCTTCATACACATCATATATGTAAAGCACATTTAGAGTGCATTCTGCCCCCCAACAGAATCCTGGGAACTGTAGTTTGTTAAGGGTGCTTGGAACTGTAGCTCTGAAAGGGGCAAAGTACAACTCCCATGATTCTTTTGGGGGTGCTTTTTTAAAAAAAGTTTTTAAATTCAAAATTAAACAAGACATATTATCCAAAAACATATCATCCTTGTTTTCCCCCCATTTTTCCTCCCTCCCCCACCCTCCCCCACAAAACCCACCCACCCCCACCCCCGACTTCCCTCAGTTCCAGTCTTTGGTTTCTCTGAGACTGCTGTTTTCTGCATGTTACAAAGTTGTATGGATCCTCAAACTATTTAGCTGATTATTATCAATAAAAAGTTTGTGAACGTTTATTCAAAACCCGTCAAGGAGTCCAGTTGACTTTGTTGTGTCTTCAGATACTTTGTAAAGGGTTCCCATTCATCTTTAAAGTCACAGTTATCCTTATATGTCAGTTTTGCCAGTTCTGCATAGTCCGTCAATTTTTCTTGTCATGATTCTTTAGGTGGGGTTTCTTCAGTCTTCCATCCTTGTGCTACCAGAACTCTCGCAGCCGTTGTCGCATACATGAAGATGTTTTTCAGTTTTTTTGGCAGGTCTTTCCCTACAATCCCCAACAAAAATGCCTCAGGTTTTTTAACAAATGTTTTGGGGGTGCTTTAAATGTATGGTGTGTATGTTTAGGCTACACTTCAAAACTTACGCAAAATTCCAACACTTTCACCTGGCGTGGGATAAGATGGGATCAAGATACCAAGCTTGTAGTCCTCATGACTGATGCCACTAGAGAGAATCGGATTCTGCGACTTTTACTCATTAACCCAGCCTGTAAACCCATGTTCACACATTCACCATGGCAAAAAAATTCCCTGATGCCAGCATCCTGCTTTTAATCCACTCCCGTCTACCAACCCTGTCAGCATCGGCTGATCTAAGCAGCGCAACAGTCCCTGGTGTGTCTTCCATCTTAGAGAGCCTGCCTATGTTATTAGCATCTTAACGCCTGCCATGATTTAGCTACCCCACCCCAAACCCGGCAATAAAACCTACCACAACCTTGTTTAATTTGTGGAAGTCCCAGAGTTGACAATGGTACGGTTTCGTGGTTGCGCGTGTCAGTAGCCTAACTGTAAACATGTGCGGCAGAATTCCTACAAGCATTTTTAGGGATTTCCCCATGAGCAAAGGAAAATGTAGGAAAATGCAAGCGGGAAGGTGGGAATCTCAGGTACCATATATCCTAACATCATTACACTTAGGAGTTCTGATATGCCTCTGAAATGCAAGGCAACATCACCCCTAACCTCCTCTCTTAATGTTTTATAAGTGCGGTATGTTTCCCATTATATGTATTGTATGGTGAGTTTATACCCCTGTTTTACAAGCAGTCTGCTTTCGTTTGTGAGGGGAGGCGAGGGCCCAGCGTCTTATCCAGAGTGGTCCACTATCCAACCCCAGTGGCTGTTTTCCTCCCACCCGGTGCTACTTGAAATGTCTGCGAGGAGAAACAGGAACAACACAGAGCAGGGAGAGAGAAGAGAATGGAGAAGAAAAAGTCCCGCGAGCACATCTGTGCTTTTGATTGCCCCCATCTTTCTTTTGCCCATCTCCTACACCGAAACATCAGCTGGCTGCCACCTGACGGCAAGCTGCTGTGGCAATACAGTTCCCCTCACAGGTGGGGCAACTCAAAAACTCCCTGTTGAGGCATATCCACGGGCATGGGGAACTTGGGACCACACTAGACCTGAGGTAAATTGTGTGACTCTAAAGTAAACAGCAGGCTGAGGGGAAGCCACCCTGTGAGGAGAAGGGTTTCACTCTTTCCCTCCCTGCCACAGCCCGGACAAAAATCCCTCCACCCCACTGCTTGCTTTTCTAGGGAAGCCTCCATTGGTGCCAATGGGCGCTTTCCTGGAAATGCAGACAGCAGCAGCAGAAGAAGAGTTTGGATTTGATACCCCACTTTATCACTACCCTAAGGAGTCTCAAAGCGGCTAACATTCCCCTTTCCCTTCCTCCTCCACAACAAACACTCTGTGAGGTGCGTGGGGCTGAGAGACTTCAGAGAAGTGTGACTGGCCCAAGGTCACCCAGCAGCTGCATGTGGAGGAGCGGAGACGCGAACCCAGTTCACCAGATTACGAGTCTACCGCTCTTAACCACTACACCACACTTGAGGCTGTGTGCAAGGAGGGAAAGAGTTAAATCCGCCTCCCCACGGGATAGATGGGTAGCTTCCCCTCCACTGCTATTTACACAAGAGAAGCATTTATTCCAGTGCCCAAACATTTATCACCTGCACAAGCAGAGCAGATCACAAAGGCAACATCCATCCGTTGTATGTCCCACCAGCACCCAGTATTCAGAGGTATATTCCTTGTAAACATGCAGGCTCCATTTAACTACCATCACACCAAGAACCACCGATAGACCTATTTCTCATGAATTTGCCTGATAATGTGCATTGTTGTTTTTTTACCAGTTTAGTGAGTCGCTGTCTCTGCATTCTCCAGTTCTCTATGCATTATGTGAAATAGTATGTCCTTTTCTCTGTTCTGATCCTGCTGCCAATCATATTCATTGGGTCCATCTAATATGAGAAAAAGCCTTATTTGCTCTCTTGGTCCCATTTGTAATGATATAAACCTTTCTCCCCACCAAACCATAAAGTAACTAGACATTTTAGCCTTTCTTTTTTTAATACAAAAGGTGTGCCAGCCCCTTGATCATTTCAGTTGCTCCTTTTTCTGTTCTGCTAAACATCGTTGCTGAGATAGGTCAACCAGAGAGCTGTATACAGTAATCTATATGAACATGCATTGTAGATTTATATAAAAGCATTACCAATAGCGGCAGTTTCATTTTCAATCTCTTTCCCTATCATTCCCAACAATTGCCTTTTTTTTTTACTGAACACTTGAATTGCTGTTTGCACTGAGATATCCACTATCCTAAAACTTCTTTCTTTATATCAGATTCAGTTTCTGGTTATTAATATTATTATTATTAATTTTGTGTAGCACTTCACTCTTCCTTCTAGCTAATCTCGTCTGCCATGCTGTTGTCCATTCATTCAGAATAGAATAATCCTTGGGAGTTTTCCATAGTCTGCTTTGGATTTCAGCATCCTGCATAATTTAGTGTCGTCTGCAGATCTATCTCACCGCTCCCCTCTGACACCAGATCATTTATGACAAAGACAGACAACCTGTGACCCTTCATATGTTACTGGACTCCAACTCCCATCAGCCACAGCCAGCATGACCCATGGTTCTGGATAATGTGAGTTATAGTGCAACAACATTTGGAGGGCCACTGGTTTGCTGTTCTAGGAACAGTGTTGGAAATTAGACAGGCGCCAGGCATTTTGACCTATCGGCCACATTTTTAATAATCTGTGCCATCATTAAAAAGAAAGGTCAGAATAGGCCAATATATATGTAAACCGTCCCAAGATCAAGTGACTTTTCTTCTTTAAGTTCTCAAAGTTCTTAACCTAGCTCATGGTTGTCATCCGAACTAGCCAGATGTTTAACTGAGAATTAATCACAGCAACTAAATGTTCCATTTTTGTGATTGTAACCTTGGTTTACGGAGCCATTTGTTGTTGTTGTTTAGTCGTTTAGTCGTGTCCGACTCTTCGTGACCCCATGGACCAGAGCACGCCAGGCACTCCTGTCTTCCACTGCCTCCCGCAGTTTGGTCAAACTCATGCTGGTAGCTTCGAGAACACTGTCCAACCATCTCATCCTCTGTCGTCCCTTTCTCCTTGTGCCCTCCATCTTTCCCAACATCAGGGTCTTTTCCAGAGAGTCTTCTCTTCTCATGAGGTGGCCAAAGTATTGGAGCCTCAGCTTCACGATATGTCCTTCCAGTGAGCACTCAGGGCTGATTTCCTTCAGAATGGAGAGGTTTGATCTTCTTGCAGTCCATGGGACTCTCAAGAGTCTCCTCCAGCACCATAATTCAAAAACATCAATTCTTCGGCAATCAGCCGAGGTCAGAATAGGCCAATATATATGTAGACTGTCCCTGGATCAAGTGACTTTTCTTCTTTAAGTTCTCAAAGTTCTTAACCTAGCTCAAGGTTGTCATCCGAACTAGCCAGATGTTTAACTGAGAATCAATCACAGCAACTAAATATTCCATTTTTGTGATTGTAACCTTGGTTTAAGGAGCCATTTAGCAATACGCTTATATATCGTGAGTTTCTATCACTGTCTAGATATATGAATATGTTGTCTAGCACCATTCAGAAATACTGATCTCTGGAACACCCCGCTGCTTCCTTCCCTCTGTTGTAAAATAAAGAAATGACCATTCCTTACTGTCTGCTTTCACTATGCTAATCAGTTGCCAATCCTCTTGTCCCAACATTGTTTAATTTCCTTGAGTTATTTCTCAAACATTTCTTTTTTGGAAATCCAGGTTATACGTCAACTGAATGGTCTCTGTCTACATCAGGGATGGGGAACCCTGATGCTCGACTCGAACTCCCATCGGCTGCAGCCAGCATCCCAGGATAACAGGAGCTGCACTTAAGCAACCAGAGTTGAACATTGGCAGAAGGGTCATGGCTCAGTGGCAGAACATCTGCTTTGCATGCAAAAGGTCCCGGGTTCAATCCCTGGCAACTCCAGGCAGGAGTGGGAGAAAACTCTGTCTAAAGCCTAGAAAGCCACCGCCAGTCAGTGTAGACATTATCAAGGCATATGGGCCAGGGGTCTGGCTCAGTATAAGGCAGGTTCCTAAGTTCCTAACATGTGGAGAGCCACAGGTTCCTCACTCCTTGGACCATAAGAAGCTGCGTTATACGGAATTAGACCACTGGACAATCTAAGCTCAGTAGCACCTGCACTGGCTAACAGCATCTCTCTAAGGCTTCAGACAGGTGTCTTTCCCATCCTTACCTGAAGATGCCAGAGGTGGGACCTGGGATGTTCTGCAGTGCTGTCAATTGAGCTGGGATTGGTTAGTTTGACAGATCTGTAATTTCATCATCATCATCATCATTAATTACATTTGTATACTGCTCTTCGTCTGGTGATCACAGTGTGATTCACAACATAAAAATACAAAATCCCCATAAAAAAAATAATCATGTTACATTGTTAGTCTTCTGATACTCAGATGAAGGGGCCAATTGTATCTAGGTTGAATATTTCTGTTTAAAATTCCATCATTTAAATTTTCTTAAATGTTTATGAGTTTCATTTAGTGGGGAATTATGCATCCCTATGGATCCATGTGTGCAGGTGAGCAACAAAAATAAATGTCTGGATGCCTGGATTCAAAATGTGGGGCTTGCATACAGAGAGCGTCAGTAGCAGATTATTAAACTCAAAAAATGTTGAACAGCAATAGAACATTAGGAAAACAACAACAACATTTTTAACAGAATACTAAATACAAGATAAAACATCAGACGTTAAAAACTTCCCTAAACAGGACTGCCTTCAGATGCCTGAATATATGTTGTTAGACCTTTTTATACCATTTACAATGCTCCCATCTTTCTACCCCTAGTGAAAGGAACAGACCACACAGTTTAAAATGTTTTCCTTACAGATTAACAGGTCTGATACATGTGTTGTTCCATGCAGCTTCAAGGAGAAACACAGGCAGAACACTGTTGGGTCGCAAATACAGAATATATTTCCAAACACATGCTGTAAACTCAGGCACAAGCTTACACATGCCTTTCTTCGTTACATGATGCACAGAGAGATGGAGAAAGGAAGTAGAAAGTCTTCACTTCCTCCCTCTCCAGAGGAGAGTGGATGTGACCTAGCGGAGTCTATGTAGCAATACAACTCTCTGGTCCTTTACCCCCTTCATGCACAAAATAACCCTATGCTTGCTAGTTGTATTTGACTGCAATCTCCCACACGTTTTTCTGAACTCTCTAGGAATGGCATATGGCTCTAATTAAGCTCGTAATTTGGCAGTTAGCTCTAAAACATCCTCTTTTATCACAAATTTTTTTCATACTGCTCTTCAGAACACTCCCACCCACAGAGCATTTTCCCCTTCAACGTTTTCCATTAATTCGAACAATTAATCTAGCCTCTCCGCAATCCTATCCTGCATCGGGTTAATTGACCTGGTTAATTGATCTAAAAGATCAAGACCCCCCTACTTTAAAAGTTTGGTTTTATCAGTTGTTTTAGAAAAGAACACATAATAACTTTGGAAAAAGAACTGTCGGGTACAGACATTTTGGAGACTTAGCCGGAGCTAAGAACTCTTAAAAAAAAAAAAGTCAAGCTGGAGAGTAAAATATCTCATCATTCCCTCTGCTCAGTGGTGGCTGGTAAATGCTGGAGCTTGTATGGTGGTGAGCAGTTAGGAGGCAGAGGTGACTTTTTCTGGTATTCTCCGCATCCTCCTCCCTTGCAAATATAGGTAAAGGTAAAGGGACCCCTGATCATTAGGTCTAGTCTTGACTGACTCTGGGGTTGCGGCGCTCATCTCGCTTTATTGGCCGAGGGAGCCGGCGTACAGCTTCCGGGTCATGTGGCCAGCATGACTAAGCCGCTTCTGGCGAACCAGAGCAGCGCACGGAAACGCCATTTACCTTCCCACCGGAGCGGTGCCTATTCATCTACTTGCACTGGTTTGCTTTCGAACTGCTAGGTTGGCAGGAGCAGGGACCGAGCAACGGGAGCGCACCCCGTCGCAGGGATTCAAACCGCCGACCTTCTGATCGGCAAGTCCTAGGCTCTGTGGTTTAACCCACAGCGCCACCCGCATCCCTTGCAAATATAGAGTGGGCACTTAAAAGTTATTCTCAAACACAAGCATCAAATATTTCAGACCTAGCCACTGAGGAGAAAAGTTGGATACCTAGAATGTCTAGGCAGAGGTGTACCTAGGTTGGCTTCCTTGCACTCTTGGCAAGGAGTTGCATCACAGCCCCTGAAGCTGGGAGAGACCATGGACCAGAAACTCAAAAACTTGCTTTTTGTCTCTCTTCGCACTCCGCCAGTGACTTCCTCCGCTGCCACTGAGGTTGTGTCTCCTCTGCCCTTCCTCCTCTCCTCCACCATCAGTCACTCTGAGACAAGGGTGAAGAGGTACAATTTTTGCGCCTCCCTGGGTCTGCATCCTTGGCGGGAGCCAGCCTAACCAACCCCTAGATATGTCCACTTCTAGGTGTCAGCATTAGGCAAAAAAGGGAAAGGACCCCTGGACGGTTAAGTCCAGTCAAAAGCAACTATGGGGGTGCGGCGCTCATCCTGCTTCAGGTCAAGGGAGCCGGCGTTTGTCCACAGACAGCTTTCCGGGTCATGTGGCCAGCATGGCTAAACCGCTTCAGGTGCAACAGAACACTGTGACAGAAACCAGAGCGCACGGAAACACTGTTTACTTTCCCGCTGCAGCAGTACCTATTTGTCTACTTGCACTGGCGTGCTTTCAAACTGCTAGGTTGGCAGGAGCTGGGACAGATCAACAGGAGCTCATCACCATCTCTCAGATTCAAACCGCCAACCTTCCTGTTGGCAAGCCCAAGAGGCTCAGTGGTTTAGACCACAGCACCACGCTGTGATCCCCCCAGTTCTGCTTACACCAAGAGAAAGAGATGGAAAAGCCACCTGGGAGTTTTTGAATGAGAGGAAATGTATGAAGGTGGCAGCTGTAGTCTAGCTTTGGATCTTAGGGTGTGAAAGAATAATGATATGGCTTTGCCCTACCTTCCCCTAGTGATCTGCCTCCACAGTCTCCACCTCCAGAAATCCAGGGAGCAGTACTGTTCAGGTGGCCAAAATAGCACCTCCTTTGCATAGGAGGAACGAGGGACGTGGGTGGCGCTGTGGGTTAAACCACAGAGCCTAGGACTTGCCGATCATAAGGTCGGCGGTTTGAATCCCCACCACGGGGTGAGCTCCCATTGCTCGGTCCCTGCTCCTGCCAACCTAGCAGTTCAAAAGCATGTCAAAGTGCAAGTAGATAAATAGGTACTGCTCCGGCGGGAAGGTAAACAGCGTTTCCGTGCGCTGCTCTGGTTCACCAGAAGCGGCTTGGTCAGGCTGGCCACATGACCCGGAAGCTGTACGCCGGCTCCCTCGGCCAATAAAGCGAGATGAGCGCCGCAACCCCAGAGTTGGCCACGACTGGACCTAATGGTCAGGGGTCCCTTTACCTATGCATAGGAGGAAGGCTTCAGCAGGCTTGCTGGAAACCCCAAGTTTGCAGGAACTCCAGAAATAGCCCAATAAAGACTGATCATGTTCAGCACGCAGCCACAGAATGCTGGCAAAGCAGAAAACTTGGGAGGAACATCAGATTTTCCTGGGAAGAGGGATTGACCATTGAACCACTCTGCCAGTTGCAGCTCTGTGAGGGAAACAGGGGTCTCCTAACAACTCTCAACTTTTTAAACAAAGGACGCTTCCCAGAATTCTTTGAAGGAAGCCCTGGCTGATTAAAGTGCCATCATAGTGCTTTAAATGTATGATGTGAACATGGCCTTGGTTGAAAGCTTATTCCTATGTTCCTATGATGATCCATCAACATCCCCCCCCCCACAACAGAGCCAAGGGGCGGGGGAAATGGAATAATAATAATAATAATAATAGTTATAGGAGCATTTAGACGGGTGTATAGCCAAACACTTCACGGTTGCCAGTGTGGCTTCCTTCCCCCAGGCATTATATTAAAAGGGCACGATAAGATGTTTTTAGAGTAATATTGTGTTTCCCAAAGCAAATCCACATACACACACACACCCCACCTCCCAGCTGATAGGATGAAAGGGCAAACGCTTGCTCACGGCAGCAGGTCTGTAATATGGCTAGATATTTATTTCATGCTATTAACTCCCCATCTTGCAGTAGCACTTAATGAAGGAGAAGCAAATGCACAAGCAGTAGCACTTTGCGGAAACGCGATATGATATCTGGCGTGGCCTGAGGTGCAGTGCCTGGAACGCAGGCCATAAAGTCATTGGGCTAAACAGTTCCCATTAACCGACTACCAGCCTTGCTTACTGCGCCTAGATTGGCTGTTTGCACATTGCTACCGTTTCGCTTCGTGGCATCATTCCAGCGTCATCTGGGCCTTATGCGCTGGGCATTTGTTTACTCTCCAAACACCTCAGGAAAACATTGTGGTCCTACAGCGGGATAGGTAAAGGTAAAGGACCCCTGGATGGTTAAGTCCAGTCAAAGGTGACTATGAGGTGTGGCGCCCATCTCGTTTTCAGGCCAAGGGAGCTGGTGTTTGTCCACAGACAGCTTTCTGGGACATGTGGCCGGCATGACTAAACTGCTTCTGGCATAACGGGACGTCCGTGAGGGAAGCCAGAGGGCATGGAAACAACGTTTACCTTCCCGCCGGAGTGGTACCTATTTATCTACTTGCACTGGTGTGCTTTCAAACTAGGTTGGCAGGAGCTGGGACAGAGCAACGGGAGTTCACTCCATCACGGGGATTCGAACCGCCGACCTCCCGATTGGCAAGCCCAAGAGCCTCAGTGGTTTAGACCACAGCGCCACCCACATCCCTTTACTCTGTAGTGGGGTACCAATAGTTCAAAGTGCAGCTTTGAAGCATGAGTAGGTAAAATGGCAGGCTGCATGCTGTGTGATCCCTTAGAGTTTAGGCATATGCATTGGTCACAGGTCTATTCTCTCACCAGTTGGAGTTTTAACTTCTAGCGTAGGGATGGGGCAGCCGATGAATGTCCATCCAAATGTTTCTGGATTTCAGCTCCCATCAGCCCCATCCAGTATGGCCATTGGTGTCAAAAATGATGAAAGCCAGGTGTTGTCATGGCATGTGGTCATGCTAATGATGATAGGAAGCCATTGCCAAAAGGCGCATGCAGAGGAATGGCCACAGCTCAACTGTGGAGCGTGTGTGTTGAACACAAAAGAGCCTAGGTTCAATTTCTAGCATCTTCCTGCCACTATGGAATACTGATGTTTGATATGATTTCAGCATGATCCACCTTCCTGTTCTGCATTTGCAAAAATAAAAATTGAAATACAGTGGTACCTCGGGTTACATACGCTTCAGGTTACATAGGTTTCAGGTTACAGACTCCGCTCACCCAGAAATAGTGCTTCAGGTTTAGAACTTTGCTTCAGGATGAGAACAGAAATCGCACGGTGGCAGCGGGAGGCCCCATTAGCTAAAGTGGTGCTTCAGGTTAAGAACAGTTTCAGGTTAAGAACAGACCTCTGGAATGAATTAAGTACTTAACCCGAGGTACCACTGTACACTTTAGTCTCCTGACAACCTAAAAGTGGGGGGAAATGGGGCGATCTTGGGTGGTTCTTTTGAATGATCCAGCCTCCTGTATAGCCTTTTCTGTCATCGTGAAATGTTAGCATTCTGTTGTGTTTCCATCTCTGCTGTTTTCCTAGGAGAAATTGGGGTTCCCTCACAGGGTTCCCTGGCAGCAAACTTCTTGACAGTTTAGCTTAATCTGTCCTACTACTCTGAGGCAGAAATGTTCTACGTAGCTGTTGCTTCTATTTGACTAGGTGACCTGTTACTTCTGTTTCGATGAAGTGAAAAATTAAACCATCCACACTGTGTAGAGATTCTTGGGGCTTTATGAACCCCAAAATCTGGGATCCCCTCAAAATTGGTGCCAAAGTTTTGCAGTTGCTTTGCAGCGAACCCCCCACGTTTTGCAGGGCCCCACAAACAGAGTACAGTGGTACCTTGGTTAAAGAACTTAATCCATGATGGACTATATGGAATTGGCAGAAATGACTGGCAGAATCCGAGACCAGGGAGCAGAGTCGGTGGAAGAAGATTGGAAGACATTTAAAGACTATTTACAGAAATATTGTAAAATTAATGAATGATAGAATGATGTTGGATAGTAATTAAGCGGTTTCTAGCTGTAACGCTCTAAGAAAATATGAAAAAAGGGTTATAAATGGGTTAAAATCTAATGGTAAGGATTTGCTGAACCAATAAATTGAAGCGAAATACAAAAAAGGGAGGTACGAGGAGGTCCGGGAAACAAGCTAAAGGAAAATAAGTAATAGAAAATATGTGTGTTTTTAACTGTTTTTATTTTGTATTTTTCTCTTTTCTTTTTCATTTTTACTGTAATATTTCAAAAAACCTTAATAAATATCTTATAAAAAAAATAAAATAAAGAACTTAATCCATTCCTGAAGTCCGTGCTTAAACTGAAACCATTATTAAACCGAGGCGCGCTTTCCCATATGAGGCCTCCCACTGCCGTTGCCCTTCCACCGTTCAGATTCCGTTCTTAGACCGAGGTACAGTTCGCAAACCGGGACACTACTTTCAGTTTTGCGGAGTTCGTAAACCAAATTGTTTGTAAACCAAATCGTTCGTAAACAGGAATGTTCTTAAACTGAGTTACTACTGTACAGTGGTACCTCGGGTTACAGATGCTTCAGGTTGCAGACTCCGCTAACACAGAAATAGTACCTCGGGTTAAGAACTTTGCTTCAGGATGAGAACAGAAATCGCGGGAGACAGCGGGAGGCCCCATTAGCTAAAGTGGTACCTCAGGTTAAGAACAGTTTCAGGTTAAGAACGGACCTCCAGAACGAATCAAGTTCTTAACCTGAGGTACTACTGTAGTTGATACAGAAAACCCAGGGGTCAAAAGGTCACCCCAAACCCAATGTTGCCTTCGCTCATCCCTTCACTGGGGAGCCCAGGAGCTGGGTGGAAGCTGGAATGGGCAAAGACAAAGATCACACTCTGTGTGTCCTGCGCCTGCCCTCTCATGCCAGGCAGTATCACGGGATGCGTCACATGACACATCATGTGGCCGGGGGGCAAGTTAGCACTGATGCCCCATAAGCAACCTTATTCATGTATGTATATAACATTTCCCTAATTTTCACCCCCCACATAATTTGAAACCTAGAAAGCACAGGAAATATGTGATTCACACCAGTGACTTTGACATGTGAGATAATCCAATACTGTACAGAAATTTTTTATTTTTTATTTTTTTATAAGATATTTATTAGGATTTTTTTTAAGATAAAAAATGAGAAAGAAAAACAAAAACAAAATAAAAATGATTAAAAACACTCAGATTTTCCATTGCTTATTTTTCTTTAGTTTGTTTCCCGAACCTCCTCATACCTCCCTTTTTTGTATTCCAGTTCAGTTTGTTGGTTCAGCAAATCCTTACCCTCTTTGTTTATCCTAATCTTTGGTCTTAAAATAGTAACATTAGATTTTTACCTCTTAACAACCCCTTTTCCATATTCCCTTAAAGCATTACAGCTAGAAACCACTTAATTTCTATCCAACATCGTTCTAACATTCATTAATTTTACAATATTTCTGTAGATAATCTTTGAACTTCTTCCAATCTTCTTCCACCGACTCTTCTCCCTGGTCTCGGATTCTGCCAGTCATTTCTGCCAGTTCCATATAGTCCATCAGCTTCATCTGCCATTCTTCCAGAGTGGGTAGATCTTGTGTCTTCCAATACTTTGCAATGAGTATTCTTGCTGCTGTTGTAGCATACATAAAAAAGGTTCTATCCTTCTTTGGCACCAATTGACCGACTATGCCCAGGAGAAAGGCCTCTGGTTTCTTCTGGAAGGTATATTTAAGTACCTTTTTCAGTTCATTATATATCATTTCCCAGAAAGCCTTAATCCTTGGGCATGACCACCAAAGGTGAAAGAATGTACCTTCAGTTTCTTTACATTTCCAACATTTGTTATCGGGCAAATGATAAATTTTTGCAAGCTTGACTGGGGTCATGTACCACCTGTAAATCATTTTCATAATATTCTCTCTTAGGGCATTACATGCCGTAAACTTCATACCTGTGGTCCATAACTGTTCCCAGTCAGCCATCATTATGTTATGACCAACATCTTGTGCCCATTTAATCATAACAGATTTCACCGTTTCATCCTGAGTATTCCATTTCAACAGCAAGTTATACATCTTTGACAAAATCTTAGTTTGGGGTTCTAATAGGTCTGTTTCTAATTTTGATTTTTCCACCTGGAAACCAATTTTCTTATCCAGATTATATGCCTCCATTATCTGATAATAATGAAGCCAGTCTCGCACTTTGTTTTTTAATTTCTCAAAACTCTGCAATTTCAGTCTATCTCCATCTTGTTCCAAAATTTCCCAATATTTCGGCCATTTGGCCTCCATATTGAGCTTTTTCAGAGCTTTTGCTTCCATCGGTGACAGCCTAATACTGTACAGCAATTTTAATCAAAATCTGAAATGTAGGGGGGGAGTTTTTTTGGTATTTTTTTAATGTGGTGATCTGTTGTGGAACAACCCTGCTGAAGGGGTTAACAGTGGTTACCCAGACTTCGTTGCTGGTTGCGAAGGGGCCCCCATAACAGTTTAAGCTTCAGGGCCCCCCAAATGTAGGTCTGCCACTGGTGGGTTGTCCATCATTTGTTGGCTGAAAAGGTGGCAGCCCCAAAAGTAGCCAGCAAGGGAGGCAAATCACAGTGAAGGCAACTTGCATGGACATTGCCTACTTTGGACTGTTAATTAACAGAGGAATGGTCTTGGGGAAATTTGGATGCTTAATGGCTTTAATTATAGAAAATGCACCGGATCTTCATTTTAGCAACACAGCAAAAGTTTAATTGCCATGAATGCAAACATGCTTTAAAAGGGCATTTTCCTGCTCCAAAGGTCAACGAACCCAGAGTAGCTTTTAATCTGGTTTGATTAGGTGCAGGGCATCCTGTTTTGCTTCGCGGAAATGGCTTTGCTTTGTCACACCCTTGGGTATATATAAGGAATCCTCAAGGCTCCTGTTGGATGCCATATTCTCTCTGCTCCTCAAGAACAGCTTTGACAGATCCAAAAGGTAAGTCTCCTTTAAAATTTATTTCGACTGCATAGGAGCTGAACTACACCTTATGTACTTAACACACCAATTTTCCATCACTTATGCCAGTTTTATTTGTAACTGGACTGCGTATTTTCTGTTAATCACTGTTTAATCTTACTGTGTAATTTTTTGGTTTGAATTATGTATATGACCACCCTGGGACCTTTGGGTGAAGTGTGGATTATAAATATTTTAAATTAATAAAAATTAATAAAAATAATAAAAATTAAAATAATGAAGAAATAACTATAACTGTAACCTGGAGGGGGTGATCTGGAAGCTGAAAAGTAGTAGGCAGGAAGAAGAATGTATTAACCTTTGTAGACTGTCATTATTTTGGGGTGGGATTGAATCCAGATCGCACAACTATAATTGATTGGGAGTTGCAACAAACGCACTTTCCCCAAAAGTTCAGGTTTTCTGCTGAAAGTAAAGTGATGGGGAAATGCAGTGGAACTTGTAGGATAGCAACATCATCTAACCTCCCCACAAACACATCAGAATGATTGCTCTTTAAATAGCCACTTCGTCTAATATCCCTGCAAACAAATCAGGAGGAGTGCTCATCCACAAGTGGCCTCAAAATTAGTCATACTCGGAGCAGATACACTGAAATCAGTGTGTCTGAGTATGACTAACATTTGATACCCCCCCCCAAACCACTAAAGCACAGCCATCAAATAAATCCTTTCAGTGCCAGTTCAGAGGAATCCCTCCCCTCTCCCCGTCCCATCTGACACACCATGTACTGTTTTTAAATTACAGAACTCAAGCTTCAAACATGAAGTCCTTCAAAGTTCTCTTCCTCCTTTTGGTCTCTGTCAGCTTTGTGCTGATGGAAGAAAATGACTCAAGGTAAGTGTATGAACAGGGATACCTGAGGAAGTCAGTCCTTGTGAGTTCTGAACTGACCTGATTGGCACTTTTTAGGCTAAATGTGTGGATTGAAATTTAACTATCCGTGGTTCTCCCAAGGATGAGGAGAAACATGTACAGTGGTACCTCGGGTTAAGAACTTACAGTGGTACCTCAGGTTACATACGCTTCAGGTTACATACGCTTCAAGTTACATATGCTTCAGGTTACAGACTCCGCTAACCCAGAAATAGTACATCGGGTTAAGAACTTTGTTTCAGGATGAGAACAGAAATTGTGCTCTGGCGGTGCGGCGGCAGCAGGAAGCCCCATTAGCTAAAGTCGTGCTTCAGGTTAAGAACAGTTTCAGGTTAAGAACAGACCTCTGGAACGAATTACAGTGATACCTCTGGTTACGTACTTAATTCGTTCCGCAGGTCTGTTCTTAACCTGAAGCACCACTTTAGCTAATGGGGCCTCATCCTGTTCTCATCCTGAAGCAAAGTTCTGGGTTATTTCTGGGTTAGCGGAGTCTGTAACCTGAAGCGTCTGTAACCTGAAGTGTATGTAACACGAGGTACCATTGTATCTGAACTGAGCGTCTTGCTAAGCTAAAGTGTTTTCTTATGCTAAATCAGCTTCCGGTCCACAGACTAAATTAGGCCCACCAATGTTCCTAATTTGTCCTAATTTCCAACCAGCCACAGATTAAGCTGCAGTTGCAAAGGAGCAATCAGGAACCTTATAGAGCATTATTGGTTGTTCCTTTGCACCTGTGGCTTGCAATTGGTGCCATTTACATTTGATGACAAATGCAAGCAACGCTACCAGAGTCAAATCCACCCGGGACTTTCTGATCAATGCGCTCCTGATAGAATCTGAGGTCTCCAAAAGCAGGGCGGCTTGCTCCCAATCAGCTGTGCGGCTTGCATTTGGCAGCAAATTTCAACCGTCCCCTTTCACACATAGTCCGCAGAGAGTTCTCCACAATGGGATCTGACCCATGAGCCGAAAGGAATTCCCCATCCTTTAGCTAGAGTGCTGTTCGAAACGAGAGATGAGGATTTTCCCTATGTGTTTCTGTTTTGCTCTTAGAGAAAACACAAAGAATTCCAGGTTTCTGCAGAGACGGTATTCAGAGGGGACATTAGCAAGCGATTACAGTCGAACTTTGGACAGCATGATGAAGAAGAACTTTGTGGAGTGGCTCTTGAACAGGAGAGAGAGCATGATTGAGTAAGTCTATAGCACAGGTGGTTCATCCAGGATTTTAGGGAAAGCACTGGGTCAAACTGATGTTTGGAAGGCTGAGCAGGAAGGGAGAAATGCAGGTGAGAAGGGAACACTTCTTTCTGGCCCAGGATCCTGCCTTGTTCCGCTCCATGGGCTAGCATTCTCAAACATGGACCAGTCTTAAAGTACCATAAGTCCAATGGGACTGATCAGTTTGGTTGAGGTTGAGGAAGCCTGACTTAAATACCCTTTCCCCCCTTTATCAGGCTTTTTATTTGCTCTTAAGTTATACCTAGGTAGTCGGGGCACTTCTGACCACCTTTGTTGGCACAAAAGGTAAAGGTAAAGGGACCCCTGACCATTAGGTCCAGTCGTGACCGACTCTGGGGTTGTGGTGCTCATCTCGCTTTATTGGCCGAGGGAGCCGGCGTACAGCTTCCGGGTCATGTGGCCAGCATGACTAAGCCACTTCTGGCAAACCAGAGCAGCGCACAGAAACGCCGTCCACCTTCCCGCTGGAGCGGTACCTATTTATCTACTTGCACTTGACGTGCTTTCGAACTGCTAGGTTGGCAGGAGCAGGGACAGAGCAAGGGGAGCTCACCCTGTCGCGGGGATTCAAACCGCCGACCTTCTGATCAGCAAGTCCTAGGCTCTGTGGTTTAACCCACAGCGCCACCCGCGTCCAAGGTTTGTTGGCACACCTTGGGATAAAAGAAAAGCAACATGTTTGCGGGGGGAGAAACAGGGGGCAGATGAAATGGTCTTAACAGAGCTGAAGCATTATAGTACTCAGGATCCCAGATTCCCAGGGAGATGCCTTTTGTGTATGTTCCCCCAGTAACAGAATTGACCCATCCAGGAGAGATACTGAACCCACAGCGTTAGATACAAGGAATCAAGGCATTGAAGCTGGATCTCAGGAGGCAATGGACTTCATCAAATGTATTCTGCAAAATATGGGGAAACAGAGGTGAGCTCAACAACTTGTTTGGTCTGCAAAAGAAGATCCTATTTCAGCAGAGAATAAGTATTTCAGCTGCAAAGTAAATCATAATCTCCTTTTCCTCCTCCATATTATATTGCTACTACTGTTTACCCACCCTTCACCCTAAGGTCCCAAGGTGGATTATAACATTAAAACAACTTACAAAAATAAGTTATAAGTTGGTCCTAAAAATATATACCTCAGGTGTTAAAAGCCAGGTATGATTATAGTTCAATTAATCTAAAATCTGTTGAAAAAGTGATGTTTGCAAACATTTACTATACATAATAAAATAATGATCAGTTGTAACTAGGGGTGCCAGAGAAATTTGATTTTGACTGAAGTTGAATGAGAAACCCTCTAATTTGCACTTATCAAACCAATACAATAACAGAAGCAGCTACCCACTGAAATGTGTAATTCTCTGAATTTTGCAATGCAACAAACCAATGTGTGCAAAAACATATTAGTGGTAACTGTTCATAAAAATGCATATATTGGTAAAAGTAACATGCAAAAATGCATTATATTAGGGGAAATTGCTTGAAAAAATGCATCTATTAGTCAAAACTGCTTTCAAAAATATGTTTACTATGAGAAATATGCACTAAAATGTACAACATCATGAGGATTTTTTAAAAAAGTATAAATGTGAACAACTGAATTTAACACTGGGGGGGGAAAGAAACTGGTAGAAAAATAAAAATTGGCAGTCTTGTTCATAAGTTTTTAAAACTGCACCAGTACTACCTCGCCTTTTAGATATTGTAATAAAGTAATTTTGAGATCAGATGGAAACTCTTAGCCTTTACTTTGATATAATAAAAATAAGATACCTTCCCATTTTTTAAAAAAAGAAATGGCCAAAGCCAAAAATGGATTAAAATATTTTTACATCACCTTTCATTCCAGAATCTCAACGTGGTATACAATAAGCTGCTACATTACAATAAAACAGTAAAATAGCAGCATTTACAAAGCCAGGGTAGATATAAAACCGAAGAGCTCAGAAGCAAAACAATCTTAAAATGCCAGCAAAATATGCAAGGAAACTTAAGGAGAACGTTCCTGCCAACAAATATTTTCTACATAATGCTTAGTTTATGTGGAGTTGTAGGTACCGCTGGTGTTTTTTAAAATATCTTTTGACAGAAATTGTATGACTATAAACAGCTGCTTCGGGAAAATGTCTCGTGGCCATTTTAGAAAATGGCGCCTGCAGACTGATGCCAACCTGCTTATGTCTACCCAACTTTTTCTCATTCCAACACGCCTTCTGCATTATATATAGATGGGAATTGCTGTCAGGCATGAAATTCCTATGGAGGTCTATTACAAGACCTGTATTAAGAAAGCTGTTTCCAATTCCTAGCTACCAGCATCAAATTTTTAGTTGCCTAGGCAACTGGGCACCTGGGATTTTCCTCCAACGCCCCCTCCCCACCAACTATGACTCCTTTGCAACTTTGCTCCCTGCCCCCCGCCATCTCAATCTCTGGGATCCCTATGGCAGCAAATGTCTACTTCACAGTCTCTTTCTTCTAGCCTGGCTCTGCCAAAAGGTTCAGATGACTGGAAGGACGTCCGGAGGCAAGAACATCTGGCATTGCTGATTTCTGCTGACCTCTGCAGGCCAATGTGAGTGAATCGCTTCCTCTCCCTTTCTCTCTCTTCCTGTTTCCTTCCAAAGGCAAGGAAGAGTTGGGACTCCATAGACAACCCACGTGGTGGTTTGGGCAACAGTGTTTTATGGGTGCCAAAGAAGCAGCAGGTCATCTGCAAGGTCCGGTGTTGATGGCTATATGCCAGCAACTCCCGAATACTGATCACTGCTCCTTATCTGCTGTTGTCTGCTACTACAGAATCAGTGGGTGGCAAATGTTAACAGTGAATACGAAGTAGCCACAGAAGGTTGATCCAAGGGAAATTTGGGAGCTATAAAAATGGTTTCATTTATATAATTACGTAAGAAAAGCTTGCTGGGTCATAATACAGTGGTACCTTGGGTTACATACGCTTCAGGTTACATATGGTTCAGGTTACAGACTCCGCTAACCTAGAAATAGTGCTTCAGGTTAAGAACTTTGTTTCAGGATGAGAACAGAAATTGTGCTCTGGCGGCGCGGCGGCAGCGGGAGGCCCCATGAGCTAAAGTGGTGCTTCAGGTTAAGAACAGTTTCAGGTTAAGTTCGGACCTCTGGAACGAATTAAGTATTTAACCAGAGGTACCACTGTAATAATAATAATTATTTATTTATACCCCAGCCACTCTGGGCGGCTTCCAACAGAATGTTAAAATACAATAGTCTATTAAACATTAAAAGCTTCCCTAAACAGGGAACAGGATCCAGCCTAGCATTCTGTTCTCATAGTGGCCAACCGGATGCCTGTGGGAATTCAGGTTCTTTTGGGTAAGAGATGGCGCTGTTATGATTAGTAAATAAACATCGCTACAGCTTCGGACCAGTTTTCTTACCCCATATATGCCCGCTTCGCCACTTCAGTCTACGGAACTGGCATTTTTACAAATGCCAAAGAAATGTTTGATCCACACTTGTGAGAAATCAATCTTTTAGTTATCGTGCTACAATTCCCCATGTCTTTGTTGTAGTTTCTGAAGCTGAAACCATTTTCCTTTAGGCACACCTACCCAGACATGTCATTTTAGTATGTGCGCTTGTTTGTAAAACTGTGAATTTTAATCTATATTTGGGTAATTTTATTGTGCTGACTTGTTTGCAGTGTCTGTTTCCACCGCTATTATCTTGGAATATTTTATGTTCTTTTGTGTATGCTGCTTAGAGAGGTGCTCTGTGGGTTTGGGGGATTAAGCAGTATATAAAGCTTGCTAAATATTCCCCCTTGGCTCAGATGCACATCTTGTACAGTATTTAGTAGGAGCCGTTGAGTTCAGTATTGTGGGATCAGTTTTATGGAGCTCCCTTCCAGGTGAGGACAGACAGGCAACCCTCTCTTGAACTTCAGCAGGCATTATAACTGAATTCTGATTCTATAGCTTTAACTATCCCCCCCCCCCATTGCATTGAGTTTCTCATACGCTGCTTACAAAGGCCATAGCTCAGTGGTAAGAGTATGCAGAAGGTCTCAGGATCAAATCCCCAGTATCTCCAGGTAGGGCTAGAAGGAAGGACCCCTTCCTGAAACTCTGACAAGCCACTGCCAGTCAGTATAGACAAAACCACACAAGATGGATCATAAGACTGTAAAGTTGGGAGCGTCCCCCAAGGGCCATCTAGTGCAGGGGTCAGCAAACTTTTTCAGCAGGGGGCCGGTCCACTGTCCCTCAGACCTTGTGGGGGGCCAGACTATATTTTTTGGGGGGGGGAATGAACGAATTCCTATGCCCCACAAATAACCCAGAGATGCATTTGAAATAAAAGGACACATTCTACTCATGTAAAAACACGCTGATTCCCGGTCCGTCCGCGGGCCGGATTGAGAAGGCGATTGGGCCAGATCTGGCCCCCAGGCCTTAGTTTGCCTACCCATGATCTAGCGCAACCCCACTGCAATGCAGGAATTTCAGCTAGATCATAATCCAACCTCTGCTTAAAAACATCCAAGGCAGGTGAGTCCACCACCTCTCGTGGGAGTCTGTTCCACTGTCAAGCTGCTCTTGCTGTCAGAAAGTTCTTGTGGTGTTTAGTTGGAATCTCCTTACTTGTAACTTGAAGCCGTTGGTTCGGGTCCTGCCCTTCGGAGCAGGAGAAAACAAGCTTGCACCATCCTCCATTTGACAGCCCTTTAGATCAGGGGTCCCCAAAGTAAGGTCCGCGGGCCAAATAAGCCCCGAGGGACTTGTTTATCCGGCCTGCGGCGACTCCCGCTGCCCGCTCTTAACAGCGCTGCACTATGCGGCTGCCCACTTCCGGGTCGGAGCACCAGAAATAGCTTGTGTGCATGCGCAAGCATTATTTCCAGTGCACATCCAGGTCGGAGGAGGCCCGTGCACATGCACACAAGCTATTTCTGGTGCTCCTCTGACCTGGAAGTGTGCCGGAAATAGCATGTGCGCACGCGTATGGGCTGCACTCCCCCGCCCTCCGGCCTGCCACACAATCAGCGCTGGTGACACCCGCCCGAGGCGTGGTAAGTTTGCTGACCCCTGCTTTAGATATTTGAAGATGGTGATCATATCTCCTCTCAGTCTCCTCTTTACCATGCTAAACATACTATTGAATGCATGTTTGAATCATTCCTGCTTAGAAATGATTGTAATCAAGTGGCATATGTTTCCCAAGTACTGTAAATAAATAAAATACCATTGCTGAGCTAGGAATGCTCAGCCCAAAGCTTTACAGAAAGTTGCCCCCCTTCTCTATTTTTCACTCCCCCCCCCACAAAAAAACCAGGTTCCTTGGCAAACTTTACATATTTCACCATCTTTCCCCCTCTGTTTTTCCAGGCTTCAATAGCTCACAGCTTCCTTGAGGGAGAAAAGATGGACTAACTTCTGTACTCTCCTTGTTTTGTACCTTTTGCTAATGAGTGTCAACAATAATTATGACAGCAGCAATAAAACAATTTATTATCAAGTTCAGACGTGAGTGTTAAGAGTGTTATTCAATTCATTTTTTTAAAAAAACACCACCACCACCCCAAACAGAATTCGTATGTGCTCTCATCAGAAACAGAAGTTACAGGTTGTGCTAATCTGTCCGTCTGGTACGATGCATGACAGGGAGGCGATTCAGAATCCGTTCTCAGGGCAGTCCCACACAGCTGCATTAGGGTCATGAAAGATCAATGATTCGGTTCCTGCTCAGGCATGGTTATTTATTTTTAAGATACAAAACCTGAAGATTTAAAAAGCTGCTACACAACAATGAAACATTGCGACCAGCAACAATAGTAATAATAATAATAATAATAATTTATAACTATGATTCCACATTTATTAAAAAGCAGAACCTTTTTTCAGCTCTAGAAGGGCTCCATAAAATACCAGTATCATCTTAACGCAATTCACAAAGGCTTGATGAAGATAGTTGAGATTTGGTGGGTTTTCCATGCAAATGAGCAGTTTGGTCTCCCGCCCCCCCGCCAGCAGGTTCTGGATTTCTATTGCTTCCACTTTAAAAACAACAACAACCAAATAGTTGTTATTTTTATTTGCTTACAGGGCACATGGGTGTGCTGCATGTGCAATAGTTGTAAGACCCTAGCCATCTTAATATGCCCAGAGGCAAACTAAGTACACTGCCAGCCAAACTGATACATCTGGAGAAGGTGCGTTAGTGTTAAGTGCAAATCTGGTATGCAACAACCACTGGAATACTTTTGTGATTGGGAAAGAATGTGAGCCTATGAACCTGGCAGTACCTGGTTCTTAGCTCAGCACCTTCACAGCTAGCCTTTGGTTGACTGCTGTCTCTTAGCCTTCAACCCACTCTGCCCACCTGCTATTTACCGGTAGGTGAAATCATAATGATGTTGCACAGTGGTTGTAAGAACTGATGAAGTACATTTTGCTGAGTAGTGGCAAATAGTCTCTCTCCCCTCCCCCAAGTCAAGAGCTTGTCCTACTCTCGAGTAGGACCCTGGCAGAGACACATGCCCGACTGGCATGTTCTCTCCCTCCTGGTCGATCGTTCGGGAGCTTCAAAAGCTTTCTTCTGCCTAAACATCACAGCGACCGATGCCAACAGACACCGGCACACTTAGGGATCAGCAGAGTCTTCACAGCTTGCGTAACAGAACTCAGCAACTCAGCATTTTGGCTAATCTACTTTATTTACATATAAACACACACGGAGCACTGCAACATGGCTCCCTCTCTCTCTAGCATCAGACAGCAAAGAGAAAAATGAACAAAGGACAATAGTCCCACTTCACGGAACACAGTAACACAAACATCATGCCTCCGTCACTTCCCACTCTGTGGAGTCAAAACATACACCGTCATGTGGTAGACAAAAATCCCATGAGTGCAATCATGGAGCAGGAATTCTAACATTAACACCCAAGTTATTTTGGTATTAGAGGCAGAAAATGCCATGTCTATGGATATATTTCGTTCCCTGTCAGTAACAACACAATAACCACAAATTCAAGAATCAACTTGCTGCCTTTTTCTGCGGGGCCTCTGCACTCTGCCTGATGATAAGACTGACCATTGCTCTTCACCACCATAACACAAGTTGAATCCATTTTTGTTATAGCAGTGTGCCACTAGAGGGCAATATGACAGCACATTTAACCCAGTTTCCAGAAAAGACAGAAGTAGGAGTGAATCATCTAAACACAACCCTATTTTATACTGCTAGCCTAAGTATATTACTCAGAAGTCTGTTCTGCAGAGTTCAGTGCGACTTAGGCCTTATTAACAGCACAAACTAACCTCACCGACTCAGAAGCAAGTCCTGCTGAAATTAATGGAGCTTCCTTCCAGCCTGTTACAATGCCCATATCCATTACAGTGGTACCTTGGGTTACATATGCTTCAGGTTACAGACTCCACTAACCCAGAAATAGTACCTCGGGTTAAGAACTTTGCTTCAGGATGAGAACAGAAATTGTGCTCTGGTGGTGCGGCAGCAGCGGGAGGCCCCATTAGCTAAAGTGGTGCTTCAGGTTAAGAACAGTTTCAGGTTAAGAACGGGCCTCCGGAACAAATTAAGTACTTAACCCAAGGTACCACTGTAGTATCAAAAGAAAGAGAACCAGTTTAAAGAGTATCTTCCTATTTTAGTCCCATCCTGTGCAAATAATTATATAACTTTCTCCAGTATCTTTTAAATACCCCTTCTGAAATAATGTTCTGGTGATATATTCATCTCTTTATGAATGCGGGCAGGCAAAAATACATGTTAAATATTTTAATAAACAAAGCACTGTTAAGTGTATGGTTTATTTAATTTTGCCAGTCAACATATTACTTTTCATTCTTGACTTCAGAAGAAAGTCATGTATTGCACTACTGTATTACAGTAATTCTTTTAAGAAATGCTCCAAACTCTGGGCTATCCTGCCTTTCCTTTTTAGGGCTATTTCTGACGTAGAAAATTTTGGACCTAAATACTAAATGCAGCTTATCTGACCTAATGTCAGGTTCTCATGTTGCAGTTCTTTTTGGGGTGTGTGTGTTATTGGGTTGTTGTTTTTATTTTGATTATATATATTGTGGGTTTTATGTTGATCTTTTCTTTGAACCGCCCAGAGTCCTCTGGGTATAGGGCAATATATAAATTCAATAAATAATAATAATAATAAATGAGGTTACATAGCTGCATAGAATAAGAACGGGGTGTCAGGTGTCTCTTTTCCAGGTTAAGTGAGGCTAGGAGTGCTGTCCAAATGTGCTCACCCACTGCTAAGTTTGGGATCCTCTCCAAATGCATGCATTTATAAGGGTGCATGGGTAGCTCTGGGTAGCCAAGCACAAACAAGATTTACAAATTCACTTACATGCATGCGTGTATAACACATCCCAGAGGGGCCAACTGGTTGCTTCGAAGTCATTTCAGCAGGGATTTGAACTTTTTACTCTCTCTTTTTTTGATAATTTATTTTTTCAAAAAACAAAAATCAAAAACAGTATAAAAACAAAGCAAAACAATACAATTATAGCAATTCAAATCATAAATATTAACTCAATTGACTTCCCTCCACTCCCCATCTTGGCTCCATTGTTCTAGTTTGTTTGTAAAACCTTATATTCTTAATAGTCCAATCTTAAAACCTTATTCATCTTAATACAAGTGACTTTTGAAAGTTCTACTAATGTAAAAATCTATGCACAACCCTTAGAAAGTATGCATTAAACATTTCCCTTTTTAAAAAAAGAAATACAATATCCTCTTTTGGGGGGGGTATCAAAAAACCTATGATTCAAATGTTGCAAGTCCAGCACTCTATCCGCCATGCCACCCTGAAAATACGCGAATTCTCATTTGAAGACTTCAAATTTGAAGAGGTATCTGAAGAAGTGTGCATGCACGCGAAAGCTCATACCAATAACAAACTCAGTCGTTCTCTAAGGCGCTACTGGAAGGAATTTTTTATTTTGTTTCTCATTTGTGAATTGGCGTCTCTAATTATTGGGGACATTTCAGCACCAGATGGGAGGGGGAAATGCCCCCACCCCGCAAAAAAAAAAACACCACCCCGCATTCTCCCAGAATAAAGGTGGCAACCCTACCCGTGTCCACCCCCCACCCCCCCGCAGCCCTCCAAAAGCAGCCACGGGACTCCCTGGGCGAGCTCCCTAGTGGCAAGGCAGAAGCACCGACCCAAAAGAAGCTTCCTTCCTGTCGCGCACGGATGACGTAGAGGTTTTTCTAATATGTTTAATACCGCCTCGCCCCCCCCCCGCCCCCCAAATCCACTCCCTTTCCACCATCTCCCTTAAGAGGCTCGAGCCCGGACGCCGCTCGCTGGCAGCAATGCACCGCCGGGGAGTCGGGGCAGGCGCCATCGCCAAGAAGAAGCTGGCCGAGGTCAGGCTTCTTTTTCCTCCTCCTCCTCCTCCTTCCTCCTCCTCCAGCTGGTCTTCCTTTCATTCTTGCTCGCTTGCTGTCTTCCCCCCACCGCCAGCCCAGCCTTTGTAGGAGGGGAAGGGGCTGCAGATTGCGCCTCTTGCCACTCCCCGGGAAGCTCTTTCGCCCTTACCAGTGTCGGATTTACGTATAATAATAATAATAATAATAATAATAATAATTTATTTATACCCCGCCCTCCCCAGCCAAGACCGGGCTCAGGGCGGCTAACAACCAATAATAAAAACAAGTTGATTAAAATACAATTTAAAGATTAAGATACAACATTAAAACAATTAGGGAGCAATCTCATCATAGGAGGAGAAAGGAAAAAGAAAAAAGGGGAGGGGATCAAACAGATTCTGAGCCAAAGGCCAGGTGGAACAACTCCGTATAAGCTAAACAAGCTATAGCTTAGGGCCCCACTCTCTTGGGGCCCCCCAATAAAATTAAAGGGAAAAAACCACACACCTGGATGTGCATTTCCAAAATATAAGACAGGAGTCAGCAAACTTTTTCAGCAGGGGGGTGGGCCACTGTCCCTTAGACCTTGTGGGGGGCCGGACTATTGGGGGGGGGGAATGAACAAATTTTTATGCCCCACAAATAACCCAGAGATGCATTTTAAATAAAAGCACACATTCTACTCATGTGAAAACACCAGGCAGGCCTCACAAATAACCCAGTGATGCATTTTAAATAAAAGGGCACATTCTAATCATGTAAAAACACACTGATTCCTGGACCGTCCGCAGGCCGTATTGAGAAGGCAATTGGGCCGGATCCGGCCCCCGGGCCTTAGTTTGCCTACCCATGATATAAGGTAAAAAAACAAATAAAATAAAGCCTACATACAGCAACAGTGTTTGGTGTTGTGTAGGCTCCTATGATGTAAATTGTGTTTCTAAAGGAACTTTTGTTATTGCCACATGCCAATGTGTTTGCATTATTAAGTTTCTTATGCATGAAAAATCATTTATGTTATGTTATGTTAATAATTATTTCACTATTAATATACTTCTTAATTGTATTTCAAGAATTACTTTGATAAAATACATATTTTGTTATGTGCAAATGGCTTTAGATACCTATGAGGTCCATAAATTACCATATAGTATATATTCAACACAAAAAACAGCACAATTTGTTGTTGACAAAGGGCAGCTGGACATATAAAGGCCCCCATTACCTTCAGTAGCTAAGGGCCTCATCTAACCTAAATCGGGCCCTGCTTCAACCCCAACTGGGCAAGGGGTGGTGGTGGTGGAGAAACGCACTTTGCATGTGCTCAGAGGCATTTCTCTTCAGTCCCATTGCCCATTATTGTATCCTGCAGCTGGCAGGGATCACCCCAGGCATTTGCTACTTCTGCTTCTCTCGATCTGCTGCACCTCTCCCCTAAACTAGGGCTGCCTGGCTTCTTAAAATCCCTTGCTGGAATTTGCCTCCTTTGCACTTTTGTCTGATGAGACAAGAAGAGAAGAAGAATCTTTATTTGCGTCAGCCACTAGCCATAGCAATAAAATAAAATTCACCGAAGATACGTGTCCCCGCTTCAGGAGAATGATGAAGCAGGGATGGGAGACTTGTGGCCATGGGCATAGCCGAGGGGATGCATAATCAAAAGCAATACAAATTTGAAGTTCTGCCCTCCCCTCCCCCCTCCCCTCCCCTAACAAAAGCCTGCCCCCTCTAACAAAAATCCATGCTTGTGACCCTCGGGATGTTGTTGGACTGCATGTCCCATTGGCACCAGCAAGCTCTCCAATGATGGGAATTGTAGTCCAACGTCATGTAGTGGGCCACAGGTTTTCCCTCTGCTCCTGTAAGGTAAGCGTTATCCTCCACTTTGCAGATGTGGAGACTGAGGCTAGGAGAGAGCGGTTTGCCTCAGGCCACCTTGTGTGTGGAAGAAGGGAGATTGAAACTTCCTGGTTCGTAGCTCAGTCTCTTAGCAGCTAAGCTACACCAGCTCTTGACAACTTGTGCAGTAGTTATTTGTGGGTTCCAGTAGAGGCTAATGGAGCATCCCTTCCAACATTTCTCCGATGAAAATAGGGACGTCGTATTCAGTAATAATAATAATTAATGATAATTTTATTTTTTACACCCTACCCATCTGACTGGGTTGCCCCAGCCACTCTGGGCTGCTTCCAACATATATAAAAACATAATAAAACCTTTAAAACTTCCTTATACAGGCCTGCCTTCAGATTTCTTCTGAAGGTTGTGTAGTTACTTACTGTATTTCCTAAATATCTGATGGGAGGGCGTTCCAGAGGGCAGGCGTCACTCCCAAGAAGGCCCTCTGCTTGGTTCTCTGTAACTTCATTTTTCACAGTGAGGGAACCGCCAGAAGGCCCTCGGAGCTGGACCTCTGTCTCTGGGCTGAACGATGGGCGTGGCGACGTTCCTTCAGATATGCAGAGCCGAGGTTGTTCAGGGCTCTAAAGGTCAGCGCCAACACTTTGAATTGCGCTCAGAAACAATTTGAATTGTACTCTTAGGAAGCTGTGTAAACGTAGGCAGAAAGGCGGCTTGCTGGCCTTCAAGAGAAAGGAGAGTTGCACTGCTTTGGTGCTACAACTTAAGACAGCCGAGTCTTGGGTGCTTGCCAAACAGTCCTGTGGACAGGGTATTCTCATAAGAGCATAAGATGAGTACAGGGAACCAGGCAGAGGGGCTTCTCGGTAGTGGCGCCCTCCCTGTGGAATGCCTGTCAAAGAGAACAACAACTACCAGACTTTTAGAAGACACCTGAAGGCAGCCCTGTTTAGGGGAAGCTTTTGATGTTTGATGTATTATAGTATTTTAATATTTTTTTGGAAGCCGCCCAGAGTGGCTGGGGAAGCCCAGCCAGATGGGCAGGGTATAAATAATAAATTATTATTATTATTATTATTATTATTATTATTATGCTGGATCAGGCCAATGCCCCATCTAGTCCAGCATCCTGTTCTCACAGTGGCCAACCGGAGCCTGTGCAAAGCCTGCAAGCAGGGCATGAACACAACAGCGCTCTGCCCAGGCACAATTCCCAGCAACTGGCATTTAGAGGCATCCTTCCTCTGACAGTGGAAGGAGAATGTAGCCATTGTGGCTCCCATAATGATGTTTAAGAATCAGAGATGCACATTCGGGGGTGTGTGGCTTATATATCACTGTGTGTCTTATCACCACTTTTTCCCCCCTTTTTAGGCCAAATACAAGGAACGTGGGACAGTTTTGGCTGAAGACCAGTTAGTCCAGGTGAGATGAGGAAACACCAAGGTGGTTTTTTTAAAATTATTTTTATTTTATTTTATTTTATTTTATTTATTTTATATATATAACTTTTATTAAATTTTCTGTTCTACAATTTAGAATATTCATTTAGACAACCTTAAGATATCAATGACTTCCCTTCTTCTCTTCCCATGCTTCATTTTGCATAGCATAAAATCCCTGCGTATTTTATATAAACTAAACCATTCAGTATTCCATTGTTACTTCCATCAAAACTTATTTACACTGTTGAATTTATCTTAATGCTGCCAACGTTTTCAAGTGTACACAATTATCCCCCCATATATTCAGAAAACATTTTCCAATCTTCTTTAAACGAGTGTTCTTCTCGTTCTCTTATTCTGTAAGTTAGATCCACAAGCTGCGTATATTCCATCAGCTTAAGTTGCCATTCTTCTTTAGTTGGGACCTCGCTCATTTTCCATTTTTGGGCTAACAAAACACAGGATGCCGTAGTGGTGTACATATGAATAACCTTTCTTAACACCTGGGAATTTCTATTTGAATTACCCCAACAAAAAGGACTCTGGTTTTTTTGGAAAGGTGCTTTAAAACATTTTTTTCAGTTCATTTTAAATTATTTCCAAATACTCTTTTACCCTTTTACAAGTCCACCACATATGAAAGAACGTTCCCTCAACCTCATTACATCTACAGAGATGTAATGAGGAAACACCAAGGTCTGATCTTAGCGTTAAAAGGAGGGCCACTGCAAAATGTGTGAATCTGAAAAGCTCTCGTATGAGCCTAGGCTTCTATACATTATGCACATTATCAACCTGTGGTTCCCATTTTCACAGGGTCTTGCGCTGATCAGGGGGAACCAACAGCTTGGGGAAATAAATAGAAAAACACATAAGTGATATGTCTGTATAGATGGTATATGATAGTAATAATTTCCGGCTTCCCTATGATATAGAGCACGTTTTCGCCAGTGGGTGGGACACAGAGATGGATAATCCATTGGCTTAATCCCAACATTAGTCTTCAACCTATTAAGAAGACAGCACTGGAGCAAAAAAGCTTTGCCATAAATCGTTTCTCTGTGGTAATGGCAGCAGAGAGTTGTCCCTTATGAAACATCAGTCTGTTCTAGGTCTCAAAGGTGTATTTCGAATTAGTAGCCTTTCAAAGCAGATCATTTTAAATCTGTTTCTTCTTTCTATCCTCTCGCTTCGTTTACAGATGTCTAAGCAGCTGGATACATTTAAAACTAACCTCGAAGAGTTTGCCAGCAAACACAAGCAAGAGATCCGTAAAAACCCGCAGTTCAGAGTCCAGTTCCAGGACATGTGTGCAACGATCGGGGTTGATCCCCTAGCCTGTAAGAAATGGGGGAGGCAGGGATTTAGGGGGTGGGGAGAAGCAGGGTGAGGAAGGGTTTCTGCAGAATCTGCTGGTCTTTCTTTGGCGCTTCAGTTCGATCTTCCGTGTTTCTGTTAAAAATAAAAAAAGGAGTGGCATTGTTTCTCAAATCAAAAACGAGTTATCACATTATAATGTAAGTTGTAAGCCCTCTGAAGAGGGACCATTTTGATCCATGCTCTGCCTTCCCAAGCCATGTTGCTATTGGTAATGGACGGTGGGCCTGTCTATATCTCCTTATCCCCAACCTGTCCTTGCTCAGAGGCAAGTTAAAATTTACAGTCAGGTAAGAAGGAGAATTGGATGAGCATAAAGAACTTTCCATGGACTTCTCACTGCCAAATGGAAAATCATTCCTAATGAAATGTTCCAAAAATCATGGATAGGGAAGACAGAACAAGTCTTGTCCCTTTTGAATTCTTGACACTCGCCAAACTAGGAAGTTCCTTTGCCTTTTTCTTTATTAAAAAAAAATCTAAACTTGCAAAATTGGGTCCTTGAGAGTCTAAAATAATAATAATGCAGCGTTCTTTTTTTTGTCTTTCATATATTCATATCCATATTTCATTCCCTCTTCCGCAGCTGGCAAAGGATTCTGGTCAGAAATGTTGGGTGTTGGAGATTTTTACTACGAGCTTGGCGTTCAGATTATTGAAGTCTGTCTAGCTCTAAAGCACAGAAATGGAGGTGAGGATAGCTTCCAGTCTCTTATCTTCGCAGGGTGTGTATGTGTGTGTGTGTTCTGTTCTCTCTAATGCCTGCCTGCCACTCTCTGAATGTGTGGCTGGTATCTGTGAGCTTCTTGGCCATGCCAGTCCAGCCTCCTAGAAACATTAACACAACCCTGAGCGTCTCCACTCAGAAGTAAATTCCACTGAGTTCAGTGGGTCTTATTTCTTGATAGTTGTGCATAGAATTTCATGCATCAGTAAGAGTAAGACTCTTACTATGGAGGAAGCCACATTGAACTCGGGGAGGGGGGAACCTATGGCTGTGCTGGCTGGGGCTGATGGGAATTGTAGTCCAAAATACCTGGAAAGCGCCAGGTTGCGGAAAACTAGTGTATAGGATTGCAAACTTTTATATATACAGTTGTACCTTGGAAGTCGAATGGAATTCATTCCAGAAGTCTGTTTGACTTCCAAAACGTTCGTAAACCAAAGCGCGGCTTCCGATTGGCTGCTGGAAGCTCCTGCAGCCAATCGGAAGCCCCATTGGACATTTGGCTTCTAAAAATAGTTCACAAACCGGAACAGTCACTGTTTGCGGGGTTTGGGAGCCAAAATGTTTGAGAACCAAGCTGTTTGAAAACCAAGGTACGACTCTGTGTGTGTGTGTGTGTGTGTGTGTGTGTGTGTGTAATTTTTATTGAATTTTCTGTTTTACAATTTAAAATACTCACTTTACATCATTAAGATATCAATGACTTCCATTCTTCTCTTTCCATGGTTCATTTTACATATCATAAATCCCTTCATGTTTTACAAAAACTATACCATTCAGTATTCCATTATTTCCTCCATCAAAACTTGTTTACACTGTTGAATTTATCTTAACGCTGCCAGCGTTTTCAGCTGTGCACAACTATTTCCCATATATTCAATAAACATTTTCCAATCTTCTTAAAATGTATGTTCTTCTCGTTCTCTTATTCTATATGTTAAGTCTGCGAGTTGTGCATATTCTGTCAACTTAAGTATAGGATTGCAACCTTAGCCTGCTAACATACTGGGTTGGATTCAAATTCCTTATATACATGGCTGTGTGTTAACATGCTTCTTGCTTCCTCATTCCCGCTAGGTCTGATAACACTGGAAGAACTTCACCAGCAAGTGCTCAAGGGGAGAGGAAAATTTGCGCAAGACGTCAGCCAGTAAGCTTTGCATTGGAGACTGCACTGCAGTGGGGGATGTAATATGTTTTGCGTTACTTTGCATAATTACTTTGCATTCACTGGCAATGTCTAGGGTGATGAAGCAGAGCAGCCCACCAGAAATAATTAAATCAGTTGTGCACGTTGACACGTGCAGAAGTACTGTTTTGGGGGGAGAGGGTGCGGGTGGGTATGGAGGACTCCCTGGTCCTGAATGGGGTAACTGCCCCTGAAGGACCAGGTGCACAGCCTGGGAGTCATTTTGGACTCACAGCTGTCCATGGAGGCGCAGGTCAATTCTGTGTCCAGAGCAACTGTCTACCAGCTCCATCTGGTACACAGGCTGAGACCCTACCTGTCCATGGACTGCCTTGCCAGAGTGGTGCACGCTCTAGTTATCTCCCGCTTGGACTACTGCAATGCGCTCTACGTGGGGCTACCTTTGAAGGTGACCCAGAAACTGCAATGAATCCAGAATGCGGCAGTGAGACTGGTGACTGGGAGTGGCCGCTGAGACCACATCACACCGGTCCTGAAAGACCTACATTGGCTCCCAGTACGTTTCCAAGCACAATTCAAAGTGTTGGTGCAAACCTGTTTAAGGGCTGCCTTCAGATGTCTTCTAAAAGTCAGATAGTTGTTTATTTCCTTGACATCTGATGGAAGGGCATTTCACAGGGCAGGCGCCACTACCAAGAAGGCCCTCTGCCTGGTTCCCTGTAGCTTCACTTCTCGCAGTGAGGGAGCCGCCAGAAGGCCCTCGGAGCTGGACCTCATTGTCCAGGCTGAACGATGGGGGTGGAGACGCTCCTTTAGGTATACAGGACCGAGGCCGTTTAGGGCTTTAAAGGTCAGCACCAACACTTTGAATTGTGCTTGGAAAGAAAAGAAATGAAAACTATGTTTCTCAGGTAACTCATTTCTGCACCCAGTGCTGTTTTGTAGCTTTTCTGTGCTTCCACGGAATCACAGCATAATACATACCTTGTTGGACATGGTTGAAGGTACTGATGTGCTGAGATCATCCTTTGCCCTGACTCTTCTTTCCCTGGCTCCTCAGAGATGACCTCATCCGGGCAATTAAGAAGTTGAAAGTTCTAGGAAACGGCTTTGGGATCCTTCCTGTTGGTGGGACCTACCTGATCCAGTCTGTGCCGGCTGAACTAAATATGGACCATACGGTTGTGATACAACTTGCTGAGGTACCCATGCCAAGTTGACTCAGTTTCTACTATTATTCCAGGGGTCAATTCAAAGTTCTTGTACTGAGCTATCCATCCCTTGCCTATACAGTCGTACCTTGGAAGTCAAACAGAATCCGTTCCAGAAGTCTTTTTGACTTCCAAAACATTCAAAAACCAAATCGCAGCTTTGCTCTTACAGCCAATCAGAAGCCCATCAGATGTTCGGGTTCCAAAAAGATCGTTCACAAAACAGAACAATCACTTCTGGGTTTGCGGCGTTTGGGAGCCAAAACGTCCGAGTTCCAGGGCGTTAGGGATCCAAGGTACGACTGTATGTGTGTGTGTTTCATCGACATCCTTATGGTCACCCATAGTTCACTGGCCTCTGTTGGGAGACAGAAGGGGGGGAGCTGCAATCTGGTCCCCTTCAGTCCAGTCCCTGACAAGCGGACATTGCTTCTCCCTAGTCAGAAGCCCTCCCTAAACTTCTTTTCCAACCCCCCATCCCGGGGGCATGACCCTGGGTCATTTTGCAGGTGTAATCTACCCCTGAAGTCTTAAGTCCTCGCCTACAAGATGGTGTGCGTTGAACGTCTCCTTGTTGTTTTTAGTGTTGGCTGGGCTTTTCTGATCAGTGACCTTTTTTGAAATCGCCTCCTTTCTTTACTCTCCGTTTCAGAAAAAGGGGTACGTGACCATCAGCGAGATCAAGTCGAGTTTGAAGTGGGAGGCGGAACGAGCAAAGCAAGTTTTGGTATGTAAACAATGAGTTACATTATAAAAAGAAAAGAGCGCCCACCTCTTGGCAGCTTGGAAAATGAAATATTGCATTAGAAGTTGTGTAGGTTAGGCAAAAGTGCATGTCATTATACATGTTTGCTTGAAACTAAATGTTGCAGCATGGAGTTTCTCTGTTGAGGATTCTAAGCTATCCATTCCATGAACCCCCTTGCAGATTTCTGTTTCTTCCCCAACAGTAAGCCAACATTCTGTGGCCACTGAGCATGCTCAGTCCTCCCCCTGTTCTAGGGTTTCCCCCCTACAAAGCTCAGGGTTCCCCAAGCCTGCTGCTGGGAGGGTCCTGTTGCACTCAATTCCTGCATCTGGTTGGCTACTGTGAGAACAGAATGTTGGACTAGATGGGCTTAGTTCTTCATATGTTCTCCTGCCTGCATTGTGTTGGGGGGAGAGTGCAAAGCCACATGTGATAGCCCTCCTCTCCAAATAATAATCTCTGGCTTTTTACAGGATCACTTGCTGAAAGAGGGCATGGCGTGGCTGGATACCCAGGCTCCAGCGGAACCACAGTACTGGCTACCTGCCCTCTTCACAGAGCTTTACTCTCAGGAAATCACACCAGAAGAAGCGAAGGAAGCTTTGCCTTGACAGCCGAAAAGGGGACTGATTTATCTGAACATTTTCATTTAAATGGGATGACACTTTTTGCATTAACATGATAAAGCTGAGTCACATCGAATGCCTATATTCTCTCTCTGCCCCCGCCCGCCCCAAGTCTTCAGAAGAAAATGTCTGTGTTACCAAACACTGCCAAGCAGGTGTATTTGACACTGATTCTGGGGCTTCTGCACGATGGGAGAGACTAATTTCGTAAGCAAGCTGTTAGTCCTCATGACTGGAAAGGTGTGGATGTGGTTTTTTCTCTCCTTAAAGACTTAGAAAGTGGAGAGGATTGGAGTCAATGTATGTGTTGTAAGCGTCTCTCCCTCCTTTCCCCCATTTCCTAATTACATTGTTGTGTACTTGATTTAACTCTGTGTACACTGGTTGCCTTCCCTAGAAAGGGTTTCTTGTTTATCTCACAATAACGTGAGAGAACCCCATCTTTAGATGGTGAAGCAGCCAAGATTTTATACTGTTCCTTATCGGGGCTTTGGGAAAGGGACCAAATAATTTTACTATTCTGTACATTCTCTCAAGCCCCATTACAGTGTTGAAATCGTCCTCAGTTTGTGTTTCATGGAAAAAATATGAGAGACATACTTCTGTAAAACAAGAAAATCTTTAATAAAAAAACAAAAGTTGCTAGTCCTGTGATGACAGGGCTTTAAAATTATTTGAATTATTGGAGTCTAGTAGCTCTAGATGTATTTTCAAATTCTGTCATCTCCACAACCGGGAAGACAAGAGGATGGGGACAGGAAGAGAATTGCTTGTACCTTTGTATAGTGAAATCTACTCACTTTTATTCTTTGCAAATGCAGTAATGTGGATTTCACGAAACTGCCTTAAGATTCTTCCCGGTGTCATTATTGTGAACAACCTAAAAATCTCACTGGGCATTTGAAGAGCTCTTTCATCCACTTACGCAGAGAAACACCTAGGGCCAAGATTCCACCTTAGGCTTTGTGGTTACAGGTATAAAAATCACCCGTGTGTGTACTTGCTCATTTAGATCAAGCATGTGAGTCAGCAGAGCAAAGGAGTCATTTCCACAGGTCGGATTTGCTTTTCTTAGCAAGTGAGGAGGAACTGCCTCCGGTAACTTCACAAAAATCACCTTAAGGCAGCTTACAGAAAACTGCCGGCTGCTCACATATGCAGAGGGGATCCTGAGCCATAGATTGTGGTAAGCAACATCCACCACAGACCTGACTTGGGCAGAAATGCTTATGCAGTCTCCCTGGGTGACTTGGCCTCAAGTTCAGCAGTTCTAGGCAGCTGGTCAAACCCTCCCATGAGATGGTTTGGGTGTCTGCTTGGATATCATAGCAGCAGATATCCTGCTTTTCTCCATTGTGTCCTCAGCACAGCCTTGTAAGGTAAAAAGTCAGTTTGAGAAACCAGGTGGGCCAAGTCACCCGGGTGGGTTGCACATCTGAGTGGCAATTTGAACGTGGGCCTCCGACACTCCTAAACACTGTATTGTGCTTTTCTTAAAAGAAAAAATGGTGCCGGTACTCGCCATGAAGTAGTTACTGTAAGTTCCAAACATTTAACCAGTGCTTTTCTTCTAGGGGAAAAAGGTGCCAGTACTGCGGGTGCAGCCTGGCATTTTACCTACTCCTGCTTCATAGCTGCACTTTGAACTATTAGTACCCCACTGTAAAGGGATGCGTGTGGCACTGTGGTCTAAACCACTGAGCCTCTTGGGCTTGCCGATCAGAAGGTTGGTGGTTCAAATCCCCGTGACGGAGTGAGATACCGTTGCTCTGTCTCAGCTCCTGCCAACCTAGCAGTTTGAAAGCATGCCAGTGCAAGTAGATAGATAGGTACCACTATGGCGGGAAGGTAAACGGAGTTTCTGTGTGCTCTGGTTTCCGTCACGGTCCCGTTGCACCAGAAGCGCTTTAGTCATGCTGGCCACATGACCCGCAAAGGGGGGGAAAGGCAGGAATAGGCCAATATATATGTGGACTGTCGCTGAATCAATTGACTTTTCTTCTTGTAAGTTTTCAAAGTTCTTCATCTAGCTCAAGGTTATCACCTGAACTAGCCTTTGGGTATAGGGCGGTATAGTAATTTTATATATATATATATATATATATATATATATATATATATATAAAAAATAACCAAGCCCAGTCAGCCCATCATTTGCAAAAGATGACTTTAGAACCGTCGTGCCCCAAAATGGCAACTAGACATTCTGTTTTGGTGACTACAACCTTGGTTTAAGGAGCCATTTGGCCCCTGGCTTATATTTATGAGTTTCTAACACCGGGAGACTCCTGCCAACCTAGCAGTTCGAAAGCACGTCATGTGCAAGTAGATAAATAGGTACCGCTCCGGCGAGAAGGTAAATGGCGTTTCCGTGTGCTGCTCTGGTTCGCCAGAAGCGGCTTAGTCATGCTGGCCACATGACCCGGAAGCTGTCTGCGGACAAACGCCGGCTCCCTCGGCCAATAAAGCGAGCTGAGCGCCACAACCTCCAAGTCAGTCACGACTGGACCTAATGGTCAGGGTTCCTTTACCTAACACCGGGAGAAAGGTGTGTGCATAAACCTTTGATTTATTCTTTTGGAAGTACAGCAATCATTGCTCCCCGCCCCCTTTGCCACTGGTCCCACCAACCAATGGCATGTGTGGGGCCTGGAAGTTTCACCAAAAGGGAATACATCCCTGATGTAAGCTGCTTATGAATACAAGACCCCCTTTTTGGGTATTCCCCGCTGTTTTACCAATCCAGGACAAAGAAGAACCTCGGATCCTGCCAAAACAAACTTTATTGCACCAAAAAAAAAAAAAAAATTATGTACAATTGTATATAAACAAGGATTCCTTATTTTTCTTAAGACCCTTGTGCATTCGAGTGTGTTTAGCTTGTTAGGCCTAAAAGTCTTGTCACTAAACATTTTGTCTAGATCAGTCATCTAGGATTGTCACTTTTGAAATGGAAAACATTCAGAAAACAGATGACTATGGGCAGCTAGAAAACCATATTTCTTTTTGTTTTGTTTTCTTACATCCACATGCGAGCTGTGTGAAAAAGAAATAACCACATAAGGCATTTTCATGTTTTCTTTTCCTTTTGTCTTAAAAAGAAACGTAATGCAATGGTTCGACAGCCAACATGCATCTGGAACTAAGGTCTCTTGAAGTAACGGGTGCTCTGATTCGGGAACACCTCTGGTCCTGGTGACTATAGACTGGGGGAAAGCCAAACTTACACAATTGGCAGAGTTCGGAGAGTCCTACCTAGGTCCTACTGATTTCTGTGAGACTTAAAACGTTAAGTGTGCACTCAAGTCCCTTTGATTTCAGTGGAGGTGAAGCACGACTGTTTTCTGTTTTCGTTTTGCTGGATTGCACCCAATGAGATCAACACAAACATGATAAGATTGCCTTCGTCCTCACGAGGTCCCCCTCCACGAGGCATCTAAATGCAAACTTGCATTACAAAGCTTTTGACTCCACGGCAATTCGTAACCCTTGGGAGAGTCTTGTCTCCTTGCGGGTGGGAGAGAAATGGAAAAAATGGCATTCCACTCCAAAAAGCAGGTATGGGGGGGTTACTTTTAGTTTTAAGCAGCAGCACATCGTACTCTACATGGGAGAAGCAGGAGTAGCTGCAAGACTGGTGTTGTGCTTGCAGAGAAACAGTGCCTATAATCACACATGAACTTCCTTTCAGAGGCCAGGTAGGAATTGCATGGTTCCTACAGTTGGGATTGGACCTACTGAGTGAAACGCGTCCTACTGGCCTGGACACTTTTAGCATCTGCTCACCTCCCCCTGCCAAGTTTTTGATCTGGGTGTGCATCTGTAGGTCAGGAGCTCCCCCCCCCATTAAAAAAAAAAGTCTTAAAGGGTCTCTAAAAGAAGAAGGGTAAAAAAGCAAGGGAAAGGTGCTCACAAGGCTTCTGAGCCTTTCTATGTAGAAACCAGCTTGAACTTTCAAAAGTAAAAAATAAAATAAAATACTTTGCCAGCTGGGAGGGTGGCCAGACGTTCTCCCACAATTCGATCCTCAAAAGGCATGTGCTTCTCAGTCTATAGCACAACGAAGTGATTGGGAGAGAAGGGAGTTACGGCACATTCGGCAGACTTACACATGTGCAACTTTGCTTCGGTTTCAATAGAGGCTCCTGACAAAACACGAGAGCCAATCCTTTGACAGATCTCAACAGCTGGTTTTCTGCCCTGGCCTACTGCCCAACTTGGACTGATGCTTATTGCTGTCCTTCCATTAGCTTGTATCCTCCTCTACATCACTCAACTCCTAACTCTGCCCCCCAAAGCTGCAGATCTGAGTTGCTTTGAACAGAGAAGTCTGCTACTGCACTGCCAAAGCTTAAAATTAGCATTGCTTTTCTTTCTCTTGGTGCTGCGTTAATTTATATTTGCTATATCTCTCTCTCTTGAAACAAAATCAATGGCTGCATAGAATCACCTGTCTTCACTAAATTCTAATACTGTACCTTCCAAAAAAATAATAATTATATGCCACTTGCAGGAAATGAACTGCCAGAATGATGACTCTTTCCAAGGATCACAAAAAATAAAAACAAAAACACTGGCCATGAAATCTGCTCAACTTCACCTTTTGAAGGCTGCTGGCTGGGTTGCTCACAAGGCTGACACATTAACAATTTAGGATCTCTCCCAGTTTGTCTCTTCCTTCTTTCCTGCCTGGATTCCGAATTTGGGGAGGGATTATTCAAAAGGAGCTCTAGAGTTGAGTAAAGCTTTGGAAACTGCTTTTTCGTTGTCGTTTTGGATCGCCACAAAAGCCCAGTTCCGGCCAAAGTTCCTCCTCTTTGGTCTGTCTAGGACAGGCAACACCAACCCAACTGGGAAACTGAAACAGAGCGAATATGAAAACAGGGCTTGATTATTTAAATGGTCAAAGGTGCTTTTACAGACTTGGTAGGGCTGGGAGTCCATCCCTTTGTGGGAACGTTGGGAGGGAGGCGCTGAGGGTATATGCGGCATGTTTTGAAACAAAAGACGGCATGGCGTAGAGGCAAGCTCTACCTCCTGCTCTTTTAGAAACATGGGGAGGACAGAAACCAACCCATCGCGGGTTCTTCCAGAATGCCTTTATGCCATTTTTGCTCACGGGTCTCCAGCAGAGAAAGAGCCACTTTCAAAAGACAGCTTGTCAGAAGCCCGGTTCAGTTTTAGCATCAAATCCTCGTTTGTTTTAAACAGCGTGTACCAGAGCACTGGAGGAGGCAATGAAGGGGTGCTGCTCAGCTCAGGTTCTCCCCGCTCTAGAACCGGACTGGTTCTTGGGTATCTCCGGGGTTCCTCCGCAGTGCCTGGAGTCAGAAGATCCCACCCCTACGTCTTGGGTTCCCAAGCGGTCAGGTGGGAGGCACCTATGCCTTAATGCTCCCTTGAGTGTCTGTCTCTGTCTCAGAGGAGCTGCTTTCTGAGTCTATGTCTGGGTTCTCCTGCTGGTGTTTCTCTTGCACTTTCAGGCGGATTCCTTGCAAACGCAGCAGAAGGGACTGGTAGTCAAAGTGCCCTCGCTTCTCGCCGAAGGGATCCTGCGAGGGGAGAGGAGAAGGGATGAAAATTACTTTTTTTTAAAAAATGCTTTATTGGTTGAAAACTGTATGACAGAAATAATCAGTAGATGCTAAAGACAAGATAAAAAACACAATTATTCTTTTCTTAAATGATCCTTGTTTTGTACATCATATTGTAATTAAGTTTAACATGACCTCCAATCTCCCCATTAAGTTCCCAGATTAAATTCCTTGATTACGCACTTATCTTTATTTTCTCCCTGTTATTTAACTTACTTTAAATTTTGTAAACTTATCCTATTTGCACCCAGAAGTCAATCAAAACCTGCCAACGGATTTATTTTGACAATGTTCTTTTACATAAATTCTATATATATGCCCTACTCTCTGATAAATTTTTCATCTGTAACGTCTCGTAGCCTTGCTGATAGTCTCGCCAATTCAGCGTGCTGTCTTAATTTATTTTGCCAGTCTAATTTGGGTGGGGTGTCCTCTCCCTTCCGACCTTTTGCGATTAAAATTATGGCAGCAACTGTAGCATACATAAAGACTCTCCTGAGCTTTTTTGGAACTTTGTTGCCCGTAATTCCTAGCAGGAAGGCTTCAGGGTTTTTAGGGAAAGAGCATTTGAACATTTTCTTGAGTTCGTTAAACTGTCTGATCGGGATGAAAACAACTTGCATCAAGATCTGCCAGGGTTACTTGGCACATGGACTGGAAACAGGGTGGCCAAGGCCTTCTGTAACCAGTTCAAGTCACAGACGCTTGTCAAGATCAATATTATTCTAAGCAGTGAGTATTTTTTAACAACCTTGAAGCCACAAGAGGAACAGGGGAACTACTGCTGGATCAGATTGGAAACCCAAGTCTAGCAAATCAGACTGCAACATGTGCTTCAGTTGAGAAAAATGACATTCTGTAAAGGGAAAATAGCTTCCTATTACAGTGGTACCTCGGGTTAAGAACTTAATTCATTCTGGAAGTCTGTTCTTAACCTGAAACTGTTCTTAACCTGAAGCACCACTTTAGCTAATGGGGCCTCCCACTGCCGCTGCCACGCGATTTCTGTTCTCATCCTGAAGCAAAGTTCTTAACCCAAGGTACTATTTCTGGGTTAGCAGAGTCTGTAACCTGAAGCATCTGTAACCTGAAGCGTCTGTAACCTGAGGTACCACTGTATATTGAAATCTATCTACAGTGGTGCCCCGCAAGACGAATGCCTCACAAGATGAAAAACTCGCTAGACGAAAGGGTTTTTTGTTTTTTGAGCTGCTTCGCAAGACGATTTTCCCTATGGGCTTGCTTCGCAAGACGGAAACGTCTTGCAAGTTTGTTTCCTTTTTCTTAACACAGTTAATACAGTTGCAACTTGACTTCGAGGAGCAACTCATAGTACGCTGTGTTGTATCCATTTTTGAGGTTTTTAATGACTTTGGTGATTTTTGAAGCTTTTCCAAAACTTTCCCGACACCGTGCTTCGCAAGACGAAAAAAATCGCAAGACGACAAAACTCGCGGAACGAATTAATTTCGTCTTGCGAGGCACCACTGTATAACCTAAGAGGAACCTGCTGAATTAGCCCAAAGGCCCATCTAGTCCGGCATCCTGTTCGCACAGTAGCCAACCAGATGCCTGTGGGAAATTGTCAAGCAGGACCCGGGCACAAGAGCCCTCTGTCCTCCTATAGATTCCAGGAACTGGTATTCAGGAACATCGATGCCTCTGATTGTGGAAGCAGAGAGCACAGCCATCAGGGCCATGGCAGGCATGGAAGCTCACTTCCCGGATTAGAGAATTTAACATCTTTCATCCCCATCCCCTTGCTGGATGCTCTTTTCCCAATAACCAGGATCTATTCAAGTCTCCTACCTCTCACCCCCTCATTCCAACATCCTGCTCGTGTTAATATAAAAAAGGTAAAAGGTAAAGGACCCCTGGACAGTTACGTCCAGTCAAAGGCGACTATGGGGTTGCAGTGCTCATCTCGCTTTCAGGCCGAGGGAGCCGGCGTTTGTCCACAAACAGCTTTCCGAGTCATGTGGCCAGCATGACTGAACTGCTTCTGGAGCAACAGAACACCGTGATGGAAGCCAGAGTACATGGAAACACCGTTTACCTTCCTGCCGCAGTGGTACCTATTTATCTACTTGCACTGGCGTGCTTTCGAACTGCTAGGTTGGCAGGAGCTGGGACAGAGCAACGGGAGCTCACTCCGTCACAAGGGTCCGAACCACCAACTTTCCAATCTGCAAGCCCAAGGGGCTCAGTGGTTTAGACCACAGCGCCACCCGCATCCCACAATATACCTCCAGCCAGTTCCTGGTGCTTCAGAAATGCCAGCAATTGGTCATTTCTCCTAATTTGTCCTCCATACCTCAGGTTTTCAATTTGCCCTTTGGGAAAACCCTCAGCTGAGCAAACGAGCCCACTTCTCAAGAGGGAAGGAAATATGACAATCTAAACAAAAACAAAAACAAGGAGGCTGCCTTCCGGAGTGGGCAGTCATAGACATCTGATCCTTACCTGCATTGTCTGTCCTTGGAGGTGAAGCCGCTCTTTGCATACCCCCTCGTAGAAATCATAGTACTCCATGAAGGACTTTTCCATGACACCCCTAGCAAGCAAAACGAACCGTAAGGCCGCAGAGCAAGGATGTGACAGGTGGTTTATAACAAAAGGGCTACTGCCATAGTTCATGCTCCTGAAAATTAGTTTGTCATGTGCATATTTCTTAAAAACAACCACAACAGTTAACATTTCCCCACAGTGCAACACACTTTGGTTCCCTCCCTCAAGCATGACCTGCTGACCAAAATACTATAAAAAACAACAACCTTAAGAGGCGGACAGCAGGGAGAGCTTCTATGGAGCCATGAATACAATAGTACCTTGGTTGTCGAATGCCTTGCGACTCAGACGTTTTGGCTCCCGAATGCCGCAAACCCGGAAGTGGGTGTTCCTTTTTGCAAATATTCTCTGGAACCCGAACATCCGACGCGGCTTCTGATTGGCTGCAGGAAGCTCCTGCAGCCAATCAGAGGCCGCGCCTTGGTTTTCAAACGTTTTCAGAAGTCAAACAGACTTCTGGAATGGATTCCTTTTGTGAACCAAGGTCCAACTGTACTGCAGTTTGCATTGCTTGCACAAATAACCCCAGCAAAAGATCTGAATTAACAAGACACATGTTGGTAATCTGGAGTGGAAGGAACAGAATGCGGACAACGACCATGCAGCTGCAGGAATGAATGGATGAAGGTGCTTGAATGCCGAGTCATGGGTTTCATGCTGGCAAACAGTTTTTCTAAGTGTGTGCAGGGGGGGGCGTGTTCGGGTCCGGTGCGTTTCCACAGCAACAGAATTCCCGGACTTGCAGCAGAGCAGCACAGCGCGTGCTTCTGGTGTGAGTGAGCTTGCAGAAGAAGAGTTTGGATTTGATATCCAGCCTTTCACTCCCCTTCAGGAGTCTCAAAGCGGCTAACATTCTCCTTTCCCTTCCTCTCCCACGACAAACACTCTGTGAGGTGAGTGGGACTGAGAGACTTCAAAGAAGTCACCCAGCAGCTGCATGTGGAGGAGCGGGGACGCGAACCCGGTTCCCCAGATTACGAGACTACCGCTCTTAACCACTACACCACACTGGCTCTCTAAAGAAGAGAGAGTCCACACGCTGTTGTTCCTCTAAACTAACAGCTTTATTTACATCAGAACGATAAAATAATAAACAGACCATTGGAGACGGCAGGCATGGTGTCTCTGCGTCTCTCGGCAAAAAAGTGAAAGTAACTCACAGACAAAGGACTCAGCTTTTCCCGGATGTAGAGAAAAACAACTCCCCAGATGCAGGGCACACACAGAGCTGTTAACCCTGTAAACTCCAAACCTCACAGGAAGTCTGACTAAGGGGTTCCTCCCTCTCTCCTTCTCCATGCTAAATGCCTGAAACCCATGGACTGAGACTGCCAAACATACCGTAAAGGCTCCGGACAAGGGCATTTTCCTTCTAGCATGTCACACACAGCGACCCTGATAGTCTCGTGCCGAATACACTCGTTGTAATTTTTACTGTCTCCCGGATGTCTTTCCTGCAAGAGATCGGTGGCCAAAAACAAAAGTCACCTTTTACGAAGTTCAAGACACATGGCCCACAACTTTGGTCTTGTCGGGGGGGGGGAGAGAGAAGAGAGAGAGAGACTTGGAATGCCTCCAATTAGTATGGCTGACATTACCCATTGGAAACACTGGTCAGTCGCTGATAAAAGTGGATTGACGATCCTATTTCAAACCAGAGCTATGGTCCATGAAAGATCCCAAAGAGGTTCCATGCATGGTCTTGCTCTGCAGACAAGCTGCGAATATGTGCATACGGACTGCAGCATATGGAGTTATCCAGGGCTGCTCAAGGCATTTTTCCTTTCCACTCTGTCCCAATGCAGTCAGCTGTTTTAACACAACAGGGAAGCAGGCCCCACCTGCAGCAACATGCCGAACCTCTGAATCGGGAGGGTCTTCTTAAAAGGATGTAGGGGTTGGAGATTGAACCTCAACAGGTCTTATTGCTCTGCCGACATTCCCGTTTCTAAGAGAGCCGTTTGTTACAGGACAGCCACTTCCCTGTCCCTGTAACCAAGAGCTCCGTAAAGTGGGCACTAATCCACGATTCAGGCTACTTACCTGCTCAAAGCCAGGCTCGTTGTGATAAGGGTTCTCAGTCATCAGGGACTGTATAGATATAAGGACCGAAGAGATGCTCTGGGCAGGACTCCAGGCTGGACCAGTCCACGTACTGCCGGACAGCAAGAAACGGGAGTTTATTTTCACACAGCCAAACAAACACAATTCTGTAAAGTGGAGTGGATGATGTGTGGCTTTCAATGTACTTTGATTTGTAACTTGTGAGAGGCCTAGCTCTGTCTGTCTGTGTGTGTGTGTGTGTGTGTGTGTGTAGGTAGTAAAAAAAGACAGTTTCCAGTGTAGGTAAGGTAGGTAGTAAAAAAACACCAAACAGTTTCCAGGCCTCAGGGTGGTGGGGAAAAAATTGAAGACGTAATGGCAAGAACCACTAAACAAGCAAAGAAGATAGAATAGCCCAATTCTGTGACACATGTAGCAGATAAATTGTATAGGTATAAATGAAATTGCAGGCAGGATTCGAGATAAAAGCAGCAGCAGATAAACAGCAAAATAATTGTAACACGAGAAACTTTTTTGCAATAGATAAAAAGATGTAATGCAGTAGAAAAAAAGGTTTGAGTAAAAGCACTCTGGAGGTGAGGGTAGGAAGTCATTTTATGAAACAATGTACAGTGGTACCTCCGGTTGCAGATGGGATCCGTTCTGGAGGTCCGGTCGGATCCCAAGGTTTCTGTAACCTGTGCATGTGCGTGGGGGCAAAACCCAGTAAAATACTTCCGGGTTTGCCACACGCACACCCCAAAGTTTATGTAACCAGAGGGTTACGTAAACGAAGGTTCGATTGTGTTTGTTTTGAAGGTAGTTGTGAAAACATTTGCGCGCACACACACGTTATGAAGATGGATAATTACTGTTTTGTGATAAAACCATTCCAAGCTTTTATGCATCTTTCCAGTATACAATCTGAATTGAGGGCTGTATGCATTCAGTCTCACGCAAGAGCCACACACATAGTCTGGCACTGAGGGGAGAATTCAGCCTCCTAAGTATTCACATTCCTTTTCTGTTTAGATGTCTAGCTCTTATCAAATGTACTGGAATTCTGAAACCTTGGGAGCTGGCTGATTAGGGGAGCGAGGGGGACAAGGGGGCAGGATTCCCAGTGGCCAGGGCTCAAGGCGTCAACACCCCACGCATCTCCTTGGCAAGTCTCCGTAATCAGGAGAAACAGAATAAATCATGGCAATCAAGCAAATGCGTGCAAACGTCTGTGATAAACAAGTCGGAAATTCCATTGTTTCTTGGCATCGTCATCTTCTTTCAGAGCACCAGCTACACACTGTGTCTACACCTCAGTTCGTAGAAGCTGTGTGAAATATCTGAGGAATTCTATTTGGAGCATTCCCACTGTCCAGAGATGAAGGGCAAAAAGCTCCACTATGAAAACAGGAAATAAAAATCCAGAAACACAAAACAGGATAATTAAGTTGCATAGCACGGTGTCCCTGCCCCTTGCTTTTTCAGGGTGCCAGTGCAAGAGGGACTTCCTGATTTTTCCCAAATAACATGTAAAAGGTGCTTGCTTGCGTCCTGAATCCAATTAGATCCTAAAAGGTTCCAAATCCATATATATACTAAAAAGCACTTGTGGCTAACAGACAAAGTATAGCAAGTAAATCTGGTTTACTTGCCCAAGGCCATGTCTGAACATTAGTGAACCTAGAAAGAAAAGAATGCTTTAACTGCAGGGTGGATAAAAATAAATGATTTTTTAAAATAAAAATTAAAATGTAAGATTTTTTAAATTTAAACAGGATTTTTTTTATTTAAACCAGATTTTTTTAAAATTTAAATAGGATTTTAAAAATAAATTGCTTTTGGAGGAAAAATCTTTCTAAAGATACTTTTCTATTTAAGTTACATTATAGTTCAAAGGCTACTCATCAGGAAATAAGGATTTGTTTTAAGTTTTTAATGTGTGCTAAAACTCAGTCTAAGTTGTTTGTTTGTTTTTTAAACTGTTTAACCACATCAGCTGACAAACATGGATACATATGCTATACTGTTTTTGTTACACAAATTGTTTAAATTGTTATTAAGGAAATGATTATTTTTCTCCTTCCAATAAAGTACAGCAGAAAACCTGTCCAAATGTAAACAGTTAACTTATTAAACCTCACAATAATTTCATAATTATCTGTCTATGTATCTCTAATAGTATAACGAAATCGGTAATATTTGATAGAACTGTAAAAGAAAAGCCTACTCTGAAAATTTATTATTCCAAAAATGGAACCTTCCTCTGGTTGTAAATATTAAGATTATACCAGCAAGAATGAGTCTGTCAAAGAATGATTTAAATCAAGTCTTACCTACTAGTGATTTAAATCGATTTGATTTAAATCAAATCCACCCTGCTTAGCTGTGGGATACCCAATTCCTCCTCTCTATACATGCTTTGTTACTTTGAAGCTCGTACACAATACAGTATTACTAGGGAAGATCATAATCTTCATGCTTGAGTCATGTTAGCTGTCTCCAAACTGGTGTTGCCCAGGCGCTTTGGACTGCAAATTCTACCAGCCCATCAACGCAGCAGATCGTCAGTGATGATAGGAGTTAAGGCCCAACGTCTGCCAAGCATCAAGTTGAGAAAGACTACAATGGGATATACAAAATTATGCTGTTTCTCAAGCCTGGAAGCCCATAGACCAGGCATAGGCAGACTCGGCCCTCAAGATCTTTTGGGACTACAACTCCCATCATCTCTAGCTAACAGGACCAGTGGTCAGGGATGATGGGAGCTGTAGTCCCAAAACATATGGAGGGCCGACTTTGCCTATGCCTGCCATAGACCAGGCTTCCTCAACCTCGGCCCTCCAGATGTTTTGAGACTACAATTCCCATCATCCCTAACCACCGGTCCTGCTAGCTAGGGATCATGGGAGTTGTAGGCTAAAAAACTTCTGGAGGGCCAATGTTGAGGAAGCCTGCCATAGACGGTCATTTTCTATTCCCGATCTAACTTTCTTAAGGATGTTGAATACAGCAGCTCCATTCAGCTCCCGTCATTTTCTTTTTCAAGCACCATCTTTTGAACCAAGTCAGAGGCAGAAAACCACCCAAACTGTCTCTGCCCCCACGATGCACGACGCAAGCAAGGGGCCTGTCAACCTCTGGCCATTGCGAACAGAAACAGGCCGAAGGGCACAAGTGACTGGGCAGAGTATAAAATCTGCAACTATGGCCACTTCCTGTCATACTTTGATTTGAAGAGCTGGAGGGCTGGAAATGAAGACCACACAGGATCAGCAGGAAAAAGCAACGCCCCAAACTTTCAAGAGAATGCTTTGTGGTTTCTGAAAATGTAATGCTATTTGAAACCAACCTTTCCCCCCCACAAAAAACCCATGTAAATATAGAAAGGAAAACTAAATGCTTCTGATAGCTGAGCCAAATGAACAGAAGCTCTGGATGTTACAGGAAGCACTGTCAACCATGTGCATGACTTTCTCGCGCATCTGGCTGATGGCAGAGACTCCTTTCAATGTCCAGAGATGCTCAAATGATCTATGCCGGGGTGGCCAACTCCCAAGAGACTGCAATCTACTCACAGAATTCAAAACTGGCAGTGATCTAGCCCTGTTTTCGGGGGGTTCAGGTTAAAGTGGTTAAGCTTTTTTTAACGGGAGGAGGAAAGCCACGTTTTTGGGGAGTTCAAGGCTAAGCTGCTGACCGTTTTCAGGGAGAAAGGGGAACAGCCTCTCAACAACAGATCGCTGGGAAAACAAACAGCTTCCCTGAGTAAACTCAGCCTTCCGTTCTGCAGATCGTGCAACAATGGAAGGCGGGGCCAGATTCTATTTTACCAACGCTAAGGAAAGGGACCCAGCGATCGACAAAAACCTCCTGGGGATCTAACAGTAGATTGAAATCGACCTATTGGACATCCCTGTTCTATGCCATCTGAAGGCAGCCAGCCACTAAACAGGGCTGCCTTCAGATGTCTTCTAAAAGTCAGATAGTTGTTTATTTCCTTGACATCTGGTGGGAGGGCGTTCCACAGGGCGGGGAGCACTACCAAGAAGACCCCTTTGCCCAGACAAGCATGTGTCCCAGTGTGCCCTGTCTTGGAAATGATGATAGGAATATAATTAATCCGAAGCCTCGCATTTTAAGAAGAAATACTAGCGTGGTTCAAAAAAAATAAAAGACAACAGCAAAACAAGAAGAATGAAGCCAACTGTAAAAAAATACGAGCTAGTCATAGCATAACAACAGCATTGAAACATATATATAAATGAGGAAGCCCATTTCAAAAAGCGTAACAGCTAAAAACAATCAAATTGGGAGATCCAAGTTAGGAAGAGCAGGGAAATACTTGTCTAAACAGGTGTGACTTCAAAAGCTGGCGGAGTGGCAATACCTTCGGGGGCCTCCCATATGTAGCAAGGGGAGCTACCAGTGAAAAAGCCTGCCCCTCTCGTTCCCGCAAGATGATCATCATCAACCTACCTGGCTCTGAACAGAAACACACACACACACACACACACACACACACACACACACACGTTTCATCGACATGATAATTGCATGCAGAAGTGTGGACCTCCCCTAAGCAGCTCAGGCTGCTCAGCTCCTTACCCTAGAATACTGAGGCAGACCTTCCCATTGCGGTAGAAGTTAGGGTTAAACCTCACTGTGTTATTCCCGGTTGTCATCAGTTTGACCCGCGGCGGATGGATGGGATAATCTGGAGGACAGCGAAACAGGAACAAGAAGAAACCCCCTTCGTAAGGCGTGTCAAAGGGGCCTGTGATCAACGCATGAATCTGCAAGAGAAAAGCCCAGCTCGCGCAAAAACTTCCAACTGGGTGCAACGTCGGCAGAGCCTGCGCGGGACGCAAGCCGGCCGCTAAGAGAGTTAAGGGGGGGGGGGGGAGAAGAGAGATCCTCTACAAAGCATTAGGGAAAATTCACTGCCCTCTCAGGTTCAAGAATCAAGCTCAGTTCACACAGGTAGCTGTTGAGGAGGCCCAAATTATTTCTGGAGCACACCACTTCTTCACACTACAGGTGGAAGACTGCGAAAGCAACTGGTTTTGTGGTTTTGCCCCACAAGGACAGGCACCCATTAAACAGCAGCAGCGCCCAGTGGCTCTCTCCACAGAGCAAGGGGTGAGGAGGATATGAGTCTGAGCACCATCAGGAGGAAGGGGGAGAAATGTTCCCACTTACCTTTTGCACGGACGCCCCCCCCCCCAAAGAACCCCAGTCACAACAAGGGCAACAACAGAGACAACTCCTGGGCTTTGAACCCACAGAATAGCTTCCTATCCACTTGGCCACAGCAGCAGACAAGAAACACAAGGCCCGGTCTCAGGCGTACATGGGCTTTCTTTTCATGGAGGAGCTTTCCCCACCTGTGGTCTGGAGTGATAAAAACTGTTCCAGGATGTATACCACATCATCTGTATGAACGAGGCCTCATTTGACCTTCAACTAAATGGCCACTCAATGTGGTCAAACTTCAGGCATGTGAGATCTACTTTTTTTAAAACAAAGAACAGATCCCTCAGATATACCAAGAGGACGCCAGTGAAATATTGTGACTCAGGGGCAGACCTACTTAAAATTCAGAATGCTTAAGAATAAATCAACAGAAGGAGGTTTCTCTCTGTTTCTTTGATAACACCTGGATGGGAAAGATTAATGATTTGGGAGCTGCCAAAATAACAATTCTCAAAGAGCTGGACAGAACTCTGAATTTGGATGCAATTAAATGAAGCGGTGCGATGAAAAAACAAAAACAGTTGAAAAAGTACAATATACGGACAAATCTGCACTCCATAGGGAAAAAAAAGTATCTGTTTTCTGACATGAATGAGGATCACATAAACAGAGTCAAAACGTGGAGGAAAAAATCAGATATGGAATTATGGAAAACATTGATGATGAGAGGCAGGACTAAGATGTTGAAAGCGCTTCAGAATTCAGACCGTGGGAAGCCAAAACAAAAATTATTACAATTTGGAAGACAATTGGACTTTCTTTTATTTTAGTTTTTTATTTTCATTGGATTTGATTTGATACATTAATTAGATGTTTTAATTGGAAAATTAATAAACGCTTTAAAAAAATAAAATAAAATAAAAATCAGAAACAGAGCCGGAGATTGCTTCCTTCTTACTTCTGAAAAGGTACCCCAAACCCTCATTCTAACACATTTATCAGGGTGAGCAGAACATGAATTGAAAAGATTTGCCCAAGGATGAAGATGCTTTGTGCAAACTTCACTTTGCCGAATTTCTCCTGTGGCAATCGCTCTGCTACCCTTTCCCACAAGCTGCTGCCATAAATGAAATTTCAAGTCATAGCAAGGTGAACTTCAGTATGCCAGCCCTCCTAAAAACAGCACGAAACTCCTTCAGGGAGGACACACTACAGAGGAAGGCATTCAGATACCACCTACCTTGGTCATATCATGGGGGTCAGGCACTACAAACATTCCAGGAGGGGGTTCCTTGTAGATAGACATGATATCTCTGGGAAACAAAAATAATAATAGCAGCAATGTATTATTCAGTCAAGTGTTTCTCTAGAGCAGCGTTTCTCAAACTTGGGTCCCCTGCTGTCGTTGGACTACTACAACTCCCATCATCCCTGATCACTGGCCCTGCTAGCTGGGAGTTGTAGTCCAACAACAGCTGGGGACCTCCAACAGTGTTTGAGAAACACTGCTGGAGCTTCCAGCTTTGTACCTCAATCCCCAAATCCTGTTGCTGAATTCTTGAGAAACAGCCCTGCTTTTAAAAAGAGAGAAGGAAACCTAAGTTTCTATTCCTCATGGCTTCAGGCAGGCGGTCAATCTTAAAAGACTGCTGAAAACGAATATAACGATCTCTCCTATAATGGACTCTCTATAAAGTTGTGTTGTGCTTTTCATAGCCCTCCTCACTCCTTTGTCCCATTTTAATCCATATTCGTTTCCTCCTATGTCACAACTTATTACCTTCCAAATGCATGGCACATTACATGGGCAGCTCCAAATCAAGCACATATTACAATATAGCCCATCAAAGGAAATGAAGAGAAAAGGGAAAGCCCAGGATTTTGAAACACTGTGAATATCACAGCTTAGGCTGGGACACCAGAAGAGGGAGGGAGGGGCAATTCAATCGTGAAAAGACACATTTTCATCACCCTCTCTGGCCTATGAGAAACTGCTTCCTCAAACTCTTACCACACACATACAGTCATGGGAAAAAGAAAGTACACCCCCTTTGAATTATGTGCTTTTACACATCAGGACATAATAGCAATCATTTGTTCCTTAGGTCTTAAAGTTAGGTAAATGCAACCTCAGATGAACAACATGTCATATTATACCGTGTCATGATTTATTTAACAGAAATAAAGCCAAAATGGAGAAATCATGTGTGAAAAACTAAGTACAGTGGTACCTTGGTTTACGAACTTAATCCGTTCTGGAAGTCTGTTCTTAAACCAAGGCGCACTTTCCCTAATGAGGCCTCCCGCCGCTGGTGCCCTTCCACCATTCGGCTTCCGTTCTTAGACCGAGGTAAAGTTTGCAAACCGGAACACTACTTCCGGTTTTGTGGAGTTCGTAAACCGAATAGTTCGTAAACAGGGTTGTTCTTAAACTGAGGTACCACTGTACACCATTACAGCTTCCATAGCGATTAAGAGATTAAGTAGACAGGGGTTGCTAATCAAATGTCCTTGCTTAATTGATCATCAGCAAGTGTGCCCACCTCTATAAAAGACAAAATTTTAGCAGTTTGCTTGTCTGGAGCATTCAGGTGTGTTTTAACACAGTGCCAAGGATGAAAGATTACACAGTGCTCTTAGAGAAGAAAGTGTTGCCGCCCATTTCCAACCAACTTTAAGTCCATCATTCTACAGTGGGAAAGATTATTCAAAAGTGGAAAGCATTTAAGACAGTTGCCAATCTTCTCAGGAGTGGACGTCCCAGCAAATTCACGCCAAGGTCAGACCGTGCAATGCTCAGAGAAATCGCCAAAAAACCCAAAAGTTATGGTACATCTCAGGCCCTACAGTTAGCATGTTAAATGTTAAAGTTCACGACAATTAGAAAAAGACTGAACAAGTATGAATGGGCCAAAATTTCTCCACAACCATGTGAGAGACAGATAAAGTCCTACAGGAAACAATTGCTTCACATTATTGGTGGTTCTACAAGCTAGTGAAGGGATGCAGGTGGCGCTGTGGGTTAAACCACAGAGCCTAGAGCTTGCTGATTGGAAGGTCGGCAGTTCGAATCCCCGCGACGGGGTGAGCGCCCATTACTCGGTCCCTGCTCCTGCTCCTAGCAGTTTGAAAGCACGAAGTGCAAGTAGATAAATAGATACCACTGCGGCAGGAAGGTAAACAGCATTTCCGTGAGTTGCTCTGGTTCACCAGAAGCGGCTTAGTCATGCTGGCCACATGACCCGGAAGCTGTACGCCGGCTCCCTCGGCCAGTAAAGCGAGATGAGCGCCGCAACCCCAGAGTCGTCTGCGACTGGACCTAATGGTCAGGGGTCCCTTTACCTTTAACTTTTTACAGCTATTGAATCATAAGGTGAACTTAAGTTTTTCACACATGGCTCTTCCATTTTGGCTTTATTTCTGTTAAATAAATCATGACATAGTGCAATATGCCATGTGCTGTTGTTCATCTGAGGTTGTATTTACCTAATTTTAAGAGCCGCTAAAGGAACAGATGATTGTTATTATGTCTTCATATGTAAAAACACAGAATTCAAAGAGGATGCAGTTTCCTTTTCCCCCGTGACTGTACACTCACAACAGAAAATGTTCTTGGTTTGAACTCTGCTTAACGAGAACACACCTACATCAAAAGTCAGAGGTTGCGGACTCAAAGTTAGCTGGGCGGCGGCGGCGGGGAGACCACACTTCCTTCTTCTCACTGAACAATAGACAGTTGTTAAAGAGCAGGCAGGGTGAATTGGCATCTCCTGCCGTACATATAAATTGTGCCAACAGCACATTAGAACAACTGCAGTCCTTCTCAGGCTCACTGCAGCCCTCGGCCCGTAACACAAACACCTGTTTTGGCACATAACAAACAGCACACTCCGTGGAGGAAGGAGGAGGGAGGCGACCTAGCACACTTCTGGGAAACGAGGCTGCTACAAGTTCACTTTCGTTTTGGTTTGCCACTGACAATTAGGCTTTTGTTCCTGGGATTAAACGTGGAACTGGCGTAACTGCTCCTGAAGTGGTTGCGTTCAGCTCTAGGAACAAACCCAAACTGTCCCTCCCTCCACCCCCAGTTATTTCCCAGCTTTAAAACAAGCCTCCTTGTACCAGGGCACCCGAAACATCTGCCTAGTAACACTTGCTTGATAGTGTACCTAAGATCTAGATCTCCAGAATCTGCTAGGCAGACCTCACCTAGTTGTGCTGACTGGAGATGGCAACGATTCAACACAGAGTATTGTTTGCGCAAAGGAGATATTGGTGACAGCAATGGAGGACTTTCCTTCCCCTTGCAGTTCCTCACATTATCCAAAAGCGTTAGCCAAGAGGACGCTAAAAGAATTCTTACTGCTAGTGCATTCTGGCCTTCTCGTTCTCCTCTATACCCAGAAGGGATCTTCTGGGCAGATGGAACAGCCTCTCATAACAACATGTTAAAGCATTAATTAACAGCACACTAAGTACTGAACAAATGTAACCCAGGTCACAGAGAAGTTCATTTCAAGGCCTGCATTCAAATTCCACGCCTGCCAAGGACACAGCTTATGTCCTTGGGCCATAACAGCAATTCCAAAGGATGGCAACGCTACCTCTCAGGGCTGTTGCAAGATACAGGGAACACAAAGGTGGAAAGCCTTCTGGAAAATAACTGCTGCTGCTACGGACGTATTTTCGTGCTGCTGAGAGCAGCCTTTGCCAAAGAGCTTACCGTCTATGGGTGCCTAGTGAGAATTACTTAGCATGCGCAGCAGCTGTGAAAAAGGCAAATTCCATATCACGGTTCGCTCGGAAAGGGATCCAAAATAAAACTGCCTGCATCAGGCATTTTGACAAACCTAGGGTACAACAATCGTATTCAGCTGGGTACAGTTTTGCTGAACACCCCTCAAAAAGAGAGTTCGGAAAGGTAAAGGAAAACTCAAATAATCAAGGAATTACAATATTTGGGACTTGTTAGTTTAACAGGGATGCGCAAACTTTTTTCAAAGAGGGACGGATTTGATGAAGTGAACATGCATGAGGGCGTCCTTTTTGGGATTTTACCCCAGGAGATAGGCTGCCACAGGGGCTGGATTAAAACGACAGGCGGGCTGGATTAGGCCCCCAAAACAGACTTTGGACATGTCTGGTTTAGAAAGAAGGCAAGTAAGGGGGAAATGATAGAGGTGTATTAAGTTATGGAGAAAATGAGCAGACGTTTTCCTCCCTCTTTCATGATGATAGAATCTGGGGCTGAGTGGTGGGAGATTCAAGACCAAGACAGACAGGGCATTGCTGAACTACGGAACTGTTTCCCACAAGACGCAGGAGTGGTCACCAATTTGGAGTGCTTTAAAAGAGGGTAAGACAAATTCATGGCTGACAAGGGTATTAATGGCTCCTAGTTATGATGGCTGCAATACCTCCAGTAGCAGCACGGCTCAAAATACTAGCTGCTGGGGCTTATGAGGGGAAGAATGCTATTGAGCCAGTCCTGCTTCTTGGCTGTCCATAAGGAGAACAGAACACTTTGGTCTGATTTAACAGGGCTATTTTTAACTTGCACAATTTTTATATGTTTCAAATGTCCCATTGCCCCTTTAACCCTAAATCCTTTACAGCACGGTGGGTTAAGGAACATTTTTAATCATGTTATTGATTATGACTACAAAACTTTTTTTTTTAACATTATTGTTGATTATGAATGTAAACCTAAACTTGTGACCAAGTCCTAAATAAAATAATGTGAGTATGCACTGCAATGCACTGTTAATTGTGCAACATAATGGGAGATACTGGGATGTCTCACTCCCCAAGTTTATATGGTTAGCAGCAGGAGAGAGGCTGATCTCTGAACTGGGAGAAGGAGCTGGAAAGAAGTCAGCCTAAAGAAAACTTCACACCTTTCCACCACATGTAAACCAAGCAAGCCAACTTCAGCAAAGCCAAAGCGAAAATTTGGGACCTTAAACAACAATTCCAAATAATTCTAATTCCAAAGAAACTTCTAAAAATGAGTTGTCTCATCCTTGGATGCTACACACGAGCAAGGCATATATATATATATATATATATATATATATATATATATATATAAAATGAGGCTCTAAATATGTTATATGCCAATTGTAATCTGATACAAAACAAGGAAGTTGAGCCTGGGGTGGAAACAATCTAGGATATCCTCCTTACAGGGATGCTTGAGCATTAGGTTATATCATCTTCAGGGCTGTGAAAGCCACTGTTGATCTTAAATCTACCTGGGCTGTTGTAATAGGGAGTTTATACCCCTAAGCTCTTGCTTAACGGATGCACAACACCACTCCCTTAAGAACTACAAGCCATATGGAAATGCAACAGGTGCAACTCCCCTCCACTACGGCACCCGCATACCGGCCACGGCGCACCAGTTGTCACACTATACCCCCCTCCAGTTGTTGGACTACAACTCCCATCATCCCTAACCACCGGCCATGCTGGCTGGGGCCGATGGGAGTTACAACAACACCCAGAGGGCCTCCGGTCCCCCACCCTCGCTTATGGGGAATTCCTTGCAGACGCTGAATCGCTGCCAAGAAAGGGCAGTTAAATCTTTCCTGGGCGAGTTGATGGAGAAGGAAAACTCTCCCTGCCCCATTCCGCCCTCAGATGTATGCACAGACAGGATGAGATGCCCGGGGAATTAAGGCGCGTACTACGCACTCTGCACACGCTCAGGAACACTACCCCACCCACACCTTCCGGGCCAGAAATCTGGAAAGTGGGAGGTTCCGGCATTTGCCCGGGGAGCGGAAAGTCTCTCACCGTTTGATGCGGAGCAGGCAAGCCGGGCTCGGCCTCTCGCCGTCCCAGTCGCCGCTGGTGGTGGGGTCCCAGAAGGCCGAGTGCGAGAGGAGCACCCCGGCCGCGGCGGCCGCGGCGGCCGAGCTGGGGATCCCGGGCACCGAGGCCCCGCCAGCCCCGACTCCCGCACCCGCTCCGGATGCGGCCCCGGCCGAGCCCAGCCCCGCCACCGCCCAGATCTCGGCCGGCAGGAACACCCCGGGCCCGCCGCCGCCGCCGCCCGCTCCAGCTCCCGGCCCCGCGCTCGACGGCGGCGCCGCCGCCAGCACCGCAGCCGCAGCCGCCTCCTCGGCAGCCGGACTCTCCGCCATCATCGCCAACAGCCCCGGCTACGCTTCCGGGACCTCCGACGCCAGCGACAGGGGCGGGCAGAGCGGACCTCTAAGCGCCGCCCCGCGTCGTCGACGGCGCCGCACGGCGGCCACAGAGCGGGGGAGTCCCAGAGCGCCCCTACGGGAAACAGGAAGACCCGGAAACCAAAGGGGTACGTAGCGAAAGCCCCCACTTCCGGCGCCGATGAGACTCTTCCCTATGCAGGACATTCGAAAACTCGAATTAGGAACGATTGGATGCCGCCTTTTGGATTTAAAGTCTTAGGTGTCTATTTTCTATTATTATTATTATTATTATTATTATTAACCCTAATTCGAGTTTTCGAATGTCCTGCATAGGGAAGATTCTAATCTTTTATTATTATTATTATTATTATTATTATTATTATTTAATAATATTAATAAGTTTCTATTATTATTATTATTGTTGTTGTTGTTGTTGTTGTTGTTGTTGTTGTTAATAATAATAATAATAATGGGATAAGGCACACAGTGACTTGCTATCTCGATCACACGCAGTCTGTGGTCCGCTGGCAGTAGGAGTACAATATGGGCATGTCTTTAAGTTAACATCTTACATTAAAAACCTGACAGTACCAGATTATGGAAGGCTTTTCACCAAAGCCAGACTAAACGTCTTTCCTTCTGCAGTGTTGGATGGCAGGTTGAGAGGAGTTCCCTACAAAGACAGACTTTGCTCGTGTGCTCAAGACATCGATTCCATAAAACATATTTTGTTGCACTGTGCAAAATATGAGCAAGCCAGGGCTGAACTGATGGTAACTTTCCTGGGAAAATCAGAGGCTCACTATGTCAGGTTCCTATTGGAAGACCGGACAAACACTAGAACATTAGCAGTGGCAAAGTTTTTATCGGTGGTTGCAAGAACCAATGATCCCTATCTTTTGAACAAATTGCTTGTTTAACCTGGAGGTAGGCAGCATCTTAAAAAACAGAGATATCACCTTGCCAACAAAGGTCCGTATAGTTAAAGCCATGGTTTTCCCAGTAGTGATGTATGGAAGTGAGAGCTGGACCATAAAGAAGGCTGATCGCCGAAGAATTGATGCTTTTGAATTATGGTGCTGGAGGAGACTCTTGAGAGTCCCATGGACTGCAAGAAGATCAAACGCATCCATTCTTAAGGAAATCAGCCCTGAATGGTCACTGGAAGGACAGATCGTGAAGCTGAGGCTCCAATACTTTGGCCACCTCACGAGAAGACTCCCTGGAAAAGACCCTGATGTTGGGAAAGATTGAGGGCACAAGGAGAAGGGGACGAGAGAGGATGAGATGGTTGGACAGTGTTCTCGAAGCCACAAACATGAGTCTGACCAAACTGCGGGAGGTAGTGGAAGACAGGAGTGCCTGGCATGCTCTGGTCCATGGGGTCATGAAGAGTCGGACACGACTAAACGACTAAACAACAACAGGCTGTATGAATTGTGTATTGCTTTGTAACGATTTGTTGGGTGTCTGGACCGTAATAAAGATTGATTTGATTTGATTATTACTATTAAAATTTGTATGTCACCCCTATACCTGCAGATCTCAGGGTGGTTACAGATTTCAGAAATCTCCAGGGCTTCTAAAGAGCTGCACAGCAGGCAGCAATTCAACAGGTACAGCCTCATGGGCCTCCATGGTGGGGGCTGTTGTCGCTGGATTTCTGTCAGTCGCACAGCTTTTCAGACACACCGGAGCCCTGCCCTTGTCCAACACGTGCTGCTTGCTTTCTACTCCGGCGGGGGTGATGGTGTTAAAAGGGTGGGGTGTTTTCAAATCTCCATCAAGCTCCTCTCTTGGCTGTTGATTACTACAGCAGCCATTCCATGAGGCTGCAGGAGAGGATGAGAGATGGGATTTCCCCCCATCTGTATTGCTGACAGACCATACTCTCCCCCACTTGAAATCTTTCCATTACAGCTGCTCTCTCGCAAAGTAACTAAGAGATAGTGCTCAACTTTGCTTTCCCCCGTCGGTCTTTTCACTTTGTGCCTTTTAGATTGTAAGCAGAGACTGTCTTATCGCTGACAACTGTCAGTCTTTAATTGGAGGAGGGGGGCTGGAAATTGCGATAAATAGAGAACTGCAACACAAGGGATCTTAGCTCGTATGTTATACAATCCTTTACCACTGAGGTACTGGGCAGAAATTCAGCAGGCAAATCTTTTCATCAATGAATTGCCATCTGTTCATTTTCAGCCAGGCACCAGGCTTTTAGGCTGCAGTTCTACATACGTTTACTTGTGGGACGCAGGTGGCGCTGTGGGTTAAACCACAGAGACTAGGACTTGCCGATCAGAAGGCCGGCGGTTCGAATCCCCGCGACGGGGTGAGCTCACGTTGCTCGGTCCCTGCTCCTGCCAACCTAGCAGTTCAAAAGCACGTCAAAGTGCAAGTAGATAAATAGGTACTGCTCCAGCGGGAAGGTAAACGGCATTTCCGTGTGCTGCTCTGGTTCGCCAGAAGCGGCTTAGTCATGCTGGCCACATGACCCGGAAGCTGTACGCCGGGTCGCTCGGCCAATAAAACGAGAGCATAAGATTACGCTGTCAAAAGCGCAAGGTCCTTTCCAGGGGAATAAATCCCATCTTTGCAACAGGTAAGATTGGTCTGCCGTAGTTGAAACAAAATAAAAAAAAATCCTTCCAGTAGCACCTTAGAGACCAACTAAGTTTGTTATTGGTATGAGCTTTTGTGTGGATGCACACAAAAGCTCATACCAATACAATAACAAACTTAAAGGTAAAGGGACCCCTGACCATTAGGTCCAGTCGTCACTGACTCTGGGGTTGCGGCGTTCATCTCACTTTATTGGCCGAGGGAGCCGGCATACAGCTTCCGGGTCTTGTGGCCAGCATGACTAAGCCACTTCTGGCGAACCAGAGCAGCGCACGGAAACACCTTTTACCTTCCCGTCGGAGCAGTACCTATTTATCTACTTGCACTTTTGACGTGCTTTTGAACTGCTAGGTTGGCAGGAGCAGGGACCGAGCAACAGGAGCTTACCCCGTCGCGGGGATTCGAACTGCCAACCTGCTGATCACCAAGTCCTAGGCTCTGTGGTTTAACGCCACCCGTGTCTCCAAATAACAAACTTAGTTGGTCTCCAAGGTCCCATCCTTGTAGCATAGCTTATTTTGCACAGACTTTGGATGGACTGGGCATGGTTAATCCAAAGCACTGTGGCAAAAGCGGGAGGCAAAGGCTCAACGCCGCCCCCTTTATCGGCCATTTTGTATTAATTCATGTGGGCCTCCCAAATTCTTGGATCTAGGAGCAACATTGGAAATCTGCTTTCGAGGGGTGGGGCACAACAAAGCTCTAAGCCCTGCCCACAGAAGCGCCTTTTCCTGACGTCACTCCATCACGTCACACCGGAAGTGGCCGAAGAGTGTTTCCTTTCAGGGACAGAGCGCCTCGTTTGGATTGATAAACGTTATTTCACTGCCCGCCCGCCCCCCCCCCGCCTCAAACGCGCCGCTCTTTCAGCCTTATACGCATTTGTACTCGAAAGCCGAGTTTGCACGCGACTTTTTTTCCTCGCGAGAGTTCAAGGATCGAAGCTCAGGCTCGCGCATGCGCAGCAGCAACCAACTAGGCCCTCCAGGGAAATTCCCCGTGAACGAGGTACAGCCCCGCCCCTCGCTCCCTGCCCTTTTCCCTCTCGGGTTCCCACCCCCCACACCCTCTTCACGTCCCTCTTACGTAGAGCTCTCTCTCTCAACCGCCATTCACCATAGAGACTGCACGTCCTCCATTCCTTAGAGCGTATCCTTGCTCCACCATAGAGCGCTCTAGAGCGTTCCCGGAAACGTCGGTATCAAAAGAAGCAGCGGCGCCCATGTAGTCAGGCACTTGGGGAAGCAGCGGGTGTGGCTGTGGGTGTGTTTAGTGGCGGGGTGCCTGGGTTTAAAAACCCCTGAAGGAAAAAGGACCCCTTTTTAGGGTGACGTTCTGTTGTTGCGAGTTAAATCTCTGCACTATTTAAGGGAAATCTTACCAAGTAAGTCCAGGAAAGCTCTGAAGGTCACCGAAGTTCTGCCCTTTAAGGGTTAGCAAAGTTCAAACGGAACCCCTCGCACTAAATAAAGTATGTTCGTTGTAGCTTTATTTAAGAAATTGTAGAGTTGGAAGGGACCACGAGGGTAATCTAGTCCAACCCCCTGCAGTGCAGGAGCTTTTTTTGCCGAAGGTAAGGGCTCCAACCAATGACCTTGAGAATCACTTTAAAAATTAATTTCAAACAGACTGAACGAGGAACAGGAAATGGGCTTATACAAAATCAGGCCACAGGAGATATAACCTGCACATTTGGTACTTGCCAGGACTCCTCGAATGGAAATACGGGGTTATATGTCCTAAGGTTCAGACTGCCCTCACTGCCTTAATACGGGGAGGTTTTGAACAAGGGTTTTCTGTAACCCTCCAGGTTTTGTCACAAAACACAGAATTTGGGGGCTCAAAACGAGACTGAAATGAGTCCTTTAACACTATACGGCAGCATAGATTAACATTTCTGAAAGATGGTTCCCACCCCCCACCCCAGTCTCTTCCCGAGAAGCCTCAAACAGTATTTCAAAATGACAGTGTTAACAACATTGATATTGGGAGCTGGATATGCAGCACATTCTGCTGCAGATCCCCACTGCTGCATGGTTTTTAAATATGCCTAGTTTGTTAAAGTGAATTATTGTCCTGACTAGAAATAGTCGTACCTCAGAAGTCGAACAGAATGCGTTCCGGAAGTCCATTCAACTTCCAAAACATTTGGAAACCAAAGTGCGGCTTTTGATTGGCTGCAGGAAGCTTCTGCAGCCAATTGGAATGTGTGGAATCCGTGTTGGACATTCGGGTTCCAAAAGAATGTTAGCAAACCGGAACACTCACTTCCAGGTTTGCGGCGTTCAGGAGCCAGCTAAAACATTCGAGAACTAAGCTGTTCGAAAACCAAGGTACGACTGTAGATCTAAAAAGTCTTCAAATATGAGATTCTCATTGGCATGAGGGATTGGAACTTACTACTCTCAGGGTGCAGATAAGCTTGTTTAATTTTTGTAACCATGTATTTAAAGGTCCTGGGCTTTCATACCCTTTCCAGTTGCTGAGGGCAGTAAACTTGCTTCAGTAATATAGAGACAGATTATTTGAAAATAAGGTATGCCTCTCCCCTGCATGCAACTTCAGTATAGATCATCCTTCCTGTTCCTTAGGCAAACACTTCAGGAAATGTGGACCTGATGGCATTCCAGTTGTATCCTTCAAGCAGGCTGTAGAACTGTTCTCTTCCTACAATATTTCTTAGTGTCTGGGGGCTGATTGTGGCACTGACTTTTTAGCCAACTATATTTTATTGTATATTACAAAAGGACTCTGTGCCAAATTGATTTGGCACATTATAATTTTTCCTTCCCCTTCTCAATATGTGTATATTTAAGAATTACGAGCAAGCTTTTAGGATGAAAAGCACAAAACAAAAAACTTGAATCTTATTTATTTAGAGAAAGTTTGTTTAAATCTGTTAACACCCTGGCAAGGGAGGCAGGCTCAAACTGGAGAGGACACAGACAGACAGCAGCTGCAGCGTAGCTCCAAGGCTTTCACATGGCAAACAAAATGAGGAATGCCACCATCAAACAGAAGAGCCCCATGGCCTCTGAGAGGGCAAAACCCAGGATAGCGTAAGAAAACAGCTGCTGCTTGAGGGATGGGTTCCTGTAGGTAGAACAGAAGAAATCTGTAAGGTAAAATCCCATTGGCTTTTCCAAAATAAAAAGCTGCAATAGGCTTCCCAAGCCCACACTTGAAAATGTATTTGTAGAACCTCAGAGTGAACATGGGGAAAGCTTTGTTAACTACCAGTCACAGATATATCCACCACATCTCACTTAAAAGGTGTTTTGACTGTTTTCGGATTAAAGGTATACAACCATGGAAATCTGCTTTACAAAGAACCACATATTTCAAGCCTTGTAATTAGTAATTTGTAGTTCTTAGAGAGTTGAAGGAGAGGCAAGACAGACGACTGGGGGGAAGCATCCCTTAATTTAAATTTTGAAATACATGGGTACAGTCTAATAAATCATACTATGTTCCAAAATCTGTGAAGATACTTTGTCTGAATACAGACATTTATGTGCTCACATACTTTCGAACCATGGACACACTTTACCAAGCAGGAACATTTAGAGAGAGAAAATATTCTTCAATCCATAAAAAGGTAAAGGTACCCCTGACCATTTGGTCAAGTCGTGACCGACTCTGGGGTTGAGGCGCTCATCTCGCTTTATTGGCCGAGGGAGCCGGCATACAGCTTCCAGTCATGTGGCCAGCATGACTAAGCCGCTTCTGGTGAACCAGAGCAGCGTACGGAAATGCCGTTTACCTTCCGGCTGGAGCAGTACGTATTTATCTACTTGAACTTTGACGTGCTTTCAAACTGCTAGGTGGGCAGGAGCAGGGACCGAGCAACGGGAGCTCACCCCGTCGCGGGGATTCGAACCGCTGACCTTCTGATCAGCAAGTCCTAGGCTCTATGGTTTAACCCACAGGCCACCCGCGCCCTAATCCATACATAGACAATAATTGCTTCTTTAACACAAAAAATATTACATTGAGAATGGAAAGACAATAACCCAGCTGGTATGAGCACTGTGTGTACAATACAAGCTGATTCATACATTGAAGGTAACTTTGGTTATGATCTTTTTAACAGTGACACCTTTGACACTATTAGTTTGAAAAAGGTATTTTTCTCATCAACAAGACACTTGACAAGAAAATTCCATGCAGATTCCACCAATTCTCTTCTATTGCAGCTTTTCCTAGCTGGAGTTTCCAATCACTGTCAGCTGCTTTAAAAAACTGCTTCTCCCAAGAGGAATGAATTTGTGGTAAAAGTCTTCACAAAAATATCTAAACTGCCTGCTAAAACAAAGCAGAAATGCTCTCCCCAGCTAACTTACCTGGCATAACCAATGATTAAACTGCCAAACACTGTCCCAATGCCAGCTCCTGAACCAGCTACTCCCACAGTAGCAGCACCAGCACCGATGAATTTAGCAGCAGTATCAATATCACGGGAGACAGCACTGGTTTGGAATTCCCGATGAGCTAGCTGACGATTCAAAACTCCAAAAGGCTGTGGAGGAAGCAAGTAATTAGCATGATTTATATCAGTCACTTTAAGTCTCCAAATCATTTTCTCTTCCTAACAGCGTTTAATCCAGATGTTCCCAAACAATGGGTGGGTAGACATCAGGCTGGCAGGACCTACTTTGTTTCTTTATTAGAACCTTGAAGCCAACCAGGGCCTCCACTGGGGGCAGGTGGAAAATAGCAGCTCAGCTGGATGGATCAGTAAGAATGAATAACAGGGCTGGCTCAACCTATGGATTTGTGATCCGCAAGAGAATCAAGCTTGCAATTTCTTTCAGAAAATAAATCTTTTCCCAGTAAGCTAATGTGGGTGGGGCTTTTTACAGTTGCTGATATTGTTAAGAGAGTCTGGAATCCTTGCCAAACAGATCCCAGGCTGCCTTCTGCCCACCTCCAGGGCAGGGGAAGGACATACCCAAGACGGGGTAGAGAAGAAAGAAGGGAAGAGGCAATGGCCTTGGACCCAGACTACTAGTTTTCTAAGCACTGGCAGTGGGGGAGTGGGGAGAGAGAACAGCAAATAATGCCACTTAGGTGTCTCTGCCAGGTCATGGGCTGGAACAGAAATGCAGGTCTCTAGCAGACATAACTGTTGTTCAGTCACCCTACTGAAACCTTAAGGGTGTGTGTGAAATGACCTCCCTTGTAGCAACCACTGAACCACAGCTATGCAGATTCTGAAAATCTGTTTGATGTACAAACAGAGATATGCCTATCACGCACACAAAGAATACCAATTCTTAACATTCCCCAATCCAGCAGGAGTAAAAGGGAATTCTGGGGGAAACTACCCAATGTAAACATTAGAATTGCAACGAAAGGTTCATGAAGGGTTAAATTTATGCCATTTCCTATCCAAAAGGTGTTTTAAAATGAGCAAGGAGGGTGACCAGTTGAAACATAAGTTAAGTTTTTCAACCCTGTGTAACAGCATGCTTTTTTTTTAATGAAGGACACAATGGTTTTGAAGTACTGCTTCCTTTTGAATGTTTAAAATATTAACGGACTCTAAAAGAATCAACAAGACAGTAGCTTCTGCCAGAAAAAAATGTCCCTTCTTATATTATATTATATTATCCTGCAGAGCTTCTGCAGGATTTATTCCAGTATTGCTCACACTAGGCCAAGTGCAGGGAACCTTAGATGTTCCAGTTGTTGCTGAACTCCAACTTGCATCAAGGCCAATGGCAAAAGATGATGGGAGTTGAAGTTTAGCAACTTTTGGAGAGCCACAGTTTCCCCACACCTTTTCTAGGTCACAAGGAAAGAGACGTCTTACACCAGCACTACTACACTTTTTCAGAGGGGTGAAATTGGTTTAATTACGCATGGCAGCATCGGTTCCTCTTCTAGATACTCTGATGGAAGCTAAGCTGTCAGTGTAATGTAAGAGGCAGCTAGTGCTAACCTTCCGAGTTTGAAAGCAAAGAAGTTAATATTGTTCCCACATCATGAGAAAATAATGTATAGAGTTATAATTAATAGAAAACAGTTTCTATTTAGCATAGAGTTTTATTGTTTGGCTGTAGTTTGGTATCACTGCATGATGCTGTTAACCATTTTTTTGCTCCTTTTTGTAAAGAAAATCAAGGTGCAAACAAAACCTGAAGATAGCAATGAGGAGTCATGCAGTTTATTCCTACCTGCAGAGTCTGAGTCTCTGGCCTGCTCAATATAGACAGGGAAGCTGGCCGGGTTAGAGCTCGAGAACAGCAGCGGAACTGGAAAGAAAAACATTAAATTCATATCAGGATATAAAGAACTGCTCTATTCAGAGACCAATGCAATCTGTTCTGACAGTGGCTCTTCAGCATCATAGCCAAATATATTTCCTAGCTATCCCACTTGATCCTTCAAATGGTAGATTTTAAGGATTTAACTTGATATTAGATACTTGCAAGATTTATCCTACATCAGTGAGCTAAGGCCTTCCCCCCAACTGGTGATGAGGCAATTTTGTGCTGATCAGAAGGCAGTTCTCTTTCAAGACAGGTATGCCTATTCATCATGTAATGTAAATTCTCTGTGGCAGGAGATTCTAGATCTTGCTTGAATACACAGCTTCTCTCATACTGGAAAGGACATATATGTGCAAGAGGGAAAGTATTCATTGCTGCCTATTAAACCTACCTAGAGACTCTAGACATGGGCAGTAGTCTTCCTAATACTATTTGTATCAGGACTTGTGCGCTCAAATATTTTTGTCCATTTTAAAAAAACAATCATTAGCTGCTTTGGGGGTCCACATGAATTGATATCAAATGAACTGAACAGGTCTTTCTGATCAACTCACATCAGCCCTAGTCAGCATGGCCAATGGTCAGGGATGATGGGAGCTGTTGTCCAAAAATATCTGGAGGGTCACAAGTTCCTCCATACCTGCCATAAATTCATTCTAATAGGTAAAAAACCATTTGCTGCTTCCCCTTACAGAGTCTGAATTATTTCCAAAATAGAGATGTTTTGTTTTGTTTTCTAAAGTGGAACAGAGTTGGTCACTCACCGAGGACTATTATAGGAATGCATGGGCAGGAAGACTAAGGATTTATTGGCTTGTAACTTTTATTAACTTATTTGTAAGTCTGGTTTAACATACCCTTCAGAAACTATTGTTGACTGAGTTCAAATGACATATCAAACAGCTCACTCTTAGTTTTTCCTCTTTAAAGAGAAATATTAGAGATTTTACTCGTTGTAACAATTAATATGAGGAGTGTAACATACTAAAGTAATCCAAGATACACTAAGGCAATTGCAAGCCAAAAATTCCTTACCAGAGCTGGCGAAGCCAGGAGAGCTACTGGAGTCTGCATTCTGATGATCCTGAATAAAGGGGGAAAGTCACATTTTACACAAACACCCACTGAATTCTCTCACAACTAAGAAGGAAAGCCCAGTGTGTGGACAAAATGGAGTACATTTCCTTATCTGTTTCAGGTATAGCTTTTTATTAAGATTTTGCAAACGAAGTCCAGAATTAAAGAAGGAGGGCAGAATGGCCTTGAAGGAACACTATTAATGGAGAGTCCAGTTATTCACAAAGAGCAAGGAAGAACCAGATAGCTTGCAACTGTGCATCAGTGACCTCCAACTATGGACAGACACCACAGATAAGGTGACAGACATGAAACCTGTCAGGGGAAAGACAGATGACAATCTAAGCTATGTTTGTTCAATACAACATTGCTTCTTACAGCAATTAGGCACTCAAAAATGGCATTTGACTTTGTAATTGATTGAAAGAAGGGTGTTTAAGAGAAACTGTGCATACCCCTGTTAGCTAGGAGCCACAAAAAAGCACAATTAGGTAACAGGACTTGCAGAAAGTTAGCCAATATTTCAAAGCTGCAGCTGTCCCCCTGAAAACAACCCCATCTGGAAACAGATCGTTGTGGGCTACAAAGCCTTTTGCCCCATCCCGAATCTACCAGCTTCCCAAATCCTTTCCCATTTTGTAGGTGGCATCCCAATGACCGCCTCCACCATCTACACCTTCGTTAACATCCAGCACTGAAGAAGCCATTGGCCGGTTCTCTTCATGTTAGTTGCCCTTTGAACACCTGCCGTCTGCAAACACACCCCGTTTAGCTCCACAGGATTCCCCTAGTCTTTCATCTATGCCTTCGCCCTGCCCTTGCAGAGAAACATTCACAGGCAGACAAAACCGGTAACTAACAGGCCGGTTGCACTAGAAGCCATCTCGCCCTGGAGTTTCTAGCCCACAAGAAGGACTTGGTCCACCATCTAGTCTAGCATGTCCGTTAGCAAGCGGGCCAATGAGCTGAGGGGGCAAGCGAGACTCTTCCATCCTCGGGGTCGTGGCTTCGAGCCCCACGCTGCGCGAACGATTCCTGCATTATTGCAAGGGGCCGGACTAGATGGCCCTCGCGGTCCCTTTTCCAATTCTACGATTCCGCGACTGCAGCAACCTACGTCGGTCAGCCGTCAAAAGGCGCCCCTAAGAAGCCGCGAGTGATTCACTCGCGACAAAGGATCCCGACGGGACGCCTTTTAACTGCTGTTCCCAATTCCCAATTCAAACGGGCCTTCGGGATGAAGGCAGCCGCGAACGGCGTGCTCGTGGGAACAGACCCGAGCACCGGGGCCTCCCCGCTCCCCGTGCAGCCGCCTCACCCTCACGGGAGGCCCCGGGACCAGGCGGGCGCCCTCCCCGCTTCCCCTGCACAGACTCACCTTCGGGGACGAAGAAGGGCCGCACCGAACCTCAAAGTCGCGGCTCTCCTGACTGGACCCAGCCAAGCCCCTCCCGCCCTCGCTCACCTTGCCAATGTACCACAGCGTCCTCCGCTCCTATTGGCCGCCGCGACGCAAGGAACGCTGCCCGGCGGGGCCCCGGGGGCTCACGGGAGACGGAGCCTCGCCGCCGCCCGCTATTGGCTCCCGGACCCTCGCGCTCGCGCCCCTCTGCGTGCGGATTGGGCAACTCCGAAGGGTCGCGGGTCTCCCATTGGCCGGCCGCAAAACCCTTTCTCCTCCCCCCTTCTCCCGGGAGCGTTCCACCGAGCGCGTCAGAGGAAGGAGACCAGAGAGGGTTGAGTCACGTGCTTCTGTTCTTTCTTGACAGGCTGGAGGTGACTGCGCGGCGGCGAAGCAACGCTCGAGGAGTCACGTGGTGTCGGGGAGGGGCGGAGAGCGGCGCGCCTCAGTTCGTGACGTGGAAAAAACTGCGCGTACCCGTGTCGTGTGTAGAGATTCAGGCACGTCACGTGTCTGCTTTGCTGGGTGTTCCGTTACTGGGAATTGGTTGTGAGTTCCTAATGAGTGCGCACTTAGGGATGATACTCGCCAACGTGGACGCGGCTTGATCTCTCTAGTTCAGGCATAGGCAAACTCGGCCCTCCAGCTGTTTAGAGACTCCAATTCCCTTCATCCCTGACCACTGGTCCTGTTACCTAGGGATGATGGGAGTTGTAGTCCCAAAACATCTGGAGGGCCGAGTTTGCCTATGCCTGCTTTGTTGTTGTTGTTGTTTAGTCGTGTCCGACTCTTCGTGACCCCATGGACCAGAGCACGCCAGGCCCTCCTGTCTTCCACTGCCTCCCGCAGTTTGGTCAAACTCATGCCAGTTTGGTCAAACTCATGCTGGTAGCATCGAGAACACTGTCCAACCATCTCGTCCTCTGTCATCCCCTTCTCCTTGTGCCCTCCATCTTTCCCAACATCAGGGTCTTTTCCAGGGAGTCTTCTCTTCTCATGAGGTGGCCAAAGTATTGGAGCCTCAGCTTCAGGATCTGTCCTTCCAGTGAGCACTCAGGGCTGATTTCCTTAAGAATGGAGAGGTTTGATCTTCTTGCAGTCCATGGGACTCTCAAGAGTCTCCTCCAGCACCATAATTTAAAAGCATCAGTTCTTTGGCAATCAGCCCTCTTTATGGTCCAGCTCTCACTATGCTCTGGTGGATGTGGAGCGCTGGCTCCATTGAAGAGAATTGTGTGTGAGTCGAAACGGACCCTTTATCGGTGGTGTTGCAGCTGTGGCGGCCCATTCACAGGAGGATCACTGCTTCAGTTATCAAGGGGATACTTGATACATGCCTGAGCCAAGCTGTCTAGTAAACCCCATAGTCTCCAGCGGGATTTGCTTCCCAGATAGAATCGCAGTCAGACTGCAACCCCATTTGTTTTAGAATAAGCCCCATTGAATCCAATGGGAGTTATTTTGAGTAGCCATGGCTAGGATTGGAGCCTAAACAATGTAAACAGTGCTTGCGGGGGGGTCCTCAAGGGCACACAGTGCCAGCACCTTATTTTCTAGAAGAAAAGCACTGGTTAAAAGGGTGGCACTTAACTATAACAACTTCATGGTGAGTATCGGCACTTTTTTTCTAGAAGAAAAGCACTGTGCTTAGGTAATTAAGGCATGAAGGGGTTAGCACCATAGAGCAGGCTTCCCTGCCAGGCTTGGTTAGGTAGTTCCTCTCCCCTCATCTTGGGAGGAAGGTAATTAAGCCTGTTGTTTCCCTTCAGTCTACCTGAGCTCAGCATGTGAACAGGTTTTGAAAATGTAAATTCATTTGAAAATACTGTTTTCTGTTTAAGCTGACTCTCCTCTTGTCCCTGCACCTCCATCCCTACCATGGAGACACCCAACTTACTCCATATTACTCTGGCTGGCAACTAGATTTGCCATGTTACTTTAAAGAGCAGTCAAACCGATACTATCTCCAGAAGAAAGATCCATCACCTTCTTGTATATAGTTTTAAAAGTTTTGTTTCAGCAGCAGTTTCTGTACAAACCTCCTGGAGCAAGCTGAACTCTCCACTTACCCCATCAGTTGATATACCTTGCTCCAGCAAAAGAGCAATCAGGAACTCCCTTTAAGCCCCTAATTCCTTTGTAGCTACTTGAGTACCTGCCCCATACCTCACCTATGACGTCAGGTGTAGGGCAGGTGGGCATGGTTTGCTAGGAATGCCTTCTCAGGCCAAACTGAGACCCCTGTCAAGCCCAATTCCTCATTCCTACTTTATTTGGCATAGATTAAAATTCCCATAGTTATCTTATTGATAGATATGTCGGTCCACACACCTACCAGCAGGAGGAGACATTAACCTATCTTCTTTGGAAACAGTTAATGTTAACTCCTTTCTTGAGAATGGCTGCCCAAGGTAGATACATAGTTTAGAAGTTGTTTCCACAGGTGATACTGGGGCTGCAATTCTGAATTCTGCATGTCTTTAAAGTGGACGTCTGTAAGACTCGGCTGTAATCATAAGCATAATTATGAGAAAGTAAGTCCCATTTAACCACAGGCTTGTAATTACTAGACTGAGACACAGGTCTGGTTTCCACTTCCAATAGAATGTTTCAGGGCTGGCTCAGGATGTTTGCCACCTCAGACAAAACAGAGCATGGTACCCCTGCCACCTTCGCTCTCCACTGCCATCGTCTGAGGCAACTGGTGGCGGCCCATGAAAGCCCCAGTATGCTGAAGACAGTGGGGGAGAAAAAAGGAGGCCAGAGTGGAGAAGGTGGGCAACAAATGCAAGAGGTGGCAAGCGCTTCGGGGCAGGGCTTTGCTACCCTTCCCAGCTTTCCCCACCTCAGCATGCCTCATGGGTGGGCCAGCTCTGGAATGTTTCTTTTTTCTTCTCCAGGATAGAAATGAGAACTGCCTTTAGGAATAAATACAGAAAATGTGGGTTTTGTGTGCTGTTTTTAAAAAAAAATAAGTTGGACATTTAAAGCTGTAATGTGACTGCACACAAGGTCATGAAACACAAGATTTCTTTGTGCAACTGAATGCTGAATTTTGGCAGGGTGCAAGTCTGGGTGCGCAATTTAAGGAGACTGACCTTTGCTACAGCTTGACTGGTATTCTGTATGGGTGATTTTTGACTTGAAGTACCTCGATCTGTAGTGTTAAAGCTGGACTGTTTTGCAGAGTTGTTGTACAGTGGTACCTTGGTTTGCATACGTCTTGGTTTGCATACGTCTTGGTTTGCATACGTTTTGGATTACAAACATGTCAAGCCCGGAAGTGCGTGTCCCAGTTTGCAACCTTTTTTTTGGATTACACCCCCCCCCCTTTATTTTGGATTACAAACAATTTTTGGGGGGGGAGGCCCCATTGGCAAAACCGTGCCTTGGGTTACAACCTGTTTTGGTTTACAAACGGACCTCCGGAACGGATTATGGTTGTAAACCAAGGTACCACTGTATTCTGCCTCAGCCTGACCTGCAATAAGGATATAACAAGGCTGACAGTGCCGCCGGGTTGTTGTAAATCACTTAGCTTCAGTACCAACCTGTGTTCAGTACCAACATAGCTTTACATTGCCACTGTGTTAACAGCCTCTACTCCCACAACCTGCTATATGATGGGAAATGGACTGAATTGGCTGTGAAATTTGCACAGGCGTGGCAATTATCTAAAACTTAGGACTTTAAAAAATAATGTAGGTTGTAAACCTGTACACATTTACCTGGGAGTAAGTTCCACTTCCATTTACTTCTGAATTCAGTTGCATTTACTTCTCAGTAGATATTCATAGGATTTTGCTGTTCAAATTTCACGCCAAACCATTCCCGAGTGAGGAAAAGCAGCAGCTCATCTCCTGGACCTTTCTTTTCATGGGAGATCACACTGCTATGTAATCACAGCTATATTAACAGCTTAGGTTTCTGCATTGATTTCTATGGGCTGCCCTCACTTTCACCGGGGGTGGGGGGAGAAGATATAAAAATGCCTTTGCCAATGGAACCCCATCAATTGACTATAGAGACAATAAGTTAATGCCTCTTTCCATTTATGTTTTTTAATCTGTGTATTAAACTCAGTGGGACTTACTTTTGAATAAATGTAATTAAGACTGGCCTATAAAAACCTCATTAGAATTCTTCACATTTATAAAGCCAATGAAAAGCTGTATGCCTTTGGGCATTTTCACCAGAACCTGTTCATATGTACTTGGGAAGGAAATCCCACTTAATTAAATTAGATTTATTTTTAATTAAATGTCTATTCGACTTCATAAATGTCCTAAGGAGAGTAATCCTGTGCACATTTATTCAGAAGATAAATTCCAGATAAATGTGTTATCTAGTTGCAGGCTTAGTCATAGTTCATTGGTAGAGCATCCGGCATCTCTAAGTAAGGCAAGGAGAGGCTCCCTTTCTGAAACCTTGGGAGAGCTGCTGCCAGCCAGTGTTGACAGTACTGAACCAGATGGAGCACTGGGTGTAAGGCAGTTTCCCACAACTGTTCAGTGGAAGTTCGTCATTCTGTTTAGATGCACAACCAGCAAATGCCACTCGCTCAATGTCATCTGAGAAGCACCTTCCATTTGTGAAGGTGGGCACCTGGTTTTAAACTGGTTCCTTCTCCTTTCTGCCCCTCACTGACTACCAGTATTCACCTGTGACACTCTCAGGACTATCCAGTTATAAGCTGAACTGCCTTTTGCTCCAATTGAATACTAAAGCACGGTTTTCCCTGGGGGAATGCAACAAGGCAAGAGGAAGTGTGGATAAGCCTTGGAAAGCAGCTTGGCTCGCAAAGGGCTTCAGGAGTTGAAGAGTTCTCTCTCCACTGCTTCACAGAACTACACTTCCCAGCATTCCCTGCAAAGGGTGGTGCCTTCAGCTGTAAGTTTCCAGGCTAGGGGCTGTCCGATGACTGAGAGTATCAAGTTTCTCCCCTTTGCTAATCAGCGTCAGCTTCTCTGTTTTAGTAGGAAGTAGCAACTGATCTGTCCTGTAGATTCTCGCATCGCTAGGAAGGGGGCTGTTTGGCTTCTTCGCCACTTGGAAGGGTGAGTAGGCAGTTAAGAGTTACCCCGACTCTTAGCAACAAGTCATCTCTTTCCTGAGCGGCGCCCTTTGCCGACTGTGACTGGGAAGGGGGTAGTTTGATTTATTTTATAAAGTGTGTCGCACATTGAGGAAGAGAGCTAGCTGCGCGCTGGGGGTGCTAAGTGCAGGAAGGAGGTCAGGCGGTGATGGCAATCGGTTGCAATCTTATGTCATGCGCTTGCCTTGTGTTTTGCTTCGCCAGTACATAGAGGACGCACTCTTTCACTTGATCAGGCTACTTCTAGATTGGAGCTTTCCAAATTTTTCATGTCGGTGACATGCTTTTTAGACATGCATCATTTCGCGATGCACTAATTCAGTTTTACTAGCAAGCCGGAGGTTAAACTAAGCCCTTTCCAGTCCTGGGAGAAGCATGGGGAGTGTTTGCGCAACACACCTACACACTGCAGCGGATACGCTAACGTGTCGCGACACACAGTTTAGAAAGCTCTTTTCTAGATGTTGTGGACTGCAACCCTCACCAGCCCTGACAGTGGCTGATGGGAGCTTCAGCCTACAACAACATGTCACTATTCTGAGTGACACTGAACAGATCCACACTGTACAAGCATGTGTTCTACCTCTACTTCCCATTCTAATTATTTAGGATAAAATAAGTTGTGGGTTGGGGTAACAAGATCGTTTGTTTGTATTAAAGTGAGGTAGTGTTGGAAAAAGTTACCTGCAAAATATCCATCATTATGATGGGTGGTGAAGAAGGGCTTGTAAGTATCTTAGCCATGTTAGAAGTCCTTTTTCCGTGAGGCCCAGGCTGCCCAGCATGACGTGCTTTTCCCCATAAGAGTGAATGTCACACTGTTCAGTTCTGTGAGAAGAAATAAGGGCATGCACTTGGACCTCACATCTAAACTGTCAGTGAGTGGTATCCAGCCTCCAAAGTAGGGGTAGCAATGTGGTACCCTATAACTCCCATCATTTCTGGCTATTGGCCATGCTTGCTGGGGCCGGTGGTATTTCCTGACATCTGAAAGGCACCACACTGCCTATCCCTGCTGTAAGATATTAAATACATTATTACAGTCACAACATGGTTTAGGCATTTGGAATGGAATATTCGTGTTGGTTCTGTCGCGTTACAGAACAGCTGTGACATGTTTAAACAGTGTGTGATCGCCTTTGTGTAACTTGCATGCTGAACCTCAAGTTGCAAAGTTAAAAGGAAATGCTTTCTGGGGAAGCATTCATCCCCCCACTTATAAAAAAAATTAGGCATCTAGCACAGGAAATATCTAACGTCCCCCAACAGAAGCATTGGGGTGGTGTGTTACTGCAGCAGTACATTGGTTGTGCTGGAGCTGGTAATCTGGAAGCAACTTGAAAAGAAACAGAAACAAGAATGTATAAGACGCAGTGTGGCGTAGTGAATAAGCATATGAGTTGGAAAGTCCAGGGTCAGATATCTTTTCCGTTGTAAACGTTGCAAGCTGCCATGTGTCAGCATCGACCCTCAATCTTGCCTGTCTTGCAGTACTGTTGTTTTACTGCAAGAATATATATGAAGCATTATGAGGAGGGCTGTGAATTCAGAAGCAGCACGTGTGTGTGTGTGTGTGTGTGTGTGTGTGTGAAGACCTGGGCTTAATCCCACATATCAAATCTCTGCCTGAGATCTCAGAGATTCCTTGTTAGTCAGCACAGAACACACAGGACCAACAGCCAGTATAGTAGGATGTGTAACTCGTGATTACCTAAAACATTTTTCATATTTAGCAAAGCAGGTCTCTGCTCTCCGCATTCTTCCCACCTACAATTTCAGCAATTATGAATCTACGGCACTTTCATAGATCGTTCATATATTGCTTAAGTTACTTCTTATAATGTAGTGGTTAAGTTCACTGGTTAAAATCTAACCTCTTCCATGAGTTCGCTAAGTGGTATTAGGTAAACCACTCTCGTAGCTTTATTCTACCCCGCAACCTGCAATATGTATATGATAGTACTATCTATTTTTGTAAGGGTGGCTGGGATTGCTTGAAGTACTTTTGAATACCATAGAGCATGATAATAAAGGCTTGATGCTAATGTAGCTAAATAAGACAACTATAGGTGCTTGCAAGTTAGCAGTGATGCTATTAACCACTACTAGCAAACATATTTTCGGCTTGCACTGTTGTGGATCTCTCCTCCCCACTCCCCAACTACTTGCATCCTCTGGATTCTTTCTAGACTGAAACCACTGTCTCTCTCATAGCCTTTATTCCCTTTCTAGACCTCTTTGTTTACCTTCCCCCTTTCATGTTCCTCCATGACATCCTGTTGACCAAAACAATCAGCATGCTTTATTTCAGCAGGCCACGCAGGCAAAGTGTGGGGAAGTCCACTTGGCAGCTTGGGAAAAGAGAGCATTTGGGCTGTTTCCTGGCTGGCCTAAGAACTTGTTTCTGTTTCCCCATCTATAGACAAACATCCAAATAAATCCCCAAACACCATGAGATTTCTAAGAATACTCGGGCAATGAAATTAGCTACTGAAAGGGAAGCTCTTGGAAACTTAGGAAGGAACTTAGGAAGCTTAAATGCTTGTCAAGGTTGCTTTAGATATAGGTGGAGCCAACCTTATATTTGGCAATTCACCTGCTAGCCATAAATGGAATCCAACAACCTATGTTTCCATGCTGGCCATGGAAGAAGGTGGCTTTCCTTCCTCTGCAGCCAACATGGAGATGCAGTTTACTAGAAGGCTAGTAATAAAAACAGCCTTGTAGGCTAATAATTTTTGCAGGCATATTTACAAGGCTGAGTCCTCTAGTTGCTGGTTCTAGCAGGGCTTCTGCAGGATTGTACTTCCTGGGACAGATTGCTCTATCTTCCACTCTGCTGCCTTTGATGATCTTCAAAATCTGCTGCACCATGAGGCTACATGAGAAGTCATCCTCATAGGGCTGCTGGTGCCCACAGCTGCCTGTGACTGTTAGTAGGGGATTTTCTTCTGGTTGTGCAGGAAAATGCAAAACATGACAACTAGAGGCCAAGTTGAATTGAGATGGGGACTTTCCATGCATCCCAAATTGGTGGAACAGCATGTCCTCCAAGCATGTCCCTTGCTGGCTCAGATTATTCAGATGTCTGAATTTTTGGTTTTGCAAAGCAGTTGATTGATTGGAATTCCTTGTGTGGCCTTTTGATGTGCCAGCACAGCAATATGCAACTGATGCTTTGGCTTCTCTACGCTAGTTCTGGATTGACCCCCCCCCCAGCTGTCTAGGTATATGAAAGCTACTTCACAATCCATGCTTTGTTGTGCAGCAGGCACCCCCAAACTCGGCCCTCCATCTGGTACGCAGGCTGAGACCCTACCTGCCCGCGGACTGTCTCACCAGAGTGGTGCATGCTCTAGTTATCTCTCACTTGGATTACTGCAATGCGCTCTATGTGGGGCTACCTTTGAAGGTGACCCGGAAACTACAACTAATCTAGAATGCGGCAGCTAGACTGGTGACTTGAAAGACCTACACTAGCTCCCAGTACGTTTCCGAGCACATTTCAAAGTGTTGGTGCTGACCTTTAAAGCCCTAAACAGCCTTGGTCCAGTATACCTGAAGGAGCGTCTCCACCTCAGTCGTTCTGCCTGGACACTGAGGTCCAGCGCCGAGGGCCTTCTGGTGGTTCTCTCGCTGCGAGAAGCCAAGTTACAAACAACCAGGCAGAGGGCCTTCTCAGTAGTGGCACCCGCCCAGTGGAACGCCCTCCCACCAGATATCAAAGAGAAAAATAACTACCAGACTTTTAGAAGACATCTGAAGGCAGCCCTGTTTAGGGAAGCTTTTAATGTTTAATAGGTTATTGTATTTTAATGTTTTGTTGGAAGCTGCCCAGAGTGGCTGGGTATACATAATACATTACTATTATTAGTATTAGTATTATTTATTTACAATTCCCATCATCCCTGACCACTGGTCCTGTTAGCTAGGGATGATGCCTGTTCTCCAGTAAGATCGCTAAGGCATTTCAGTGGATCTGCTCCTGTGCCTTTAAGAGAAGCCCCAACAAGTAGTACAGCTTGTGTGAGCTAGAAGATAAAGTGTTGGTTTAGGACCAGGGAGACCCAGTTTCAAGTTCCCACTCAGGCATGCAGCTCATTCAGTGATCGGTCAGTCAGCATCTCTCTGCCTCACTGAACACCCAATAGCTCTATAAATATTGAAGCGCAGTTGTTCAGAAACGGGGCCAGTGAAGCTTTTCCTGGCATGGATGGGGAAAGCTTCACCGGCTTCATTTCTGCGCCCGCCATTCTGCTGTTATGGCACACTTGGAGCAGTAAACAAGTACGCAGCTGTCTTCTGCCAAGCTGTGCCACTTGACTTGGACTCGGCATTTGATGGCCTTATGGCACAGGTAGGTGGCAGGTGTGTCTCTTAAACCCTGCAGCAGAGACAATTGCTGGAACTCGCATAGGGTGCGGCTCCTCAGTGTCACATGGAAAGTGAAAGCTGCAAGCTATTGTGGTTCTGCTCTAGGCAGGCTATGCTGTTAAATGCTTTCTCAATTCCAGGAAACGGCAGAGCTGGCTGTTGGCTCTGTTTATCTCAGAGTTTGCCTATTCAGAAGAGGATGGAAATGAGCAGCACATAAAGAAGGACTGGCTTTGCTTTGAAGAATGTTACGCATCTGAATCTCTCTTGCAGGGAGCTCTCAAGTCCTGGGATAGTAGAAGGAAGACATCTAGAGACTGTTCAGCAGGAGACAGGTGTGGGCAGGATGGGTGCTGTATCTCGTCTCCTTTTTCTATTTTGTTCTGCTTCTCTTTTTATTATCTGTTTACTACATGGAGCTCAGGGTAGTGTATATGCCACTCCTCCACATTTTTATCCTCTCAACAACCCTGTGAAGTAGGCAAGGCTGAGAAGCAGCAACTCAACCCAGAAAGTTTTGTAGTTGAGCAGGATTTGAACCTGTGTCTCCCAGGTCCTAGCCTGACACTCTGTACTTGTTAGACCATGCTGGCTCCCCTGGCTAAGCCAGAAAATGCTTACAGGAGCACAGGAGTGATGCACAGGAAACATCAACAACCTTGCTGAGGAAATGACTTCTTTGGCAACACATGTCTTCCAGAACTCAGGGGCTTCTTCTTTCTTCCCTTCCTTCCTTCCTTCCTTCCTTCTATCCACAGCCTAAGGCAACAGTGGGAAACCTGTAGCCCTCTTGATACTGTTGGTCTACAACTCCCATCATCCCTAGCCATTGGCCATGCTGGCTCAGGCTGATAGGGACTGAAGTCCAACAATGTCTGGAGGGCTTAGCAGGGGTCAGCAACCTTTTTCAGCAGGGGGCCGGTCCACTGTCCCTCAGACCTTATGGGGGGGCCTGGCTATATTTTGAAGGGAAATGAAAAAATTCCTATGCCCCACAAATAACCCAGAGATGCATTTGAAATAAAAGCACACATTCTACTCATGTAAAAATTCCAGGCAGGCCCCACAGATAACCCAGAGGTGCATTTTAAATACAGTGGTACCTCCGGTAATTCGTTCTGGAGGTCCGTTCTTAACCTGAAACCCTTCTTAACCTGAGGTACCACTTTAGCCAATGGGGCCTCCCACTGCCGGCATGCTGCCGGCACATGATTTCTGTCCTCATCCTGAGGTAAAGTTCTTAACCCGAGGTACTACTTCCAGGTTAGTGGAGTCTGTAACCCGAAGTGTTTGTAACCTGAGGTACCACTGTAAAAGGACACATTCTACTCATGTAAAAGCACACTGATTCCCGGACCGTCTGTGGGCCGGATTTAGAAGGCAATTGGGCCGGATCCAGCCCCCAGGCCTTAGTTTGCCTACCCATGGCTTACAGCCTTGCCTTGACTTAAGAGCTGCTCATGGAGGCAGTTTTTCTTCAGGGAAGGGTAGCCAACATTGTGCCTTCCAGACATTGGAATACAGTTCCCATTATCCTTGGCCATTGGCCATGCTGGCTGGGACTGATGGGAGTTGGAATTCGACAACTAGAGGGCACCACATTGTCTACCCCTCCCTTAGGGTGAGGAAGCAGGAGTTCTAAAGATGTGAAGAGGCCATCAGTGCTGTTTTCCCCTCATGCCACCAGCACCAGTCCACACGTTACCCTTGCACACATATCTACATGAAGATGCAATCCAGTAGCACAACTCCTATTGTAATGAAATGGAATTGTGCAACAGGACTACTGCACTCTTATCACATCCTGTGTTAATTTCAGCAGAGTTTGTGGAGGAGAACGTCCCCTGAGTTGTCCTCTGTGGGTCAAATCAGTTCACCTGCTGTTCTGCTGCCCTTGATGATACCCAAGGTCTGCCACACTGCGGGGCTATGTGAGGAGATGTTTTCCTCATAGGGCTGCTTCTGTCGACAGCTGCCTGTGACTTTTATTAGGGGATTTTTCCAGGGTGTGCAGGGAAAAGGAGCAGCCTTACAACTTGAGGCCACGTCGAATTGAGATGGGGGACTTCCCTTCATCCCCAGATTTGTGGAACAGAATGTCCCCTAAGCATATCGCCTCCAGGCTCGGTTTATTCAGATTTCTGCTATAAATAACTCCAAATCCTACCACCAGACACCAGGGAACCTGCAGATGGAACAGATTTCTGAAAAGATTAATGAAGTTGCCTTATCTGGAATGTTGCCTTTGTTGGAGCTGTGGGGAAAGTGATCACAGAGATCTGGAAATCTTCAGAGCTTCCAGTATTCTCTTTCCATAAACATTAGCTTAAGAAACATCCCCACCCCATTTAAAAGTAAAAAGCAACGTTTTTGCATGGATCTGTGCTGTGCAACTTGAGATCGGTGAGTGTTCCGATATCCCCCACTCTCTCTCTCTCTCCCTTTTTAAGTATTTAAATATCGGTGTCATCAAGACCGGCATGGCTTGATTGTGATGCAAGCAAGTGGAGCATCAGAAACAAATCATGCATATTTGGCTGCTGGCATCCCCACCAATTTCCTTCACCCTGTATGCCCCCTCTCTCTGTTATCTGGAGCGGTCATGTCTTGCTGCTCTTCCGCTGCTGTGAGGATCAGCCAGGGAACTCGTGCTTCTGCTTTCCTGGAATTGGGAAAGCAGGAAAGCTGTCTGGGGAGAGAGCTCCTCCTCTCTGGTGACTGGCCAGGACCTGATCAGGTTGCTCCTGAAGCACCCGAGAGAATATTTTATTTTGGATTGGCCCAGGACAGAAGTCGTCAACATGGTAGCCTATAGATGATGGTAGACTCCAGCCCCCATGTGCCCCAGCCAGCATGGATGATGGGAGTTGGTAGTTCAACAACTCCTGGAAGGCCCCATCTTGGCTACCCTGGCTTGAGTCAGCATTTTAGCTGGTGTGCACCAAAGACGCTCCCTTTCTGCTAATTAACACTAGGTAATTAGTAGGTAGCCATGTTGGTCTGATGCAGTCGAAATATATATAAAAAATTGTCCAGTAGCACCTTAGAAACCAACTAAGTTTGTTCTTGGTATAAGCTTTCGTAGGAAGGTCTGCAAGTGTAACAAAACATTTATTGGGCGTGAGAAGAGGGGGGACCTTTGAAATTATGGCTCCGCTATCAACTGGCCTGATTTGCACTTTCAAAAATCCCCCCTCCTTGGAGCGGGAGCTGCTTAGAAGAGGAAAGCCTCCCCACAGTGCATGGGTGGTGCCATTGGCCCTGAAGTCAGGAAATAGAGGGGGGAAATAGGGCCTGCATCATAATGTTGCCATGTAGAGCATTTAACAGTAGCAATCAGCTGTGTCTTCTTCTTAGAAACTCTGTTCCATTTCTCTTGGGTTTTCCATTTCCCCCACTCCTGAGGCTTCAGCATTCGGTGGCCTCTTGAGCATATTCAATCAATCCTCATTGGGCTGTTCAGGGGTAATTTGGCTCCTTTTGATTCCCCTGCTCCCCCCTCCAGAATGATTTGTGTGGGGTTTTTTTGTACTTCTGCAAATTTTGGGGGTTCCCTTGAATATGCTCCTTGTTGTCTGTGATACTATTTTAGACAAACAATTAGTGGTGTTTGGGGAACTGAAGATTTCAATTAGTGTAAAGGAAGAATAGGTTGTAACCCACCAGGACAATTCTCTGGGAGGCCAGATGAAGATATCCCCAGTGGATTATGCACTGTGGGACAAATTTACCTGTCTCCACATCGCTGCTATAATAATGCTTAAACTCTGCTACCTGAGGAGACTGTTTCACCTGGTCTTGTGGTAATAACCATTTCCACAGAATACCTCACTAGTCAACAAGTTGGACTTTGGAGAGTACACTGGTGCCCATTATAGATAACCTTATTTAATTTATTTGTTGTCCATGGGCTTGCCCTGTTTACTCAGGTGAGCAAATGACATTATGAAATAACCAAGTTGGCATGCTCATGTTTGCCATTGCCCGACATGTCACTACTATCCGTCTTTCCATCTTTAACTATAAAAGAAACTTAAGGCCAATTCATGTGGCTATATTGCTGTTTCATCCAATCCTGCTCCACACCCAATCCTGGTCCAGTAACATCTGAATGAAATGTACATGGGTCTGGTGAGTCATGAGGGCAGTTCCCATGTTGGTACTGCCAGCCCCCAGAAATGGGTCGCGTGCATGTTAGACTTGTCGGGAATGAGGACAGCTATGCTCAAATATGAGCCTTCAGTCTGATCTGTGGAGGAAGAGAATAATAATAACAAAAGAAGTGCACTCACGTGCACTATTTCCGTGAGAAAAATTGTGGTCACACTGCAGTTCACGTGGCCGCCAGTAGACAGCCATGCCAACTGCAGTGTGGTGACAGAAAGCAGCCGGCAGGCAGTTGGCAGGTAGCCCAGGCGAGTTGCTGAGGATGGAACTGTATTTAGGAGACCCCCTGTTCCCCTCACAGAGCTACAATTCCCAGAGTGGATTAACAAACAATTCCTCTTCCCGGGGAACTCTGGGATTTGTAGCTCTGTGAGGGGAACAGGGGTCTCCCAGGCCCATGTAGGGCGAGGGGCAGCTGGGTAAAAAATAAAATCCAGTCAAAGGCAACTATGGGGTTGCAGCGTTCATCTTGCTTTCAGGCCGAGGGAGCTGGTGTTTGTCCACAGACAGCTTTCTGGGTCATGTGGCCAGCATGACTAAACCACTTCTGGTGCAACAGGACACTGCGATGGACACCAAAGTGCACGGAAACGCCATTTACCTTCCCGCCACAGCGGTACCCATTTATCTACTTGAACTAGCGTGCTTTCAAACTGCTAGGTTGGCAGGAGCTGGGCAGAGCAAGGGGAGCTCACCCTGTTGCAGGGATTCGAACCGCCGACCTTCTGATCGTCAAGCTTAAGAGGCTCAGTGGTTTAGACCCCAGTGCCACTCGCGTCCCAACTTGGCTGTCATGCCAAGAATGCCACGTGCCTCCTAGACGACCAGGGACTCCCGCCCCATCCCTCAGACAAGCTCTGCACAGGTCTCAGCACCCTTAGCAAACCACAGCTCCCAGAATTCTTTGGGGGAAGCCCTGAAGTTTACAGTGGTACCCTAGTCCTTTAAATGTATGGTGTGAATGTGGCCCTAGTGACGTCATTACAGAGGCCTGGTATAAAACAAGGCACTCGTTGATTTGTAGGTCAGTCTTTGTCACCGTGCTTCTCAGATGTGTGAGGTTCCAAACACACTGCTGTGACGGCAAGGTAAATGGAGTTTCCATGTGCTCCAGTTTCTGTCGTGGTCTTCCATTGCACCAGAAGCAGTTTTGTCTTGCTGGCCACATGACCAGGAAAGCTGTCTGTGGACAAACACCAGCTCCCTCAGCCTGAAAGTGAGATGAGCGCCCCAACCCCATAGTTGCCTTTGACTAGGTGTAACAGCCCAGAGGTCCTTTACCTTTTTATCAAACACATACACCGGAAGATATACATACATCCCACAGAGAGAGCTGATGGAAAGGCACACTGCCTCCCCTCTTTGTTTCTCCAACAAAATTCCTTTCTCCCCAAACTACTACTACTACTATTGTTATTGTTGTAGTTGCTATATTATATTATATTATATTATATTATATTATATTATATTATTTATTTATTTCAACAATGCTGGGGATCCACATGCAAATGTGTAGTTGGTCCCTTACAAGAAAAAGGATGGGGTTTGGGCAATGGTGTTTTTCCTACTGTAGGGTTAACGTTCCCTTTCCCTGCCCTGTAACCTTTCCTTTGCTCCTGTGTTCAATGCCAGCAATGTTTTATTGGGCAAAATTCCTCCAGTGCCGTGAATATCTTGTTGTTAAGATACAGTTGAGATGACATCCTGAGGTCAAAATTAGCTGTGGTTGTTTTTAACTGCCCTTGCTTTTCTTTTTTGTTTTTTTTCCCCATTTCTGTTTTCCCCTCATTGTCCTTTTTACAGAATCCAGGATGGAAGCTGCATTATGTAACAATTCGGAGGAACCTCCCACTTCTGCCGTCCTGCTAGACTGCCGGGCCTTCAATCAGGTCATCTTCACAGACATAGACAAATACTATGTCCCTGGAGCAGATATAACTTGCCATTACAACATTTCTCGGCACATCACCCCACGCCGGAAGGACTGGGTGGGCATATTCAGGGTAAGTCTGCTGTCATTTGCAGCGCACCGTGGACATTGGAACTGGCTTATGATAAATTGCAATCTCTTGCTTTGTAACACAGCAGTCAAAGCAGGGTTATAAAGCTTCAGAGGAGATACTGTTCTCTGGACGGAGTTCTTCCAGAAAGCTGAGGGGTTTGCCAGAGCGGGGAAGGAGGTGAGATAATAGCTGTTTGGCTGAGGCAGGGTGAGGTTATCAGGAAGGTATTCTACACTGGGAGAACTTAGATCTTGGTTGGTAGCATATGCACTTTTTTCCTTAAAAAGCATTAAAAACCTTTAAGTGCTATTAAGAAATTAACTTGTGTCTGTGCGTGAATGTTTTCCTTTCCTAGAGGGAAGCAGAATGATGCATTTGTTGGAGCCAAGTGTGCATAACATTGCAAGTGTTTGTATACCAGTTTTGTAACATTTTCACTGTTACGGCTTCACCCAAGCAATCCTGGGAATTATAATCTGCTGGGGAGTGCTGTGAATTCTTTTGTTTGAGATCTCAACAGAGAAATTGTTGTTGTTAATAAACTGATTTAAGGATGATTTCCTTACAGTTTTTAGTTGGACTTTCTTCTTCTGTGTGGACACGTGATACAGTCATACCTCAGGTTAAAGTTGCTTCAGGTTGAGCGTTTTCGGGTTGCGCTCTGCAGTGACCCGGAAGTAACGGAACGCGTTACTTCCGGGTTTTGCCGCTCGCGCATGCACAGACGCTCAAAATGATTTCACGTGCATGCGCAGAAGCGGCAAAATCGCGACCCGCGCAGATGCAGGTTGCATTCTCTTCAGGATGTGAATGGGGCTCCAGAACAGATCCCATTCGCACCCAGAGGTACCACTGTATATTTGTCCTGTAAACCCAGCGGCTACCATCCTGGGCCATGCTACTTTAAGGAGCGGCATGCTGGGCTCTGGGGCACCTGGACTTGCACGCCACCTTGGGCTCCAGCAGGCTGCCCCCATAAGTGCCGCCGGGGATGCCCTGCCCCCTAGCTACGCTATTGTGTAAACCTGCTGTGTAAATATGTCCCTTGTTTTAGAACAGGCTGCTTTTAGTGCACTGGATTAGAGCACAAAGAGGACAGCTTGTTAAACTGTCACTACTCCTGGCCTGTTTCTCGGTTCGTTGAAGGATCCCACTCACATATTTTGATGTTGCAGGTGGGGTGGAAGACCGCTCGCGAATACTTCACGTTTGTGTGGGCGCCTTTGCCAAGGAACCCCGACAGCAGTGACGACGAACTTCAGGAGGTGCTCTTTAAAGGTCTGTGGCAGGAAGGGAAGGAGTTGGGTGGTGTTATTTCTTGAAACAGGCATTGTTTGCATGCTAAAAAATAAATAAATCTCAACTTCAGTACAATAAATCTGACCAGGTAGAAGTCAACTTCCTGTGTTAGCTTTGCATGCTTGAAGGAGCTAAAAATGACATGTGGCTTTTTTTATTCTTTCAGCCTACTACCTGCCAAAGGATGATGAATATTACCAGTTTTGTTACGTGGACCAGGATGGCCTTGTCCGTGGAGCCAGCGTCCCCTTCCAGTTCCGTGCAGAGACCGAGGATGACATGTTGGTGGTTACCACGCAGGTTCGCTTCCTTCGTTTGTGCCCTGTGCTATGTAGTGGCTCATTTGCGACATTCCCAAGCCTCTGCCAATCCATTATGGCTCCTTGTTTGTTCCCTTCTTCTGCCTTTGTCACTGTGTAGTCTTAACAGGATGCCTCACTGTACACTGCATGTGGCTCACACTGCGTCGTGCGGTAGGCTAATTTTCAGAGCGGGGAAGGGAGTGCGCCATGCTATCCTAAAGGTGACATCTGTACCCTTACAGTAACCTCTAGTGACTATTTCTATGAGTTCCTATATGTGATAAAAGCACAGTGCTTTGTATGTAGAAGATCCCAGGCTGAAGCCCCAACCTCTCTGGGGGCTTTTTGCTTTTTATGTTCTATGTGTGAGTAGTTAATGCAGGCGAGTCAATCTCCAGCGCTGCTTTAAAAGGCAGCGAAGCAGCCAAGAAGAGAAGCCATATGGAAATGCAATCCTGCTCTACCTCTGTACTCTCCTGCAATTGTTTTTTCCCCCTCTGTACTTGAGATGCAAGGCCACCAGTATAGGGGGCACTTGAAAAATACACATGAGCAAAAAAAGGGCCCTGCCCCAAAGAGCTTACAGTCTTTGAAGAGGACAAATGGGGAGAGGGGGTTTGGCTATTGTGTACCTAGGCTTTGTTTTGGATAAGGCACCAAGGGATTAAGGCAGGTATGTCCAAAGTCTGTTTTGAGGGCCTAATCCGGCCCGCTGGTTGGTTTAATACGGCCCCCACAGGCAGCTCCTTCCCGGGGTAAAATCCAAAATAAAGGTCAACAATTCAAATCCTTAAAAAATCCCCCCTTTGGGTAAAATCCCCCCAAAAGGTCAATAACTTCAATCCTAAAAAAAGTGAACAACTTTGGTCGGCCCTCACGCATATGTTCACTTCATTAAATCTGGCCCTCTTAGAAAAAAGTTTGGGCACACCTGGATTAAGGTTAACATTTTGTGGAAGAAAGGGATGCGGGTGGCCCTGTGGTCTAAACCACAGAGCCTAGGGCTTGCCGATCGGAAGGTCGGCAGTTCGAATCCCTGCGACAGTGTGAGCTCCCGTTGCTTGGTCCCTGCTCCTGCCCACCTAGCAGTTTGAAAGCCCGTCAAAGTGCAAGTAGATAAATAGGTACCGCTCTGGCGGGAAGGTAAACGGTGTTTCCGTGCGCTGCTCTGGTTTCGCCAGAAGCGGCTTAGTCATGCTGGCCACATGACCCGGAAGCTGTATGCCGGCTCCCTCAGCCAGTAAAACGAGATGAATGCCACAACCCCAGAGTCGTCCATGACTGGACCTAACAGTCAGGGGTACCTTTACCTCTTTACCTTTGTGGAAGAAGAGGGATCGGGAGGAACAGGGAGAGATGGTGCTGCAAGAGAGGTGCTTTCTCAGGGAGGGGGTTTCCCTGCCAGTATGGGGAAATACGGAGGCATTTAAGAAGCCAAGGCAGCGTACGCATCATACATTGAAAGCATTTAGTGGCCCGCAAAGAATCCTGGGTTGCTGTAGTTCCCCCTCCCAAAGAACTACAATTCCTAGCGCCCTTAACAAATTGCAGTTCTCAGGATCCTTGAGGGGGAAGCTACAAGCTTTGAATGTATGGTGTGTACACAGCCCCCGCCCCCCCAAAAAACGCCCTTTGGGCTGAAGGGGGTAGAGTCAAAAGCAACAAAGCTTCCCAATGTTTCAGATTGTGGAGAAGATCAAATTCTGCTGACACATCCTCTTTCAAGTCGGCCAAGTTTTAAGAAGGGAGCTCCCAGAGAGCACATCTGCTCACAGTGTCAAGTGCCTTGACTTAATCAAAGCATTTGACACCGTGAGCAGCTGTGATCTCAGGAGGGTCCTTTTTCAGTCCTCCTTATGTCACACGCTGACTTGCCCGAGACTGATGTCTGGAGGCATGTGCTGCTTCATCTGTCGACCTCCTTAAAAAACAAAAAGGGAGAAAGAAACTAAACCTGGCTATGGTCCACTTGCCTTTGCCGTGCTGATATTTTAGTCGCAGAGTTTGGTATGGGTGGCTAAATATGCATCACCAACAAAAGAGGCAAAGAAAATACGGCTTTTGCATGACATTTGCGCACAATAGTGAGGAAAGCTGCGACCAGGATGCCCAAGTGCTGCCTGTTGATGAGCAATGTTACAAAAGTTGGGTGCCACCCCCACTCTCTGCTGAGCAATAGCAAGAGCCCAGGGGGTTCCAGGCCCTCACCCAGGGTCTGTGTTCCTTTGGAGAATTGAGACATGGTGGAGACTGTTGTAGCTTTAAGAAATATGGTTTATTCGCCTATTTACACCTTCAGTCTGCATGGAGGGAGTCCAGATCTTACAGCATGGTTATTTCAAGAGTGACTTGCCTCCCACAGCAGTGCAGCCAGCCTTCAGCCAGCCTGCCCAAGATGGATTCCGGTCTCTCTTCTTCCTTCTTCTTCCTCTTCTTCTTCCTCTTCTTCCCAGAACACCTTGCTAAAAAACCCTGCATTCTTTCTTCCCTTTTGCTCTTCCAGGGAGAAGTGGAGGAGATTGAGCAGCAAAACACAACTTTGCTTCAGGAAAACCAGAAACTGAAGGAAAACCTTAAAAGCCTTCAGAACCAGACTGAGGACCTGCAGGAGAAACTCAAGGCAGCAGAGGTAGGACACACGCACACAAAAAATACTAGGGTGTGGGTGCCATTGGTGGGCGGGGCAATTAATATAAATTTTACGTTTGTGCCCTGGGCTGCTTTCATTTCCCTTTCTTCCATTCAGTAAATAAGACACCATTATCAGAGTTCAAGGACACATTCCAGCCAGGCAAGGAGGCTGTGAAGCAGGGCAAGAGAGGGGTGTGGCCTGGGGAGAATTTCAAGGGCCAGATGGAGTGTTCTGGAGGGCCACAATCAGTCCCTGAACCTGGGGTCTCTGCATGGATCAAATAACTCTATATAGACTTCCTTCCCATAGAATTATGTTTATAAGTGCAAGTCAGTCTCCGCAGAAACTGCCACAGCGATAAAGGACTTGCAGATTTATTTTAACAACATTTGTATACCACTGAATGGTAATTAAAACCTCTTAAGTGGTTTACAAACAGCATAAAATATACATTAAAATGGTCGCTGAAAGGCAAGATTTAAAAACTTTTTTTTAAAAAGCACAATGCATAAAATCAGTAGTTAAAAGTAAATACTAAATGATGCATTGCTAAGTATTCTGTGAACCGCCCTGAGATCTTTTGATGAAGGGAGTTATATAAATTTAATAAATAAATAAATTTGCATCGGCCCACCTAAGTTCCACCAGTGGTCTAGTATGAAGTTGCAAAGTAAGGCTAACACTGAAGTTCTTTCCACACAGCATGCGTTTAAATGGTTCGTGCTGCAATGTGTATTTGTTGATGTAAGCTGAGGCTGTTTTTCTCCTTAAAGCTTTTCCCACACCAAATGCATTTTAATGGCTTCTCCCGTGTGTGCATTCTTGCAATGTAAAGTAAGGACTTATCCACTCTTACCTTTCCTCCACACTTTGCAGGCACATTTTAAAGCTCTGTGTTGCATGCTCTTCTTTTTGCCCTGGAGCTTTCCCCTCATAAACCCGCTCTTTAAAGCAGAATTGGAGCAAACTGCAATCCATAGGAACCCCGAATTGCCGTTGGTTGCATTTCAGCTTTAAAGAGTGGGTTTTCACGGGTACAAAAAAAAAAAGAGCACTCAGACACTGAGCTTTAAAGTGCCAGCCTGTGCCTGGAAAGAGCAGGGCAAAACATAAGTGTGATTAAACCCTAAGTTTGCTACTCCGGCTAAAGCTCTTTTCCCATTCCATGCATTTATATGGTTTCTCCCCTTTGTGGGTTCTTCGGTATATTGTAAGGCTGCTGCTCCAGTTGAAGCTCTTCCCACACTCCAAAGTAGGAATACATTTTAATAAATGTGTATGGTTAATCCTGATTGCTTAGTGCATCAGAAGTAATTTTGGCAGGGACCGAGTGGAAAGGAAAAAATGTTTTGCACGTAAAAGATCTCAGGTTCAATCTGTAGACTAGGAAGTATTCCTGCCTGAGAAACCTGCAAAACCACGGCCGGTCAGTGTAGACCAAAGATGGAGGACCTATGGCCCCTCAAATCGAATTTCACTGATTTCAGTAGGTCTTCTTTGAATATGACTTAGCAGGATACAACCCAAAAGATGCAGAACTTACAAGAAGCTGGTGAGAAAACAAAGGTGTTTGCTCATGTTGACGCACATGAGGATGGGGAAGAAGAAGGTGCAATCGACACATGAGGCTAACTTCATCTTTGCATCTGGTCCTGCAAGTTTATTAGAGTTGCAAATTGCATCATCTTGGTGCAGTGGTAACTAGTGGGATCAGAGCAGGCATGGAGGGAGAATGTAACCCTTTTTCTCCTCTGTAACAGGTATATGTTTTGGAGGAAAACCTCTATTGCCACACAGATACCCCATGTAGATACCAGATTCAGATGAGAGATTTTCCTTGTCGTAGCAGCAAAAGGGAGACGGTTAAATTCCCCCCCCCACACACACACACCTGCTCTTTATCCTGCTTATAATCACTTCTTTCCACCACTGCCACCCACAAGATGATGCAGTTTTCCTTTTAAAAAAATAATAATAATGCATGGTTAGTTGCAATGATGAAGTTAATGTCAGGTATAGCTTGGTCCCAAGTGTTTTTGGAAAAAGCAGGAGCCTTCTTCATTCCTTGGTTCAAGGAATCCTTCAAGCTGCAGTTGTACCCATATAAATATTTAAACTCTGGCTTTAGATTTTACAGTCACTGTTCTCACCTCCCCACCCTGTGTTTGTGTGTCCAGGAAAAAGCAAAGGAGCTTGAAGATAAAGTCCATTTGTTGCAGACTGGGACCATGGAGCTCCAGAGAGCTCAGGACCTGCAGGCTTTACAGATGGCCTCTGCTCAGACGGAGTTGGCGGCAGTTACAGAAAACAGTATCAAACTGCAAAAGGAAAAGGAGGTAAAAATATAGAGGCCGGTTGAGTAGAAGGGTAATCATCAATGGGGGTGGCAGGCAGCATTTGAATCTTGAGGAGATGAGCTTTAAGTTTTGAATTGGCCGGGTGAATGGTGGGCGATTGTATATTTGCATCTTTGTAAATACGAAGTACATTTGGTTTTCCTATGACACTGAGAGCAAACTGGCTGATTCCGATTCTCCAGTTCTACCTTCCTGTCTCTGACTCTTCAGGATCTGCAGAGGAACTTGGATACTTTAAGGAGCAGCAAGGAGAATCTCGAGGTAGAAGTGAATATTCTCAAACAGAAGTTTGCAGCTCTGGATACACAGAACAGCTCCACCGACGAAGAACTGTTCCAGTGAGTGCACTTTTTCTTCTTCTGTAGTTTGTTGGATTAAATGGCAATAGTCTTACAGTTCCAAAATCCAAAACAGTTTTCTTTCCTGGCCCCAGTTGTTCCTTAACATTAGCAAACCTACTGCCAGTAATTTCATTACTGATTTGTTTGTCTGCATAACACCATCAAGATTCATTGCACTTTATGGAGTCCCTGCCTTTATGGAGAGCCCTAAGTTCAGTGTGACAGAGTGGAGGTATGGACTTGGGAGTAAGCAGGGCTTGATGTTTTACAGTTGATGTTTTAATAATTGATGTTTTATTGAGTTTTTAACGTTTTGTTGGGAGCCGCCCAGAGTGGCTGGGGCAGCCCAGCCAGATGAGTAGCATATCATCATCATCATCTTGTTGTGCTGGAGTTGCCATAGCTGCCTATTGGTGGTCAACAGTCTTAACATTTTATTATATAGTAAGATGCATACTTAGGCTTAGTTACAACAATGTATGGGGACTAAGAAGTTAAGCCAGATGGTGAATGAGGGGAAGAGAATGGGGTTAGAGGAGAGTCTAGAGCTCTTAACAAGTGGGACCTGTAACAATATTTCATTGTGGAATGCTGATGTTCAGGATAGCAGACATACCATTTCCCCACCCACCCTTCCCAACAGTTCGCATACTGTGTCTGCTGAGCATGCTCAGACCTCATTGGACTGTGTAGTTTACCTCCTCCCTCAGGTTTTTATTCTCCCTCCCCAGTATATATTTTAGTACTTCTGCAGAGCTTGAGATTCTCCCCAAACTGCTGATACCTCTCTCTTGCAGAGGCTGTTTTGGCTAGGGAAGCAATGGCACCCAAGGCCTGAATGCTGGATATAGAGGGGATGATTTAGAATTAGAATAATCATCTCTGTGCTTGATGTTCCTTTGGTTGACATAGCAAAACGAGCAACTGGAAGCCATTCAGGCTCCACAGAATCTCATGTTTCCGTGTAAGGAGAGTAGCAGGAGGGTAGCCAAAATTCAGGCTGTGCAACCTCTTGTAACGCCAAGTATGAGTCACAAAGCAGGGACACTGACTCCTCTGCAGGGTCTTGGAAGCTTTGAACCTGCAGAGGGACAAACTGAGCCTTTTGGTGATTCTGAGAGTGCAGGTGTGGGTTGGCATATAGCAGGCACCAAGGTGATGTATCTTGTGGCAGGGAGGCTGGAAGCCTGGGCATGCGACTGCAAGAATTCATCCACAACATCTGTCCCCAAACAGAACCAAAGAAGAGAACAAAAAGGTGTTGGCTGAAAAGGAGCAGCTGGAAAAGAAGCTAAGAAACACCCTGAATTGTGTGGATCAACTTCAGGTGGGAAACTCCTGCATGTTTTCCTTGGCATTTATGAGCTGCTGGAGAGTGCAGGAAGGGAACATAGGTGGTTGAAAAGGTTTCTTAAAAACCCAGTTGTCCTTTGGAAAACAGGAAATGAAATGGTTCTTTAAAAGCAGATGGCCAGATACACTCAAGTATTTATAATTGATCTCATTCGTACATGGAGGCCATATTTTTGTTCAGATTAGAGCAGGCTTCCTCAACCTTGGTCCTCCAATATGTCTTGAGACTACAATTCCTATCATCCCTGACCACTGGTCCTGCTAGCTAGGGATCATGGGAGTTGTAGGCCAAAAACATCTGGAGGGTTGAGGTTGAGGAAGCCTGGATTAGAGGGTGGGGTTACCTCTGGCGCTCCAGATGTTGTTGGGCTACAGCTTGCATCATCCCTAACCATTGGCCATGCTGGCTTGGGGTGATGGGAGTTGGCCCTGAGCGCAGCAGACAAACTTTCAAATGTCAAGTTCTTTATTTTCAGGAAAATGCAAGGAGCGCCTGTGAACATTAGAATGTCGTACACTAAGCAGTTAGATCTAGAACCCAATAAGATATAAGTGGGGCAAAGAATTAGAAGCACACCTAACATCTACAAAATGGGGAAGAGCTGTACATAATATTACACCTGCCTCCCACGAAATTAGGTAAAGGTAAAGGGACTCCTGACCATTAGGTCCAGTCGTGACCAACTCTGGGGTTGCGGCGCTCATCTCGCTTTATTGGCCGAGGAAGCCGGCGTACAGCTTCCGGGTCATGTGGCCAGCATGACTAAGCCGCTTCTGGCGAACCAGAGCAGTGCACGGAAAAGCCGTTTACCTTCCCGCCGGAGCGGTACCTATTTATCTACTTGCACTTTGACGTGCTTTCGAACTGCTAGGTGGGCAGGAGCAGGGACCGAGCAACGGGAGCTCACCCTGTCACGGGGATTCGAACCACCGACCTCCTGATCAGCAAGTCCTAGGCTCTGTGGTTTAACCCACAGCACCACCCACGTCCCCCCACAACATTAGACTGAGGTTAATTCAACAGAAATACTCCTCATGAGCTACTGGACAGCAATATGCCTTAAGCACAGGGGCAAAACACACACACGCACATGATAGATGACTGCTGGAGATGTTGACAGCCACAAGCAGACCTAACTCACCTACAATATAAAGCTAGAAATCTTAACAAAACTTGATGGGGCTAAGTTTAAGCCTGATAGTCCAGCATTCCTGTCATCATCTGCGTTTGGGGAGTCATGTGTCCCTTTACTTTCATCTCAGTCCCAAGTACAGAGTCAACAGAACAAAGTGGAAGACCTGCAAGGGGCAGTTCAAGACAAAGCAAGGCACCTGGAGCAGCTGAAGGAGGAGAATTATCAATTAAATGCCACCTTGCTTAGACAGGTAAGCTTCCCTCCCCCCTCTTCGTTGGTGCAGTGGTTTAGGAGACGGTAAAAGAAAGAACACAGACGTAGGGGATCGGCGCAGTTTTATCCGCCAAAGCAAATGTTTAAAGGTCTTGAGAGAGTTTCAGACTTCTTGAGCAGGAAGCAGCTCACTTTGAGGCGGACTATTTAGAGCATGCAGGAAGTGGTTTGCTCTCTGAAGTTCAGACTTTAAAACCAGCAGGTAGCTTCTGTGCTGCCGGGCCTCCTGCCAATGGATTTAGACTTAAACAGAGATAGCATACAGCACAATGCTGTGCAGGTCTACCCCAAAGCAAGTCTTGTTGAATTCAGTGTGGAAAATGAGTAGAGGATTGCAATATTAATCTGGACATTCTTCATGCAGGCTGCTACTCTTTCGTGAGGCTTATTTTTCAGTGTATTCCAGAGGTGCAGAACCTGAGATCTGGGGGCCAAATATAGCTTTCCAGGCCTTTATCAGGCCCTCGGGGACACTTTTTTCCAGGTCACATCCCCTTCCCAAGACACACACACGCCACCATCCCTCTTTTAGTGTTTTTGCATGACTGAAATGTGTCCTTGAACTGTTGAAGATGCCTTTGGATTGCCTGGATGGAGGATAGAGTGAGGGCCGGTTGTGACTGTGTACGCAAATTAGTCTACTGTACATTGTATGTGTCAGTCTGGCAACTTTTGCCTCTGGCTGTGTCTACCCCTGGCATGTGGCCCTTGGAAGGTTCCCCAGAAGGGGATGTGGCCCTTGAGCTATGAAAAAGGGTTTCCAACCTTGGTATAGTGGGACACGCGTGGCGCTGTAGGTTAAACCACAGAGCCTAGGACTTGCCGATCAGAAGGTTGGCGGTTCAAATCCCCGTGACAGGGTGAGCTCCCGTTGCTCGGTCCCTGCTCCTGCCAACCTAGCGGTTCGAAAGCACGTCAAAGTGCAAGTAGATAAATAGGTACGCTACGGCAGGTAGGTAAACCGCGTTTCCGTGTGCTGCTCTGGTTCGCCAGAAGCGGTTTAGTCATGCTGGCCACATGACCCGGAAGCTGTACGCCGGCTCCCTCGGCCAATAAAGCGAAATGAGTGCCGCAACCCCAGAGTCGGTCATGACTGGACCTAATGGTCAGGGGTCCCTTTACCTTTATAATGGTTAGAGTTTTGGACTTAGACTGATTAGAACCAGGTTTAAATTTCCCATCAGCTATGAAACTGATGGGTGAGCTTGGGCTAGTCACCATCTCTCAGCCTAACCTAGCTCATAGAGTGGTTTTAACAATAAAATTGGGGGTAGTTGCGGGGTGGGTGGGGAAACCTGAGCTCCTCCAGGGAGGTGTGGCGTGACAATGATAGGCGACATTGTCCAAATACAAATCGCTTTTTTTTTACCTGCCCCCCCAGCAAAATTTGGAGAAGAAACTGGAAGAGGAAGTTCTTTCACATCAGACCCTGCAGAAGGAAATGAATGAACTGGAAAAGGAAAACAAGGTGCAAGTTTAGTTAAATGGGGGTTGGAGAAGGAATGCATAAATGCTCCAGCGCTCTGAAAAGAAATGTGCTTTCTTTTAAGTCAGGGATAGCCAGCTGTTGCTGGACTCTCATCAGCCCCAGCCACGATGGCCAATGGGAAGGAGCTGTAGTCCCACAGCGTCGGGTTAACAGCCAGGGAGGGCTGTTGCCTTCATGCCCTGCTTATGTGCACCCCAGATGCATCTGGTTGGTTGCTGTCTGAAACAGGCTCCTGGAATAGATGAACCTTCAAGTCTGAACCAGCAAGGTGGTTCTTATCTAGAATTGGCAATCCTTGTACTAGGCCACTGGGAAAGCAAATACCTTAACTGCACTGGCTGCCAATTAGTGTCCGCACCCAGTTCAAAGTGCTAGTATTGACCTGTAAAGCTTTGCACAGCTCGGGACCTCAGTACCTTAAGGGCTGCCTCTCTTCATACAAATGGACCCAGACCCCACACTTGTCGTCTGAGGCCCTTCTCTATGTCCCCTCTCCCCAAGAGGTTTGGAGGGTAGCAACACAAGAACAGTCCTTTTCCGTGGTGGCTCCCTGTCTGTGGAATGCTCTCCCCAGAAAGGCTCACTTGGCACCATCCTTGAATGACAAGAGAAGCCATCAGTAAATTAGTGATGATAATAATACAGCAAAGCTGTTGCACCTTGCCCAAGAGTATTCCTTTCTCCCTGAACCCCTACCACTGGATTAATGGCTGGTTCCTGCCTCTCACCCTGCCTCCCACTTCTTCTGAAACAACAAAAATGGCATTGTCCAGTCAAAAGTATTCTTGCCAATCCCCTTCCCCTGAATTGGTACGGATTGTCTGGCATTATAACGCAAAAACAGGGGGAATAGGAAATAAACAGGTTTCCTTTAGTGCGAGCGTGAAGAAAACCTGTGGATGTTCAGATGCTGATGGACTGCAAATCCTATCAGTCCTGATATTGGCCCTGCAGGCTGGGACTGATGGGAGTTGTAGCTCAGAAACATCTGGATCTGACTGTTAGCCATGGCTTTCTGTATTTCAGACTTGAGGAACTGCTTCAAGCTGCTTGCAAACCGTAACTCCAGGTATCCTGGCTTCTTATTCTACCATTTGTTTCTTTGCAGAGATTAAGGCGGGAGAATGAGGAACTGATGGTGCACCTTCCTGAAATTCTGGATCATCCACCTGGGGTCCTAACCCAGTCACCAGAAAACTCAGTCCTGGTGTATGGCAATCCCTATACTGGTGAGTGCATTAGAGAATCCACTTAGAAGAGTCCAACTGGAGGCAAAGGAGCATGCATTTACGTCTTGATGTTAGCATGCAGAAAGCCCCAGATTTAATCCCTGGGGATGCGGGTGGAGCTGTGGGTTAAACCACAGAGGCTAGGATTTGCCGATCAGAAGGTTGGCGGTTCGAATCCCCGTGACGGGGTGAGCTCCCGTTGCTCAGTCCCTGCTCCTGCCCACCTAGCAGTTCAAAAGTGCAAGTAGATAAATAGGTACTGCTCCAGCGGGAAGGTAAACGGCGTTTCTGTGAGCTGCTCTGGTTCGCCAGAAGCGGCTTAGTCATGCTGGCCACATGACCCGGAAGCTGTACGCCGGCTCCCTTGGCCAATAAAGCGAGATGAGCACCGCAACCCCAGAGTCGGTCACGACTGGACCTAACGGTCGGAGTCCCTTTACCTTTACCTATCTCCGGTAGGTCAGGGAGAGGCTCCAGTCTGAAAACTCTGGAGGTCGGTATAAACAATACTAATCTCAATGGACCCATGATCTGACTTGGTACAAAGGAGCTGCTTCTTTTCATTGCATTCAGATGCGTATGTTTAATCTGTTTTGGTCTTCTTGCCCTCTAGTTTTATCATTGCCCCCTGCTGATGCTTCCAATCATCCCCCCCCCATCAGTTCTTACTGTGTTTGCTGACTGCCTTTCTGTTGTTTTCTGCTTGGTCTCAAATATGATCAAACTGCTCTGCCCCCACCGTCAGTATACTTCTGAATACCACTAGCTGGAAACAACAGGAGGAGAGAGCCCTCCTCCACTTGAGAGTTTCCCACAGGCATCTTGTTGGCTCTTTGAGCACAGGGTGCTGGACCAAAAGGGCCATTGGTCTGATCCAGCTGGGCTCTTCTAGTGCTGTTATGATCTGCAGTAGGGTTTCCTGAACTCGGGCCTCCAGCTGTTTTTGGACTACAATTCCCATCATCCCTGACCACTGGTCCTGCTAGCTAGGGATAATGGGAGTTGTAGTCCAAAAACAGCAGAAGACCCAAGCTTGGGAAAGCTTGATATACATGAACACATTTCTCTGTCTCCACCCATCTCTCTGAATTCAACCTATTAGTCTGTCCTTCAGCCAAGGACAATGCATTTCTTTCTTTCTTTCTTTCTTTCTTTCTTTCTTTCTTTCTTTCTTTCTTTCTTTGCTTTTTAACTTTTGCTCCTCAGAGGCAACTCTTCCCTCAACTCCACAGTTTTCACTTCTGTGTAGTTTTCCTCTAAAATATGGCTTTTTCCATCTGTCACGGTACTTGTTCCAAACATCTCTCAGGGCAAAACTGCATGTTATTATGTGGGAAATCCCTAACTGATCTCCCAATGTGCTTCTTTAAAGGTGAAACATAAGGCACTTCTAACTCTCTTGTTTCATGGGTTAGAAGTTTTTGGTTTACTACAAACATACCTTTCTATTGAATGCATTTTGATTTTGACCTCCCCTGGGCTTGGCACCTTGTCCCCTGTTGCAAATACCCTTTTCTTTCCCTTATTTTCCTGAGGGCAGGGACTGTGCCTGCTTGTTCTTTACACAGTGATTAGGGTCTGTTCTAGACACTTAATAACCATGTTTAATATTTATCAGACTGCCATACTGCTTTTTTGCATGCGTAGGAAGGAACAATGTGGACAGCACACAGTGAACTTTGGTGCAGGAAAACAGTAGTATACTGGAACGGCAGTTGGAATATGTTGAAATGGGAATAGGCACAGAGTCCTGCACAGTCCCTTTGCCTGAAATGCCCTCTGTTCCATCAGATGGTCTTGTGTGCAACAGATTTGTCATCCAAATGAAATTTGCAAGGAGATATACACTGCCATCTTCTGTGCATTTGTTACTCGACTACACATGAGGTCATGTATTGCAGTCCTGGATACTTTGTGCAGCAGATTGTAATAGCTTTATAGGAAGCTGCCTTATACAGAGTCACACCATTGGTCCAGTACTGCCTTCACTGACTGGCAACAGCTCTCCAGGGTCTCAGACAGGAGCCTTTTCCCAGAGTCAACTGGGGATTGAGCATGGAACCTTCTGTTTGCAAAGTATGAACCTCCGTGATCGAGCAGAACCCTTCCCTATACAGTGGTACCTTGGTTCCCGAACTTAATCCGTTCCGGAAGTCTGTTTCAAAACCAAAGCGTTCCAAAACCAAGGCGTGCTTACCCATAGAAAGTAATGCAAAACGGATTAATCTGTTCCACACTTTTAAAAACAACCCCTAAAACAGCAATTTAACATCAATTTTACTATCTAACGAGACCACTGATCCATAAAATGAAAGCAAAATCAATGTACTGTACTATAAAATAAATAAGACAGTATTGTAGATGATAAAAATAATAATAATAATAAAATTCTTACCTGCACTGATGATAGTCATTGTTTGGATGGGGTTTTTTTTATCCATTTCTGCAGTCAATCAATCAGTAGCTGAACTGGGTTCCACACAGTCACAAAAACAAATTAATCAAAAAAGCCTCAAAAACATAAAATAAATAGCAAAATAAAAGTGCCAAACTTTTAGATAGATCAGTTTATATAAGAGCATTGCATTTTCTTGTTATGGCTAAGATGTGTCATCTGTTTTGCAGTAAACCCAGCAATTCCTGAGACAGAGTTGGTAAGTTTGTGTGTGTGTTTCATGAGATTCTGGGGGTTTTTTCTGTTCTGTTTCATTCGTTCCCCAGTATTTTTGCTTACTGTGTCACCATCCATATGCATGACGTTCGTTCAAGGAATCTTAAGAGGACAAGTCCCTGCCCCAAAGAGCTTAAAGTCTATAAATTACACAATGGGAGACAACAGAGGAAGGGGAAGGAATTGGAGGCAGGGATTAAACAAGGGGAAGAACATGTGATGATTGCTGTTATTACACACATTACACACATTAATGTGTGTAAACACCACATTAATGCCCTTTAGCATGGTATTTAGGGTGCCTTAAGCCAAGGTTCAGAATTTAGTGAGGAAGCCATACAGCATGGAATCAGACATAGGGTTGCTTTAAAAGCTCTTAGGCTGCTAGTTCTGTTTGATCTACAGTTTAGAGCTATAACTTTTCCCTCCTGTCCATTTTCAAAATAATATCCAACACCCGTCCACCTCTGTGTTGCCCTGTCTTTAGAATAATAGAGATGTACCGCCTGGAAGAAAGCGTTGGAAAGCTTGAGAAGGGCAGAGAAAGCTGGGGATGGGTCATCTGCAGGGAAATGGACTGGCTTCTCTTCCTCACACTTTTAACTCCCTTTTTAAGTGATCCTAAGGAGGGAGGCTAAACCTCTGAAACTTCAGTAAGAGCCCGAGACTTTACAACCCTAATAGAGCAATTGCAGATGGGTGCTCAATCTTAACACTTTTTCACTTCCCCCACACCCTACCCTACCAGGTTAAATATATATATATATCTGTCCACTGTTAAGCTGCTTTGGCAGGAAATACCCATAAGAAGGAGGGGCAGCAAATGAGGTGGTGCTTCCAGGCCCTTAAGTTCTGTCGCCCTTGCCCTCGTTGCCCTGCCCTAGCCAGCCTCAGGTACCCGTGCTCAGTTGCATTTTTGCAGCAGATAATCCGCCTCTCCCGGTATGCCCCACAGAGAGCATCAAGGTCCATAAATAGCAACACCCTAGTGGTCCTGGGCCCTAAGGAAGTTAGATTAGCTTCAACCAGAGCCAGGGCCTTTTCAACACTGGCTCCGGCCTGGTGGAACGCTCTGCCTCATGAGACCAGGGCCCTGCAGGATCTGATTTCTTTCCGCAGGGCCTGTAAGACAGAGTTGTTCCGCCTGGCCTTTGGCTTGGAGCCAATTTGATTCCCTCCCTCTCTTTCTTTTTCCTTTCTCCTCCTGTGATGAGGCTGCATTTTAATGTTTTAATATTTCAGTATTTTAATGTTGTATTTTAATCTGGTTTTTAAGTTGTAGTCATTCAACTTGTTTTTATTATTGCTTGTTAGCCGCCCTGAGCCCAGCCTTGGCTGGGGAGGGCAGGGTATAAATAAAAATTATTATTATTATTATTATTATTATTATGCTTCCACGTTCTCATTCTCGCCTCCATTTAGGTCTCCGTGAGAAAATGTCCCATGTGCGACGAAGTCTTCCCTAATGACATTGGGGAGCAGCAGTATTCAGATCATGTGCGGAGCCACCTTCTGGAGTGTCCGTACTGCGACGAGAGCTTTGACAACTCCAATAAGCAAGTGTATGATGACCATGTCTACTGCCACGGCTTAGACTAAATTTCGGTCTACTTGCATAAGCTACAAAGGGATAGTGCCTCTTTATCTTACCCCACTCCCCCCCCCTTTTAATGTTATGACAGAGACTGGCATGGAAGGATTTCTGTGCTGCTGTTAGACTCACCATGTCAGGGGAAAACCTTTTGCTGGGACTGCAGCATTGTTCATTTCCTTCCGTCTGTTATCCACACCTATTAAATGCTAAATGCACTATGCTTCCGCTATGGAAAAGGACACATATTTCTTGACTAAGTACATCTTTCAACAGATTAAAGCTCATTACAAGTTATTTCAAAGGGATGAGCATTTTATTAAAATGAATGGTGATTTTCTTCCTATACGTTTGCAACTGACAGAAACCCCTACAGCAGAAGAGATTTGTTTCGTTAACAATAGTTTGTCTAGCTGTCTAAACTATAGAAAATCCACCTTCGCTTGCTTGGTGTCCTGTTCTCGGTAAAGGAAATAGATAATTGTGAAACACCCCAGAAGTGTAGTAGCATCCTTACCTGCCTTCAAGCTGTTTTGGACAAAGATAAGAAGAGAAGAAAGTTTATGTGCTCGGGTAAAGTGCTTCTGAATGGTGGTGTTTAGGGGGGAAAATCAGAGAGCTCAAACTTGGTTTCAACTAAAATACTAGTGTCCTGAATGCCTTTGTGATTGAACAGGAGCATGATGCACGAGTGAAAATTAAGTCAAAATGTCTTGCGCCATCAAAAAGCTACTTTACAGATACTGTTGCTCTGGTCAACAGCTAGCTTTCCAAGGAGTGGAAGCATTTTGAGAAGTGAAAGAGGGTTGGCTGGAGGGCCATAATTTCATAACTCCCCACGCCATTCCCCAAAGTGACCGTGCCAGCAAGTTTAGTAGCCACAGGATTACTTTCTCCAGGCATCTTTTGCTTCCAGGCAGGCAACTGGGAAAAGAGTGGTAGCTTGGCATCCCTGAACGGAATCAGACTCACCATGCTGGATAGAGTGGGGGGGTTGTTCTCCCATTGCTGACCATTACGCTATAGGCAGAACTCGCCAGAAAGCTGTTCTTTGTGCAGCCCCACTGAAATGAATGGGAGCAGTTTAAGAACAGCGCATCTTACACAGGTCATCTGAGGTAAACTCTGTTCAAAACAGTGGTGGCATGAGGGGAAAAAATACTGGGATAGAGGTAGGCCGAAGAGGCATAGTGGATTCTGTGCAGGCAAGCTCTGTGTGATATGTTTTATGTTTAGGACTTATCCTAAATCATTCACATTTTGCGGCAAGACTGCTGTCAAAAACACATTTACTCAGAAATGAGCCCCACTGATTTCAGTGAGCCTTACTTCCAAGTAAATAGGAGGGCAGTCTCAAAGACTCTGGTGCCACACCTGCCTCTGAGCCCGTCCAACAAATCTGACTGGAGTCTGTGTATGTCCTTATAGCGGGTATAAAGAACCCGTGGGCACCAGAACAGCCATCAGGTAAACATTAGGAGATGAAACTCTCCTAATTCAGAATATGTGATATGTAGGCTACTTTGTCTCTTCCACATTCACTTGTCTTTGGGTTGTTTTGCCAGACTGTGAGGCAATGGCTACTTTCCAGGCTGCTTTGAAAGCCTCCTGTCTCTTTAGCCCATGGAATGTTAAGGCTCGGGGCCTTGAAACGGTTCTGTTCTAAGAATTTCTTTTTTAATCCTCTTATTTATCTACCGCCTCTAAATGGTAACTCAGGAATCAAAGTGACAGCGTTAAAAACAAAACAAAAACCCACCTTTTAATAGAAGAGAATCTTCACGATTTCATTGCTGTTTGGGAATTTGCAAGGCTCGATGCTAACTTGGATTCTCTGATTTTTTTAAACAAGCCACCTTCAATTTATATTCCTGCTGAACACATATGTAGAATACTTGATCAAAAGAATCTTTTTAATTTTGATGTTGATGTGTTCTCCTATGCAAGACCAAAAGCTGTAACATGGTTAATTGCCTACTATGTATTGATTACTGATAGACCTCTAATGTTGTTGGGGGAAATCCATTTTGTGTTTTAATAGCGTTCTGCTTTCAACTACTTTTGATGATTGCTTTTTAAAAGCATGGTATGTTAACACCTCTTCCAATGCTGAAAATGTAAAGTTGTATTGGTTGGCCTCCTGCAGTGTAATATTAAATAAGTGGACTTCAGTTTGTCTCATCTTATATTTCAAAGCAGCCAACTGGGAACTTCATTCTGTGCTCTTTCCCTTTGATTCCAGTGATTAGAACATGTAATGGGGCGGGGGGGGGGAGAGAGACAGACAGACAGACAGAAAACACAAACAATCACAAAAAGAGCCCTATGGGATCAGACCAAAGGCCCATCTAGTCCCACATTCTGTGATGACCACAAACAAAATCTGTGAACTACCCTGAGACTTGCGGGTATAGGGCGGTGTACAAATTTAAAGAACAACAACAACCTGAGCGCAACAACACTCTTCCTCTCCCACCCCCATTGATTCCTGGTAATTGGTATTCAGACTCATACCAGGGTGTGATTTAGGTACAATCTGTTCTGCAAGAAGCTGTCCCAAGATGTTTTGCTGCCTGTGGAGAAGGACAAGAAGGTGCCCTCCTTCCCTCCCACCAGTCCTATATACAGGTATGCCCATGACCACTCTGGCTCTTCAATCTTATTTAAATAGTACAAATGAGGCAACATCTCCCAGTGCCCCTCCAAGCACAGCTCTGTCCTCTTAACACCTCGCTGCCACTCCTTCCCCCAAAATGCCCTGCATCTGCTCATTAAAAAAAGAAGACGCGTATATTGATTTTCAAATATACAGCAGCTTGGCAACTTAAAGCAATATACACAGCAGTGACGAAGGAAAACAGTGCCACTGCCCCATGGAGCACAGGTCAATGTACTACAATGAGAATAAAGATAAAGTTTCTTCCGTGTAAGGACAATACGATAGGGAATGGGAGCCACCACCTCGCTCTGTGCCAGCCCAGATTAGTATAATATGTCTCTTTAAAAATAATTATTCATTGTTATTTTTTAGAAAATATAGATTTTTTTTCGGTTTAATTAAAATGGTTTGACATAACAGTAGTAAAACATTTTTAAAAAACAGAAGTGGCAAAATACAATCCTAAGTCATTAAAGAAGAGAGAAATCAGATGGGCTATAGCTATAAAATGAGAGGAAAATGAAGGGCTTTTCAAGTACCCAAGTGCGAAAGTAGAATGGAAAATGATCAACCAGAGATTATAGTGCTGGGGCTGATTATTCAAGTTTTAAAGTCCAGGAATTTTTGTTTTGGTTAATGATGTGTTGAACAAAAGGAAAAGCAGCAATGTTGGCCCATAAGAAACATTCTGAATTAAGAGAATGCCTTTATCGGTCCAGACAATGGGTCACAAAAGTCCAGTGAATAGTCCAATAGTATGCCATGTTCAGTGTCCAAGAAGCACACTAAGGCATGTGCACCTTCTCCCAAATCCCATGGCAGCACTGGATAAGCAGTACAGAGTCCCATATAGACCTTGCGCAGATGAAGGCATCTCCAGGCCATCTCAGCCAGAAGAAGCAACTGATTAGCAGTATGTCTTGTGCCCTCCATGCAACATGGGGGTCTTTTAAAATGGTAGAGGGACCCCTGACCGTTAAGTCCAGTTGCGGCCTACTCTGCGGTTGTGACTATTTACCCTGGGCTTTGCGATGCACCTTAACCATCTCAGACAGCTTCCACATGGCCTCAGGGATTCCATCTCCGTTCACAGCACAGCAGCCCTGCACATGCCACTGGTGCCCTCACAGTTTCCTCAGCCCCATTTTTTCGGCCACTTCTAGTGGGGGCCACGCTCCAGGCAAGTCTTGCTTGTTGGCCAGCAGCAGTACAGGCACATTTTGCAAGTCCTTGGTCTCCAGCACGACTTCCAACTCAGACTTGGCCTCCTCAAAGCGAGTGCAATCTGCACTGTCCACCATGAAAACCAGCCCTTCTGTGTTGGGATGGTGATGCCTCCACAGTCCTCTAATCAGGCCTTGACCAGACACCTCCCAAATGATGAAAGAGACGTTGTTGATATGCTGTATCTTTTCCACATTGAAGCTGATGGTGGGAATGGTCGTGACGGTTTCGTTCAGCTTCAGCTTATAGAGGAGGGTGGTTTTGCCAGCTGTATCCAGGCCCAGCAGGAGAATACGAGCCTCCATCCCATGGAAGCTCTGCAAAGCACTCTGAATCTGGCTGAGTAAAAGTCCCATGGTGAAACACCACCGCCGTTCTTCTCCAGACGCAGGCAATGTGACGCATGGGATAGAATCGCCTTCCTTTTTATAGTTAGTCAACTGTTGTTTCATTGGCTCAACTCTAGGGGGTGTGGTGTGGAACTGTCATTACTGTCTTGTTGGCAGCAGTCATGCTGGAAGTTTTGCAGAGTAGCTTTTCTGATGCAGGAAGTTTTGATGTAACCAGCGCCTGGCCAGCTAATAGGACTTGTTCAGCATTCTGGCTGTACAAGTTATGGAGTGAGTTTTGCTGCTGCTTGTGTTGCAAATAGCTTTTAGTCCATAGCAGCAAATCCAGTTTTGCTATGGGGTTATTTGAATTCCTTGCAGAGCCTTTTGGCAAGGTAACGAGTGTTTTTCATCATTTGAAAAGCAGAGGTTCTTAAGGCCCACAAAGTTCTGACTTGATTGGTTGGTATCCCCAGATCTCTTGAAACGACAGGCAAAATGCACCATGCATTTAGAATACAGTCTTTTCCTTTTCTGTATAATTTATGTGTGCCTATATAGCCAGCTTGAGACTTCATGGCCTCTGTAACAACCATGTGGCTCTCTTAGTACATCACCATCCCAACACATATGGATATGCCCTTGATCTGGTCTTTGCCACAGAACAGATTGCTAATTCTCTGTTGAGTGGGGAAGGGGGCACATTTTTCATTGCTGTAACATTCCCTGGTGAGGTTTGGACAGCTTCAAACTGCAGGGACATATTGTGTTCCTCTGCCCCTGGAGGCTTATGGAATCTAATGGATTCCTGAATGCTCTGGGGAATTTTCCAGTTAACATGGCTGGCGCTCCTGTCAAGGCACTTGTCACTTTGGAATAGTAAAATGTATAAAACCATCAACTACTTTTGATCATTTCTTTTTTAAAGCATGGTATGTTGACACCTCTTCCAATGCTGAAAATGTAAAGTTGTATTAGTTGGCCTCCTGCAGTTTAATATTAAATAAGTAGACTTCAGTTTTTGTCATCTTGTATTTCAAAGCAACCCCAACTGGGAACTTGTTTCAGCACTAACTCTTTCCCTTTGATTCCATTGATTAGAATATGTAATTGGAAGAAAGAGAGAGAGAACACAAACAATTGAACACAAGAAGAGCCCTACTGGATCCAACCAGAGGCCCATCTAGTCCCACGTTCTGTTCTCGTAGTGGATGGCGCTGTAGTCTAAACCACTGAGCCTCTTGGGCTTGCTGATCGGAAGGTTGGCGGTTCGAATCCCTGCCACGGGGTGAGCTCCCGTTGTCTGTCCCAGGTTCTGCCAACCTAGCAGTTCAAAAGCACGCCAGTGCAAGTAGATAAATAAGTACTGCTGCAGAGGGAAGGTAAACAGCATTTCTGTGTGCTCTGGTTTCTATCACGGTGTTCCGATGCACCAAAAGCTGTTTTCTTATATTGGCCACATGACCCGGAAAGTTGTCTGTGGACAAACGCCGGCTCCCTCAGCCTGAAAGCGAGATGAGCGCCGTAACCCCACAGTCGCCTTTGACTGGACTTAACCATCCAGGGGTCCTTTACCTTATCCTGGTGGCCAACCAAATGACCATGTGATGACCACAAGGAAAATCCGTGAACCACCCCGAGACTAGCGGGTATAGAGCAGTGTACAAATTTCAACAACAACAACCTGAGCACAACAACACTCTCCCTCTTCCACCCCCATTGATTCCAGGTAATTGGTATTCAGACTCATACCAGTGTGTGATTTAGGTACAATCTGTTCTGCAAGAAGCTGTCCCAAGATGTTTTGCTGCCTGTGGAGAAGGACAAGAGGGTGCCCTCCAGTCCCTTATACAGGTATGCCCATGACCACTCTGGCTCTTCAATCTTAATTAAATAGTACAAATGAGGCAACATCTCCCAGTTCCCCTCCAAGCACAGCTCTGTCCTCTTAATACCTCGCTGCCACTCCTTCCCCCCAATGCCCTGCATCTGCTCCTTAAAAAAGAAGCATACAGTGGTACCTCGGGTTAAGAACTTAATTCGTTCTGGAGATCCGTTCTTAACCTGAAACTGTTCTTAACCTGAGGTACCACTTTAGCTAATGGGACCTGCTGCCGCCCCGCCACCACTGCGCGATTTCTGTTCTCATCCTGAAGCAAGGTTCTTAACCTGAAGCACTATTTCTGGGTTAGCGGAGTCTGTAACCTAAAGCGTCTGTAACCTGAAGCATATGTAACCCGAGGTACCACTGTATATTGATTTTCAAATACACAGCTTCTCAGAAGCTTAAAGCCATAGAAACAGCAATGAGGGGGGGAAAGAGTGCCACCGCCCTATGGAGCACAGCTCAATGTACTACAGTGAGAATAAAGATCAAGTCTCATCACTGTAAGCGCAATACGAAAGGGAATGGGAGCCGCCACCTCACTCTGTGCCAGCCCAGATTATTACAACTAAACCATATGAGGGTATCAAGTAGAAGGAGATGTACACAAACACTGAAGGAGCTAATCGTGTTAAGCAGATAGCATGGCTATATTCACACCCGGGGCCTCTGAGAGCGAAATGGAGATTACAGGTTGTATCCAATTCTAGCCCTTCTCTGAATAGACCCACGGAAGTTATTAGACATAACTAAGCTTGAGTCATACAGATACAACCCATGAATTAGCAGCTTTCACGATAAAGACCTCAAATCTGGTTTCCAATACACTGTCTGTGAACCCCATTTCTTGAACCGCTGGCAGCCCTAATGTATTTTAAAGACCAAGTTATAAGCCACACTCTGGAGATAAAGAAAATGCCAAGAGATTTTAATATGTCTTTTTAAAAATTATTATTCATTTTGTTTATAGAAAGCAGAGATTTATTTTCAATTAATTTAAAATGGTTTGGCATAACAGTAATAAAACATTTTGAAAAACAGAAATGGCAAAATACAATCCTACAACATTAAAGAAGAGAGAAATCAGTTGAATTATGGGTACAAATTAAGAGGAAAAAGAAGGGCTTTTCCAATAAACAAGTGCGAAGTAGAATGGAAAATGATCAACTTTATATTACAGAAGCACTCAAATAACCTAGGATCCAGAGATTATAGTGGTGCGGCTGATTATTCAAGTTTTAAAGTCCAGGAATTTTCGTTTTGGTTAATGATGTGTTGAACAAAAGGGAAAGCAGCAATGTTGGCCCATAAGAAACATTCTGAATTAAGAGAATGCCTTTATCCGTCCAGACAACAGATCACAAAAGCCCTGTGAATAGTTCAACAGCATACCATGTTCAGTGTCCAAGAAGCACATTAAGGCATGTGCACCTTCTCTCAAATCCCATGGCAGCACTGGATAAGCAGTACAGAGTCCCATATAGACCTTGCACAGATGAAGGCATCTCCAGGGCATCTCAGCCAGAAGAAGCAATTGATTAGCAGGATGTCTTGTTTCCTCCATGCAACATGGGGGTCTTTATATGCCTCCCCAATTGACTATTTACCCTGGGCTTTGCGATACACCTTGACCATCTCAGACAGCTTCCACATGGCCTCAGGGATTCCATCTCCGTTCACAGCACAACAGCCCTGCACATGCCACCGGTGCCCTCGCAGTTTCCTCAGCCCCATTTTTTCGGCCACTTCTAGGGGGGGGCAACGCTCCAGGCAAGTCTTGCTTGTTGGCCAGCAGCACTACGGGCACGTCTTGCAAGTCCTTGGTCTCCAGCAGGGCTTCCAACTCGGACTTGGCCTCCTCAAAGCGAGTGCAATCTGCACTGTCCACCACGAAGACCAGCCCATCTGAGTTGGGATGGTAATGCCTCCACAGGACTCTGATCCGGTCTTGACCACCCACATCCCACATGGTGAAAGAGACGTTGTTGATGGGCTGAATCGTTTCCACATTGAAGCCGATGGTGGGAATGGTCGTGACGGTTTCGTTCAGCTTCAGCTTATAGAGGAGGGTGGTTTTGCCAGCTGCATCCAGGCCCAGCAGGAGAATCCGAGCCTCCGTCCCATAGAAGCTCTGCAAAGCACTCTGAATCCGGCTGAGTAAAAGTCCCATGGTGAAACACCACCGCCGTTCTTCTCCAGACGCAGGCAATGTGTAGCTTGGGGAAGGATTGCCTTCCTTTTTATAGTTAGTCGGCTGTTGTTTCATTGGCTCAACTCTAGAGGGTGTGATGTGCAACTGTCATTACTGTCTTGTTGGCAGCAGTCATGCTGGAAGTTTTGCAGAGTAGCTTTTCTGATGCAGGAAGTTTTGATGTAACCAGCGCCTGGCCAGCTAATAGGACTTGTTCAGCATTCTGGCTGTACAAGTTATGGAGTGAGTTTTGCTGCTGCTTGTGTTGCAAATAGCTTTTAGTCCATAGCAGCAAATCCAGTTTTGCTATGGGGTTATTTGAATTCGTTGCAGAGCCTTTTGGCAAGGTAACGGGTGTTTTTCATCATTTGAAAAGCAGAGGTTCTTAAGGCCCACAAAGTTCTGACTTGATTGGTTGGTATCCCCAGATCTCTTGAAACGACAGGCAAAATGCACCATGCATTTAGAATACAGTCTTTTCCTTTTCTGTATAATTTATGTGTGCCTATATAGCCAGCTTGAGACTTCATGGCCTCTGTAACAACCATGTGGCTCTCTTAGTACATCACCATCCCAACACATATGGATATGCCCTTGATCTGGTCTTTGCCACAGAACAGATTGCTAATTTTCTGTTGAGTGGGGAAGGGGGCACATTTTTCATGGCTGGAACATTCCCTGGTGAGGTTTGGACAGCTTCAAACTGCAGGGACATATTGTGTTCCTCTGCCCCTGGAGGCTTATGGAATCTAATGGATTCCTGAATGCTCTGGGGAATTTTCCAGTTAACATGGCTGGCGCTCCTGTCAAGGCACTTGTCACTTTGGAATAGTAAAATGTATAAAACCATCAACTACTTTTGATCATTTCTTTTTTAAAGCATGGTATGTTGACACCTCTTCCAATGCTGAAAATGTAAAGTTGTATTAGTTGGCCTCCTGCAGTTTAATATTAAATAAGTAGACTTCAGTTTTTGTCATCTTGTATTTCAAAGCAACCCCAACTGGGAACTTGTTTCAGCACTAACTCTTTCCCTTTGATTCCATTGATTAGAATATGTAATTGGAAGAAAGAGAGAGAGAACACAAACAATTGAACACAAGAAGAGCCCTACTGGATCCAACCAGAGGCCCATCTAGTCCCACGTTCTGTTCTCGTAGTGGATGGCGCTGTAGTCTAAACCACTGAGCCTCTTGGGCTTGCTGATCGGAAGGTTGGCGGTTCGAATCCCTGCCACGGGGTGAGCTCCCGTTGTCTGTCCCAGGTTCTGCCAACCTAGCAGTTCAAAAGCACGCCAGTGCAAGTAGATAAATAAGTACTGCTGCAGAGGGAAGGTAAACAGCATTTCTGTGTGCTCTGGTTTCTATCACGGTGTTCCGATGCACCAAAAGCTGTTTTCTTATATTGGCCACATGACCCGGAAAGTTGTCTGTGGACAAACGCCGGCTCCCTCAGCCTGAAAGCGAGATGAGCGCCGTAACCCCACAGTCGCCTTTGACTGGACTTAACCATCCAGGGGTCCTTTACCTTATCATGGTGGCCAACCAGATGACCATGTGATGACCACAAGCAAAATCCGTGAACCACCCCGAGACTAGCGGGTATAGAGCAGTGTACAAATTTAAACAACAACAACAACCTGAGCACAACAACACTCTCCCTCTTCCACCCCCATTGATTCCAGGTAATTGGTATTCAGACTCATACCAGTGTGTGATTTAGGTACAATCTGTTCTGCAAGAAGCTGTCCCAAGATGTTTTGCTGCCTGTGGAGAAGGACAAGAGGGTGCCCTCCAGTCCCTTATACAGGTATGCCCATGACCACTCTGGCTCTTCAATCTTAATTAAATAGTACAAATGAGGCAACATCTCCCAGTTCCCCTCCAAGCACAGCTCTGTCCTCTTAACACCTCGCTGCCACTCCTTCCCCCCAAATGCCCTGCATCTGCTCCTTAAAAAAGAAGCATACAGTGGTACCTCGGGTTAAGAACTTAATTCGTTCTGGAGATCCGTTCTTAACCTGAAACTGTTCTTAACCTGAGGTACCACTTTAGCTAATGGGACCTGCTGCCGCCCCGCCACCACTGCGCGATTTCTGTTCTCATCCTGAAGCAAGGTTCTTAACCTGAAGCACTATTTCTGGGTTAGCGGAGTCTGTAACCTAAAGCGTCTGTAACCTGAAGCATATGTAACCCGAGGTACCACTGTATATTGATTTTCAAATACACAGCTTCTCAGAAGCTTAAAGCCATAGAAACAGCAATGAGGGGGGGAAAGAGCGCCACCGCCCTATGGAGCACAGCTCAATGTACTACAGTGAGAATAAAGATCAAGTCTCATCACTGTAAGCGCAATACGAAAGGGAATGGGAGCCGCCACCTCACTCTGTGCCAGCCCAGATTATTACAACTAAACCATATGAGGGTATCAAGTAGAAGGAGATGTACACAAACACTGAAGGAGCTAATCGTGTTAAGCAGATAGCATGGCTATATTCACACCCGGGGCCTCTGAGAGCGAAATGGAGATTACAGGTTGTATCCAATTCTAGCCCTTCTCTGAATAGACCCACGGAAGTTATTAGACATAACTAAGCTTGAGTCATACAGATACAACCCATGAATTAGCAGCTTTCACGATAAAGACCTCAAATCTGGTTTCCAATACACTGTCTGTGAACCCCATTTCTTGAACCGCTGGCAGCCCTAATGTATTTTAAAGACCAAGTTATAAGCCACACTCTGGAGATAAAGAAAATGCCAAGAGATTTTAATATGTCTTTTTAAAAATTATTATTCATTTTGTTTATAGAAAGCAGAGATTTATTTTCAATTAATTTAAAATGGTTTGACATAACAGTAATAAAACATTTTGAAAAACAGAAACGGCAAAATACAATCCTACAACATTAAAGAAGAGAGAAATCAGTTGAATTATGGGTACAAATTAAGAGGAAAAAGAAGGGCTTTTCCAATAAACAAGTGCGAAGTAGAATGGAAAATGATCAACTTTATATTACAGAAGCACTCAAATAACCTAGGATCCAGAGATTATAGTGGTGCGGCTGATTATTCAAGTTTTAAAGTCCAGGAATTTTTGTTTTGGTTAATGATGTGTTGAACAAAAGGAAAAGCAGCAATGTTGGCCCATAAGAAACATTCTGAATTAAGAGAATGCCTTTATCCGTCCAGACAACAGATCACAAAAGCCCTGTGAATAGTTCAACAGTATACCATGTTCAGTGTCCAAGAAGCACATTAAGGCATGTGCACCTTCTCTCAAATCCCATGGCAGCACTGGATAAGCAGTACAGAGTCCCATATAGACCTTGCACAGATGAAGGCATCTCCAGGGCATCTCAGCCAGAAGAAGCAATTGATTAGCAGGATGTCTTGTTTCCTCCATGCAACATGGGGGTCTTTATATGCCTCCCCAATTGACTATTTACCCTGGGCTTTGCGATACACCTTGACCATCTCAGACAGCTTCCACATGGCCTCAGGGATTCCATCTCCGTTCACAGCACAACAGCCCTGCACATGCCACCGGTGCCCTCGCAGTTTCCTCAGCCCCATTTTTTCGGCCACTTCTAGGGGGGGCAACGCTCCAGGCAAGTCTTGCTTGTTGGCCAGCAGCACTACGGGCACGTCTTGCAAGTCCTTGGTCTCCAGCAGGGCTTCCAACTCGGACTTGGCCTCCTCAAAGCGAGTGCAATCTGCACTGTCCACCACGAAGACCAGCCCATCTGAGTTGGGATGGTAATGCCTCCACAGGACTCTGATCCGGTCTTGACCACCCACATCCCACATGGTGAAAGAGACGTTGTTGATGGGCTGAATCGTTTCCACATTGAAGCCAATGGTGGGAATGGTCGTGACGGTTTCGTTCAGCTTCAGCTTATAGAGGAGGGTGGTTTTGCCAGCTGCATCCAGGCCCAGCAGGAGAATTCGAGCCTCCGTCCCATAGAAGCTCTGCAAGGCACTCTGAATCCGGCTGAGTAAAAGTCCCATGGTGAAACACCACCGCCGTTCTTCTCCAGACGCAGGCAATGTGTAGCTTGGGGAAGGATTGCCTTCCTTTTTATAGTTAGTCGGCTGTTGTTTCATTGGCTCAACTCTAGAGGGTGTGATGTGTAACTGTCATTACTGTCTTGTTGGCAGCAGTCATGCTGGAAGTTTTGCAGAGTAGCTTTTCTGATGCAGGAAGTTTTGATGTAACCAGCGCCTGGCCAGCTAATAGGACCAGTTCCGCATTCTGACAGTACAAGTCATGGAGTGAGTTTTGCTGCTGCTTGTGTTGCAAATAGCATATCAGCAAATCCAGTTTTGCTATGGTTATTTGATTTCGTTGCAAAGTCTTTTGGCATGGTGACAGTGTTTTTCTTTTCTTTAATAATGTGAAAATACCATTGGCAGTTTTTCATCATCTGAAAAGCAGAGCTTCTTAAGACCCACAAAGTTCTGGCTTGATTGGTTGGCATCCCCATATCTCTTGAAACCACAGGCAAAATCTGGCAGGTAACAAACATGCATCATGCATTTAGAATACAGTCTTTTCCTTTTATGTATAATTCCCCCCATCCTGATCTGGCGGAAAACATGATGTAGCAGGATGAATAAAAACTGATGATTAAAAATAAATTGAAATGGTATTGTCTTTTTAAAAATTGTGATCTTATTGACTATTCAGCTCCATGTGTTTCTACTTGGGAGTTCAATAGGACTTATTCCTTTGGGAGTATTTTTAGGATTGCAGCCTAAGCTGCTTTCTCAAAGATACCTGTTTATGCAGAGAGAGTGGATATATTGTGCAGGTTTAGAGGTTTATATTTTTTCTTTAGAGTGAACACATTTTATAATATTTTACAGTTTTTTTAAAAAAAGAAAGAACATGTATTTATAATTTTGTGTTTTATTATTGTAAATTGTATGGGATGCCTCTGGGTATGTGAAGTGACATGTACATATAATAAACTTAATTAATATTAAATGATTTAGCACAAGCCTTCGGTGTCCTATGACCCCCAAATGTGAGATGTGTGCCTATATAGCCAGCTTGAGACTTCACGGCCTCTGTAACAACCATGGGGCTCTCTTAGTACATCACTGTCCCAACATATATGGATATGCCCTTGAAGTGGTCTTTGCCACAGGGCGGATTGCTAATATTCTGTTGATTGGGGGAGAGGGCTCATTTTTCACAGATGGAACATTCCCTGGTGAGGTTTGGACTGCTTCAAGCTGCAGGGACCAATTGTGTTCCATTGCCCCTGGAGGCTTATGGAATCTAATGGATTCTTGAATGTTCTGGGGAGTTAACATGGCTGGTGCTCCTGTCAGGGCTCTTGTTAATTTGGAATGGTAAAATGCATAGAACCATCTACACAATCGCTCCTGAGTGTGCTTGCTGTTGCTGCGGAGCACATCCTCTAGTCGGTGGGACGCGGGTGGCACTGTGGTCTAAACCACTGAGCCTTTTGGGTTTGCTGATCAGAAGGTTGGTGCTTTGAATCCCCACGACGGGGTGAGCTCCCATTGCCTTATCCCAGCTTCTGCCAACCTAGCAGTTCGAAAGCACACCGGTAGATAAATAGGTACCACTGCGGCGGGAAGGTAAACAGACGTTACAGTGTTCCGTTAAAGTGAGATGAGCGTCGCAACCCCATAGCCGCCTTTGACTGGACTTAACTGCCATGAGGTTCCTTGCCTTTTACCTTACCTCTAGTCACCTGTGTGTGATGAAACAGGAGGCTTTGCGGCTAGAGTGCAGATGGCATAAATCTTGGTCTGTATGTGACCGAACACATGTGAAGTCACACTACCATGCCTACCATATCTCTGCCACCTTTGCATCTCCAAGTAGCTGGCTGGCAGAGCTTTTCCAAGCGGGGAATGGGCTTTTGTCATCTGGCGAAGACAACGTTGCTCTGACACGCTCAGGAGCCTGATGTAACAGCTTTGCAATGTACTTTAGGGACAACGAAACTCAGATTTGGACAGAGTTGGGTGCCACAGCCAGAGCCAGTGCAGTGAAGTCATCCAGGCACTTCATCCAGACACTGTCTGTTTCAATTATAGTGACCTGAGGATAGAGACAAGCTGCTTGAAGAATTGTGGCTGACCACCTGTCTGTCACAGTCCGGTTCATGGGTGATCGAAGTCCCGGCTGGGGACATTGGGACTGGGAGGCAAGGTGGCGGGTTGGGAGCAGGAACAGGAGTCCAGAAGCCAGGAGTCAGAAAGCCAAGAGCCGGGAGTCAAGAAGTCAGGGGTCCGAGGAGCAAGAAGCAAGGAGTCATGAAGTCAGGGGTCCGAGGAGCAAGAAGCAAGGAGTCACAAAGTTAAGGGTCTGAGGATCAAGAAGCAATGAGTCAAGGAGTCAAACGCAGCAAGGCAAGGAATATGTTGCTGTGGCAAAGAGCGAAAGGGAAAATGCTGACCTTATATCCCTTCTCGGCTTTTGCCATCAGGTGCTGTGAGTTACTAATCAACCTTACCTTGCCTCTTCAGAACAAACTTAGGAAGGCCCCAGTCCTGCAGACTCCCATTGGTCACAGGGCCTGGCTCCTGCACGCACACCTGACACTGTCACCTTGACCCTTGGCCACCTTGGCTTCTTATAACTAGTCAGATAGGATTGATTTCATGCATCCAGGGAGTAAACAATGCTTCATTGAAGGAGAGGGAGGTACCACCACCTTGAAGGATGTGGTGGTGCTTCCCCTCCTTAGGAGGAGCTTCCTGGACCTGGAAGTGTCACACGGTGACAATTATCCTCTTTTGGGGCAAGGGGTGGCACTGTGGGTTAAACCACAGAGCCTAGGACTTGCCGATCAGAAGGTCGGCGGTTCGAATCCCCGTGACGGGGTGAGCTCCCGTCCCGTCGCTTGGTCCCTGCTCCTGCCAACCTAGCAGTTCAAAGGCACGTCAAAGTGCAAGCAGATAAATAGGTACCGCTCCAGCGGGAAGGTAACCAGCGTTTCTATGCGCTGCTCTGGTTCACCAGAAGTGGCTTAGTCATGCTGGCCCCATGACCCGGAAGCTGTACGCCAGCCAATAAAGCGAGATGAGCGCTGCAACCCCAGAGTCGGCCACGACTGGACCTAATGGTCAGGGGTCCCTTTACCTTTTTACTTGAGACAGGAGTGGCAGTCTAGCATGCTTGGAGGAAACTGAATATGTGGCTCCATTTCATAGCACTAAAATGACCTTCATTGCCTTCGCTGATGATATTTGTCAGGACAGGAAAGAGATGCAGGGAGTACGGCCCTGCTCATTCTTCTTGAACTCGCGGCAGCTTTTGATATCATTCACCGCAAATCCTTCTAGAGTGACTCAGCGTGTTGGGGGTTGGGGCACTGAGACAACAGGATGGTACACCTACCCAGAGGCAAGTTTATTCATAGGCAACTGCCCCACTCAGCCCTCCTTTTGTTCTTAGTTACTTGTCCATCAATTATTACTACATTTTTACATGTCTGTTGACATTGTCTTGGAATACACAGCCGTTTGTAAATCAGTTGGTTCCTTCTTTATAAGAATATATACAGCTAAATGCCAGAAAAGCAGTGTTTTGTTTTTGTTTTTTTAAGAATTCTGGACATTTCCCAACTTGACTGTCCACTGGCAAATTCACTGATGACTGAATGTTAGCAGTTGCCAGGATAGTCAAATGTTCAGAATTATAAAGAAAGGAACTGCTTTTCAAACATTTAGCTGCATATATACTTGAAGGGAAAGAGGGGGAACATGGGGACATTTAACGAGGGTACTGTATTTGTTGGTTCTTCAGATATACTAGTAAATGACAGAAATGATAAGACATGAAGCTTGATTTTGACATTTATCCCCAGGCATGTCTGTTTTCAGTAAATGTTTCAGCCACCAGGCAATAAATTTTCAGCTGCTAACTTTCATTTGTCACAAATACTCTGTATTTAGTACGCAAGTTGTGTATGTTAGGCTGTAACTGGGTGTTAGGAAAAGCGTGAGAGAAAGGGAAAATAATAAGATTGCTAATTAGGTACACTATTTATTTCTGCCCTCTGAATAATTATGTTCTTTATCAGCACAATACTAATTTATTATTAGATAAAAATTCTAATAGAAAGTTATAAGGAACACCTCATAAACAAGAGCATGTTCTTTTATAGGTCTCTAAGGACCCAATAGACTGTGTATCTGTACCCTGTGACTGTATGGCATTTGGATTGTCGGAGACCAATTACTTTAAACAGTTTTCAATTATTCCACAGTGTTGCAGCACACTGGCAGAATTCTAGTTTTATACCACGGATATCCGAGCATGAATCAGAGAACTATGGGGAAAACTTAAAAAGCTGGGTTCACTAGACTAGGACAAATCGGTTGAGAGAGATCTGCTTTGCAAGAACTATGTATCAACCTGTGCCTTATTTCATCAATGGACGTAGATTTCTTGTTCCAAAAGGAGGAGTCTGCATGATGAAATGCAAAGCCTCTTCTCAATCAAAGCATGTGGCTTGCAAACACTCAATTGGCTTGGAAAGCCAGGCCAGATTTCTAACACTTTGCTGGCAGAGCTAACTGCTATGGTCTAGCCCAGCCTTTTTCCTTCCAAAGACAGCATCATGGGAGTAGGATCTGGGCTATTAGTGAAGCAGGAGGGCTCTCTCATCAATTACAAGTTGTCAAGGATTTTAATGGAAACCCTGTGAGCACTGTAAATCTGTGCAGTTCTGCCTTGCATGCTCTCCCTCATTTCCATCACTCCATCACTCCTTGGGGACCGCGAGTCTGCAGCATGTATCAAGCAACATAGATTGGTGGCACACAGGGGAGGGAGACCCTGAGCAGGAGCTAGGAAATCTGAACAGTTGGTAATGGGAAAGCAGCTGTTGTGTGGAGGGTTAGAGTCACCTGACCCCTTTCATACTTCAGAGGGGGTGGGGAATTTCATAGTAGGAAATGGCAGGATAACATCACCGGGAAGGTTGAAGGGGGATAAAGGCAGAATGTACCACAGTTTACACAATCACACTCTGCATGCTTGTAAATCTTGGGCAACCACAGAGCTTTATGGATAAAAGCGATGCTTCCCCCTTCTTTCTTTTACTTCCTGCTGTATAAAGTTGCTTTTCAATATGTCTTTTTGAAGGCCAAAGGATGGGGCAGAAATTTAATGATCAAGACGATCCAGTGAGCTACTTTTAAGTGTTCACAGTTTACATGGGCTTGGGCATCCTTTGCTGTTTAAACCGCCGCCGCCGCCCTGAACAAGAAACTCCCCAACAACACAAATTGCTTGTAAAATTCTCCTCAGTTTAGAAAGAGGTTTGCTATGCCACAAAGAAGACCACTCTTTAAGATCCTCAGAGCCCCTTTGGGAAAGTGGAACCAGTTTCACTTCAGTTGTTTTTTTTTAAATAATCTTTATTGCTTTTAAAACTTACAAGAAAAGAAGAAAGAAGAAAATAGGCGAAAGAAAAAGACAAAATAGAGCAGAGAAGAAAAAAAGAGAAAGAAAAGAAAAAACAATACAATACAATAAACAATACAAAACACAACCTTAACACATGAAACTAAACAAAGCAAAAGAACAACAATTTAAAAACATATATCATACCATTTCATTACTCTATCTTTCATTCCCTTATTTCATCGACCTCCTCTCACCTCCCTTTTTGTATTCCACTTCTATTACTTGTTTCAGCAATTCCTTTCCATCTTTCTCTATTTTTATCATTATGAATATCTTAACATATTTTGTACCTTATTTTCCATTAATACTGAAATACTTATTTATACCTAACTCCTTATAACATTTCTGCTAAAGCCATAAAATTTCATTCCAACAATTTTCTAACACTCATTAAATTTACAATATTTCTATATATAAACTTTAAACTTTCCCAATCTTCTACCACCATCTCTTCTCCCTGGTCTCGGATTCTGCCAGTCATTTCTGTCCATTCCATATAGTTCATCAACCTGGAGATCTTCTGTCCGAGGCTCTTAAATCTTTTCCAAGTCCCTTCTGCAGTTTTTCTTCATATTCTTTGATGCTGAGGGTGCTGAAGCACAGGTCTTGGGGGGGCCCTGACCCAACCATGCCCCCATTCCCTCTTGACAGACCAACCAACTCTCCACAGCTAAAACCAGTGTCCATACAATATCTCAAATCATGTTTCAAGGCTCCCCCAGATCCAAAGGCCCCCACAACTCCAATCACCTCCTGACCCAGATTCAGGACCCAAAGGTCAGTAAATCTCTGCATGAAAGAGTCTATCCAACCTTCCTTCTTCAATCCAAACAGGGCTCCAATCTTCAAATTCTGACTTTTTCTATATTCATTCATAAAAGGCCTCCACTTATAGTCCTCAGTTTGCCTCTGTAAAACTGGGGCTTCCACTTGTATTATTTTAGGTTTAACAGCACCAACATTCTCCTTCGTCTTCTCCCCAGTTTGTCCTGTCAAGGTAGGTTCCTGTGTCAAATCCTGAACAATTTCTGTATTAATGGTCACTTTTTGTTCCAAATTAGTCACTTTTTGTCCCAAGTTCTCAAGTTTGGTATTCATAGCGTCCGTCTTCTTGTGGAGCTGTTCCAACGAATAGCTTATCTTACATAATACAGTCACTAAGGCTCCTTCTGTCAACATTCTTAAAGTCCAAGGTCGATCTCTATTTCACACAGTTCTTATCTTGCAACTGGAAAAACCCCAGCTCCACTCTTGTAACTGTTTCAAAAGCTCCCTCTAGAGGGAAACAGTCTCCACTTGTATCAATCCTTTCAAACACAGTTTAAACTATAAAGATAGTTTCTTTTCCTACTTTTTAAACGCAGATGAGTACAATGGAAACAATATATTTCTCTTATTGCTAGCTGTCAAAAAATGTCACTCTTTCTGGCAGCCCGTTTCCAGGTTCGGAGCAGTGGTAATTTGGTTTTTCACTCTCTCCTGCAGGCTCACTAGGTCCAAAATTTCCCCCCTCTTCTCCTGCTTCCAAGGGGGGTTTAATAGTTTTAACCGATGGAGATTTAATCCTTTACAAAAATAAACTTTCCAAGGCTTTAACTTGCAACTTCTTTGCTTCAATCTGTTTACAAAAAAGGAAGGCGGACTTCCTGTTTAGAACCTTCCCGTTTCGATGCCAAATTAATGAATTTAAGGATCTAATTTTCCGTTCTACTCACGGGTAGTTGTTTAAAATCCAATTGTCCACAGGAAAAAGTTAGCGCTCTCCGGCAACAGCGATGCGGCTTCACTCCGTGAAAGAAGCAGTCAATTCGAAGCACCGCGCCACTCACCCCACTTCGCTCCGGATCCCCAAATCAGGGTTTCCCCGTGAGTAGGGGAGGCGCAAAGGGTGCCAGCCGAATCCCAAGTTCACAGGCTTCTCCCGCCTGTGATTTCAGTGGGTCTCCGCCTTCGCCGTGGCGGTCGACCCTAATTTCCACAGAGCAAATTCCTCCCGATCGGAGGAACTCCGCCATTGCCTGGAGGCGCCAACCCGGAAGTCCCAGTTTCACTTCAGTTTTACCAGGCTGCTTTAATAATTTTTTTTAATTAAAATGCTTAAGAGCCTGCAGAGCCTAGTAATAAGGCATATGAAATATAGCGACAAAAGCAAAAGACCAAAGACAAAACCTACATTTCTATAGCTTATTTCTTTTCTGCTGTCAATCATAGAAACTAGCATTCATACAAGAGTAGAATCAATAATTTATTTACTTTTTAATCCCATTGGTTTCAGCCTGGTGGTGGTTGTCTGATTATCACTCAACAGAAGTCTGGCATCAAATTCACAAAAACTATAAAAACTTTAACCAGTTCACAGGAGTGACTGATATAAAGTATTCTTGATTAAATGTGGCGGTATTCTTGTCTCAATTTGCAAAAAGTGCATCCCATGCAATTGCTGTTTTGTATTTGTTCTGGTTCAAGTTTAATCCTGTAATATGAAATGGGGAAAAAAAATTAGAGATAGCCTTTCCTTCTAAAAGTTATAGCTTTTATATATTAAGCTGTAAGCTGTTTTTATTCTCAAAAGGGCAGAGAAGGGGCTCACAATTTATTTATTTTTTAAATTTCTATACCGCTTTATATTTTTAAGAAAAATCTCAAAGCAGTTTACAGCATATTAAATAAATAAAACATAAATAAAACAATCTAAAGAAAGTCAAATATAGAGTATACAGTCAAAGCAACATAACAGAAAACTAAAATACTATCTTAAAGATTTAAAAATAAAACATTACAATTACGGTCACCAGAAGAGGTTGGATCCAGACTAAGGTTGCAATCCTAACCTCACTTACCTGTCCGTAAGTCCAATTGAATTTATTGAAACTCATTTCTAAGTGGACATGGTTAGGACTGTGCTGTCTGATAAAAAATAATAATTCTTTTTAAACTAACTTAATGGATCTGTACTCTAACCATGACTAGGTCTGGGTCCAAACCAGCATCACCAGTACAGACCATAAATTTAATTGTGATGACCAGCTTGGAAAGCGTCTATTACACTCCAACGCAGGAATGTGTGTGTGTGTGTGTGTGTGTGTGTGTGTGTAGGGTCACACATAATCTCTGTTCTCACATTGGCTTTTGGTGAAGGCTGTTCTCTACTCACCTTCTGTACTTTTTGCTTAAGAGCTTGTCCTGCACCTGGACATTCAGCCAACATTTGCTATACAAATAGGAAGTGAAGAGATGGAGTGTGTGTTTAACAAAGCTGTGAAACGACATTTTGTATCTAAACATTCAAGCAAGAATAGTTATGTCTGGCTGGTTGCTGTTTGATTTTAAACTGTTTTGTTTTTTTACAGACACCCCACCCTGAATGAAATTCGCAGATTCCTTGGTAGCCCCTAGACCAGCCTGGGAACCCTTGGGCTGGCCAGATTTCATTAGTCCACAAGAAGCGTATGTCGTGATAAAATGGTCAGGTGTTTAATAAAGGCACTACTTTTCTTCAGGACAGTAGTACCTTGGTTCTCAAACGCCTTGGTTCTTAAATGCTTTTGTTCTCAAACGCTGAAAACCCGGAAGTAAATGTTCTGGTTTTCAAATGTTTTTCAGAAGCCAAAAGTCCGATGCGGTTGTCGGCTATTGTTTTCGGGGCGCTTGCACCAATCAGAAGCTGCACCTTGGTTTTTGAACATTTCGGAAATCAAACGGACTTCCAGAACGGATTATGTTTGACACTTTTGTTTTTAATATTTATTTTGCATTTTTGTTTTTGAGGCTTTTTCGGTTAATTTGTTCTTGTGATTGTGTGGAACCCAGTTCAGCTACTGACTGATTGTGTGACTGTGGAACTGGATAAAAGTCCCCCATCCAAATGATGACTATCATCAGTGCAGGTAAGAAAATTTTTAATTTTTATCATCGACAATGCTGTCTTATTTATTTTATACTGCAGTACATTGATTATTTTATGGATCAATGGTCTCGTTAGATAGTAAAATTCATGTTAAATTGCTGCTTTTAGGGGTTGTTTTTAAAAGTCTGGAACCGATTAATCCGTTTTGCATTACTTTCTATGGGAAAGCATGCCTTGGTTTTGGAACACTTTGGTTTTGGAACGGACTTCCGGAACGGATTAAGTTTGAGAACCAAGGTACCACTGTACTGTACTGCTGCCAGGAAATTATCAGCAACGGGGCTAAACCCTCGATTCAGCATTTGCAGGTGGGGTTTGGGAGTGGAAAAAGAGAGAGGCAATTCTTTATCAAAACTACATATCTCTCCCCTATTCTCTCTTCTTTTCTATCTGCGATCCATTCAAGGAGGAAATGCAAAGAATTCATCTCTATTCAAATTAGCCGGTCCTTCAGGATCTCTGATTGGCTACGCCTTCCAACTGTGACCTGCGAGGGAAGCGAAGGGGAGAGAGAGAGGCAGCGGCAGTTCGTCCTCGAGGCTAATGTTTATGCAGCGTGGATGAACCGTAGGAAAAGTTCTCGGAGCGTATTCCGTTGGAACCGAAAGTACGCATGTGCGAGATTGGGGAATCGCTGCATTAAAGAGGACGCCTGGCCAGGAGGGGAGGGGGGAGGGGGACGATGGAATCCCGCGCGCATGCGCCCTTGCGCTAGAGAGGGCGCCTAGGCCGCAGCCGCCAAGCCGTCCCCATGACAACTACGTTTCCGCCCTGCTTTTTTTCATCCCACATCGCCATTTCCGATTTGTTGTCGCCCCGAGGATGTAGTTTAGGCCAATGGAAAAGCAGCACGCTTTGGGGGGTGGGCTGTTTATTTTTTGGGCCAAATGGAACCCAGTTTCGGATCCAGTTCCAGCCAATTACGCGCGATGAGGCGGAGCAAAGGAAGAGCGAGGTTTGTCTGTAGGCGGGGTCGGCGCAGGTTGGTTGAGAGCAAAGCGGGGGGGGGGGAAAGGGAGGGCGTAGGGCGGTTGGGGGATGGCGGTAGAATGAAGAGCAAAGGCAGCAATAGGGTTGGAGGCCACGCCCCCCGAAACCAAGCCCCGCCTTCTCCATGGCAAAAAAGCGAGAGGCGTTTGGCTTCTGTAATGGAGGCTGCAGTAGTTTCTTTGCGCGTGTGGCTGTCCTGTGCTCTGTAGAAACCCTCCTCAGCTATGGCTGACTGAAAGACATTTTGCTGCCTCTGGCGGAGCAGCAAATGGCGCCTTTTCTCCCACCAGTTGAGGCGCATTAGCACGAAAGGCATATACAGTTAACTCTGGCTCCTGAGGGCAGAGAATCCCACAAGCACCTCTCCCGCCTTCCCCACTTCTTGGTAGCAAAATTACAACGGCAAAAATAAAACCAAGCAACAGTTTGCTGCCTTGTCACGACTCTCCAGTCAGCTGCCTTTTAGCCTGCCTGATCGTGAGCAGATTGCAATAGTTGTTAAAACACGAAAATGCAGTGTTGGCTCCTAGGCTCTCCACCCACCCCTTTATATTTTGCTGCGTGCACACCGTCCGTTTAAAAGTACATATCGCCCGCCCCCAGCTCAAATAATCAAGGGAATTATAGTTTGTTAAGGGTGGTGGGAAATGTCGCTTTGGGGGTCGACTATAATTCCCAGGATTCTGTGTCGCATATCTGTGTGACTGCTTTAAATCTGTGGTGTCTATGCAGCCTTTGTTCCCTAGACACTGGATTTATGTACTAAACAAGCTATAGTTTAGGGCCCCACTCTCTTCCCCCCCAATTCACTATTAATATACTTCTTATTTGTATTTCAGTTCAAAAATTACTTTGTATATATATATATTGCTATGTGCAAGTTGCTTTAGATACCTATTAGGTCCATAAATTCTACACAAAAAACAGCAACAATTTGTTGTTGACAAAGGACAGCTAACATATAATGGGCCCCATTACCTTCAGTATCTTAGGGCCTCGTCAAACCTAATCTGGCCCTGCCTCCCACCCTTACACTTAGCAAGTTGACAGCCTTTCCCAAAGCAATTGCTTTCCTCTTAATATATACTCAGTATGTTTTTATTGCTCCACTTCATATATTTCCTTCTTTTAACCAGAGTGGAGCCATGACAGTTTCCCAGTTATTGCCTTACCCGGCTCTTAGTAACTCAGATCTGATAGCGCCTCCTAATTTATGTCCCCTAACTCTTGTCTCCAGCCCCACTTTCACCAGAGAAAGTCATAACAGCAAGCCCTTACAGATCCCATTATATATTTCCCAAGCCTCCCAGCGTTTAAAAAGCACTACAGACATCACAGCTAATATTGGTACAGTATTTCCCCTCCCATCTCAGTGTGACACAATATAACTTAGCAGAGGTGGATTTAGGGGAGCTCGGCTGGTTTGGGCGTGAACTGGGCACCGCAACTATGATTTAGAATGGAAATGGTTTACAGTATTGAATATTTACAGATAAATTGTAAACAGATAAGAACACTGGCAGGATTGTTGTAATAACCTGCAGTTTCATAAGAGTTTACGGTATATTTTAAAGAAGATGAATAAATGGGTAAACTAAGTTAATTTGGATATGCAGAAGATATTAAAAGTAAATTTAAGGAACCACAGAAGGGGGAGGGGAGGAAGTCAAGCTTTGAAATGTCAAAATGATTGTAAATTGTTGTCAAATTAGTGAAATGTATAAACTTGAAAAGTATAAATAAATAAATAAAATAGAATGGAGCACAAGAAGCCCCAGCCACTCTGGGCAGCTTCCAACATATATAAAAACATTAAACAATTTAAAAAAAAAAAAACTCCTATACAGCGGAGGTTTTCAACCCTTTTGAGTCCATGGCTTGAGTACCATGGCAGTGGTACCTCTGGTTAAGAACTTAATTCGTTCTGGAGGTCTGTTCTTAACCTGAAACTGTTCTTAACCTGAAGCACCACTTTAGCTAATGGGGCCTCCCGCTGCCGCTGTGCCGCTGCTGCACGATTTCTGTTCTCATCCTGAAGCAAAGTTCTTAACCTGAGGTACTATTTCTGGGTTAGTGGAGTCTGTAACCTGAAGCGTATGTAACCCGAGGTACCACTACATTCTTTCTGTGGCACTCCGGCGGGGCTCAGGAGCCCAGTTATGTCACCCCTCGCCTGCAGAGCTCGCAGCCTCTCACCCTTTTTGAACACCTTCCCTTGTGGAGGGTTCCCTCAGCCTCCTCTCCTTCTCCCCTCTCCTTGGGAGTCCTCTGGGCAGCCGCTGCTGCCACCCCTGGTCTCTGAGCTGCCCCCCACTGCTCCAAAGAGAGGTGTCTCCTCAGACTGCCCCACAGGGGCCTGGGACTTGTCTGTCCATTCCCAACAGCAAGGGCTGGTGGACAGCCTGGCTGGGCTCCCTCGCCCGCTTGCTTGCTTACTGGCAAACCAGCACCCCTTGGCCAGCCACAGAGGCACCATTCGCCTGCAGAGCTTGTAACCAGGGCTTCTGCAACAAACAGTCACACAAGCCTTTGGGAGGCAGGGGCACGAGAGGGCATCAGAGGAGGGAGGGAAGGAAAGAGGGTGCCATGGCACACTGGTTGAAAACCACTTCTATACTGGATTGCCTTCAGACGGCCTCAGAATTGAATAACTTCATACCCTCCAAAATAAAGATGTGTGGGGCATAAACAGTAAAATTATCATTATGGAATGGGACGTCCCTATTTTCATAGGAGAAATGTTGGAGGGTATGCATCACATATGGTTCTGTGCTAAAGCGCGAAGCTAAGAACATGGGAAACTGAACATAAACAAACGATCCGCTTAGTCAAATTTTGTGTCTGTGTGTGTGCGCGCGCGCAGCTCAGGAAATTATGGGCTGCATAGTACACTCAATTTGTATTTTATTTTTACATTGTCATGCAGTAATATTGGATTTGTATGATGTGTGTAGTTTTTTACCCATTTGCTTGCTTAGCTATTAGTGGTGAAGTAATACTTCATTATCAATTTAACTGTTCAGCTCGTTTATTCTAATATAAAGCTGCAGGATTTGCACATCGCACACCAGGAAAACCTTTCTTCATCCAAGCAGTTAAAATGTTTTTAAAAGCATGTTTTACTGAGTTTCTGAAAGTAATATTGGTAAGATACACTTTCAGTCTTTTTTTAAAAAACAAACTTTTATCATTTGAAAATTGTGAACACGTGATACTCTGTTGGCAGTCTAATATCAACAATGGTCAACAATGGAAAGACAAGTCCAGACAACCATTAATGAAACAAACACACATTTCCCTGGTGACAGTGTGACAGATTCTGCTGGCTTTCCTTCATAGTGTGTCCACTGATTATTATTTGGTAATGACTCCTGATTTGTGCCAGAGTCTGTCACTACTCCAGTCCTGTATTCAGAGCTGTTTGTTATCTCACTGGCTGAGACTTGTACTTGTGTTTGTTTTTTTATCTTGCTTAGAGACCTCAAGATGGCAACTGCAACAAGATATTCTTTGCCTTATGAACAGATCTGGGAAGACCCTAAAGTCCATGGTGAGGAATGGAGGCAGACGATCAGGTTCGTTTTAGCAAATGCGAGAGTTATGCATATGAGAGAGAGCCTCACAGTTGTAAACAGCATTATGTTTAGATTAACATCTATTTGCTCACTTGTCTAACATGCTGTGTGTTTTTTTCTGATGGTTTTTCAACATATTGGCAGTCCAAAGTCATATACAGTACCACTTCAGGTGACTACCTTAAACACTAAAAATAGACTCCTTTGCCAGATGTTAGCATTTCCCCCCATGTCCTCTAACCCTAACAGTGTTTAATCAGATATAATTACTGTTTATTTAAGTAGCAGTTACTACCAAATAACTTTGTTCAGGATTGCAGCCTAATGGTGCAGTCTTATATGTACATGTCAGAAGTCCTGTTGAAAGCAATGGTGCTTGCTTCTGTTTATTATTATTTTTGCTCTGCAGGTGCTATAGTTGCATGAAATAAAATGTCAATTGCATTTATTCAGAGTGTTTGTTTGGTATTCAAAGTTGTGTCAAGTTTGAGAGTAGTTGCCACAACTTTTAAGAACGAAAGAACTATGCCTTTTCAACTCTTTGCAACTTCACTACTATTTAATATACTTACTATAAGAAATTCCCTAGAGAAATTAACAATTAATAATTCTGGCATAGATTATTGCAACTCAGGCCAATGTCTATACTTTTTAACCTTTGTAATAGATGTTAGCACAATGTGCAGCACGATGATATTATTTAAAGGATCGGTTCCCTAATATATTTTTTTTGTTATTTTGTTTTATCTGGGTTGTTCCGACCCCCCCGGATTCGCCGCCACGGCTGCCGCCGCCTCCCTAACTGGGAGAGATAAGTGAAAAGTTTTCCTGGGCATAAATCCTCTGCCCTGTCAACCAGCTATTTCCTTTTAGCTTTTAGCTTACTGCATATTGCGAAGTGAAGTTTGCCCGACTGCTGGAACCGGGCTGTTCCAAAATCCTAGGAACAAGGAAGAGGGGAAGGAAGAGGCTTGAACTGGCTGCCTTACTGTGAGTAACTTTACAGCACCACTCTCCTGGAAGTGGTAGTATTCCTGTGAGGAAGACTAAAGGATTTAAGGAGCTCCCAGCACAGTGCTCACGACGGTTCCCCTGCAAAATTGATTTATGGGCCATGGAAAACGCCCAAGAGACCCTGACGAGGCATTATCCTCTCCGAGGCCTAAGCAATCAAGGAAGGGTTTACCTAAAGGTGGGAGAGGCCCCGAGGAATGTATCTACTCAATAGCAATTCAAAATCGTTTCGATCCTCTAACGGCCCTTGAAACAACATCAAAAGATGAGGCCCCTGAGACGCTACAAATTGGAAAAGCCAATGGTAACACAAATGGGGATGGTCCCTATCCGAAGGAGGTGTTGGTGGACGAATCTGCGGACTGCACAGGTTGTGAGCAACTCCATCTAATAATTAGAACTCTAAACTGTATATTTAAGAGAATTGATGGCCTATCCTCTCAGCTGCACAGCCTTCAGCAAAAACTGGATGACCAGCCGGTTCAGACAGCCCAAGATGGGGCAGTAGATGTTCCATTGTGCCGGCAGAAAGCGCCACCAAACACTGATCGTATGAAGAACTGCAAATATAATCTCAACCCCTCACTGAATCGCCAATCCCTGACTCTACAGCCAAGGAAGTTTTCCTAACCTTCCGGGAAAGGGACCCAAGTTGGGCAACGCTACATGGGACTAAAGAGCACCTCAGATGGCTTCTAAAACTTGAGACATCACAAATAGATCTTTGTGCTGTGCTTCCCTTAATCCAACAGAACAGATATCAGAGAATGATGCTGGCTTTCCACTCTGCAAAAATCCCTCTCTTATTATTAAGCAAAAAGTGTTTTTGAATAGTCTTGGCATTTTTCCAACGAGAGTCTTCATGGATTCCATAATTAGACCCCTCCTATCGGAGGGATTAATCAAGGAGACGGTACAACCCTCCCATCCTGAACCACAAAAGAGGGCTGAGCTGTACACCCCATGTCTGGGCCAGTCCCAAAATGCCTCCACTCCTACAACTAAACACTACGATTGTGCCAATAACTCTCTGACACCCCAGGAGGAAAGAGAGCTTATCGCCTCCTTTGGTGAGTTACCTGCGATGGAACAACAAGAAATTATAAATAGGCTAGACTTACTTAAACTTCAGCTCCTAAGTATTGCCTGCAATGGAGTTTCTACGAGTAATACCCACTCTAATTTAGCGGTGCCATACCCCATGGAGGTGGAAACAGCAATTCCCCAATACCCAGCATATAAGGTGCCTTCTGCATTGGATGGGAAGGTCTCACTGCTGGAGGCAGACTCTTCTCCTCCCCTTCACGTTGGTAACTCATCCCTGCTTCTAATAGACTTATCTGTCCCCTCCGTGATTAACCGATCAAAGAATGGAACTCAGGATAACACCCCCCTGGATAAATCGTTGTCCCTTCATTCCTCCATGCCGGACTTGGAATCAACATACATCGAAGACCATCCACGACCTGAGACGGCAGTGGCCATTCCAAGTCAGGCTTCTCCAGCGCACTCTTGCCCACCAAAAATCCAACAATTACGTGAGGAAGACACTACAGTGTCGAGAGTCACCACAGAGTGGATTGAAGACCCAGCAGGACATATAAATCAAAGGATCACAAGTGTATCGGTTAGATCCCCAAAGAGGACGGCTCCAGCGGACTTGGCAGGAGCCTCTTCAGAGCCTAGTTGGGCCCGACAGCTAAAAATGCCAAATATTATTCCTACCCACCAGGATGCTAACTCTCTTCTGCCTCCCAAAAATTCTGGCCCTCGTGAGTCGATCGTGCCACAACCGGCTCGCATTAGAGCAAAAGACTCCCCACAACCGGTGTGCACCAGAGCAAAAGACTCACCACACCAGGACGACAACTTTCAGCAAAGGAAAATAACGGACTTCTTTAAGGGAGCGTCCTGGTCGCATAAGAACCCCCCACAAGAATTTAAATGACGGTTAGCCGGACAATCCAGAAAACCACCAATATCGATCCTCTGTTGGAACATAGCTGGCTGGCGTAGGAAAAAATGTGACCCAGAATTCCAGTCGTATATCAACTCGTTTCATATCATTCTATTGCAAGAAACTTGGGAGGAGGGTGAAATTGTCATAAACGGATTCGACCTATTATCTCTTCCAGCTTATCCCTCCCAGAAAGGAGGACGGCCGAAAGGTGGTCTAGTAATTGGTATCTCACTGAAGCTGCATTTCAAATTTTCACTAGTTTTGACTGCTCCCCTTATGCTTTATCCGGGTTGATGTCGGGGGAAAAGTATCACTGCTAATCTCTAATGTCTACCTCCCGCCAGAGGGTTCGTCCCTTGAACTGCATGATAGATGGGAAATATTAGAAGATCATTTAGTATCATGCCGAGTCAAATATGCCAATAGCCAATCCTTAATTGGTGGTGACTTCAACGCACGTATAGCAGCAAATTGGGCTGATTTAACTAAAGCTAAATGGTGGACTGCTCCATGCCTTGACAATTATGATTTGAGACATGCCTTAGGGAGAGCCTCAAAAGACTCCAAAGTAAACGAGGCTGGAGTACTTCTTTACCAGATGGCTATTCGCTTAAACTTAGAACCCCTGAATGGCTGCTGCCCTCCTGATATACCGGGGGAGTATACCCACCTAGGCATAAAATCAAACAGTGTGCTAGATTACCTTTTAGCCTCGAGTGACCTGATTTCGAAAGCTCTCTCTTTTAAGATTGACAATATTCACTATAGTGATCACCTTCCACTTGCTGCTACGTTTGACCTAGACTGGCACGGGGACGAGCACGGTCATCCAACTCAATTAGATACTAATGCAGAAAACCAGGTAGAGGGTATTAATACGGCATTACGAGTGAAGGGTATAAAGTGGTCTGTAACGCAGGCTCAAAAATATTCTGAATTTTTCAGCAGGAGATCATACAAACCTATTCAGCCCTTGGCATAACTTCATATGATCACGACCAAACTATTAATCTATTTGCCAATCTGTTGAATGACCTCACGTCATTCTTTTCTGTCCCAACCCACCAGGCAAATTGGGCCCACCCCAAGACAGGTGCACCGTGGTTTAACCGTAATTGCAAACAAGCCAAACAACATCTTTGTGCTATTTATAATGATTACAAATCCTCAGGGGCGATTACGCTTCCCAAGGAGTACTATCAGGCAAAATCAGCTTACAAATATGTGCAGAAAAAGGCCAAACAGGAATGGCAATTGAACCGCTGGCAAGCACTTATAGCTGCCTCAAGTACTCGTAATTCCCGAAAATTCTGGCTGTTGGTTAACAGAAAATCTAAAAGATACCCCTTAACAGTTATTCCTGCCCCAATTTGGGAATCCTTTCTAAGGAATTATTTTGCCTTACCAGACCTTAATATTAATACAATCGATGGAGTCTATGAGCAGCTCCCTCTTTGGCCACCCACTGACCCGGAAGAAATCCACGGACTTATTTCTAATCTTAAAATCGGAAAAGCCCCGGTCCTGATCTAGTCCCGGCAGAAGCTATAAAGCTTCATGCTGACTGGTGGGCGAAAATCTTGGCCGCTACCTTTGATGCCGTAAACAACAGTGGGAAGGTACCAAGAATATGGAAGGATGCGATTATTGTTCCAATTCATAAAAAGGCTCGACAGATGACCCGGGAAATTACAGGAATATCAGTTTATTGTCATTAATCGGGAAAATATATGCACGGTTCTTGTTAACTAAGCTTACTAAGTGGGCCGAAGAGAACAACCTGATTGGGCCTGAACAGGCTGGTTTTAGACCGAATCAGTCAGCGGTTGATCAGATCTCAGTTTTATACCACCTTGCCCGGAAATACTCCTCCCCAAATAGAGGCCAACTTTGTGCGGCCTTTATTGATTTAAAGGCCGCTTTTGACAGCATCCCCAGAGGATTGCTTTGGGGAAAACTAGCCCGATGGGGAATAGATAAAAGACTTTTGTGGCTAATAACTAAACTGCATGACGGATCGGCCGCTAGGGTGAGAATCTCTCCGGCAGGCGACCTCTCAAACTCAGTAACTATCAATAGAGGTGTTCGCCAAGGATGTATCCTTGCTCCGACCCTTTTCAATCTATTTATAAGTGATATGAGGGCGCCTCTGATAGAGGCTCAAGAAACGATCCACGCCCCCCGTCTTGCCCAATATCGTTGCCCCCTTCTACTCTACGCAGACGACGCAGTGATCCTATCCTTTTCAAGAGTCGGCCTTAGGAGGGCATTAAAAATTTTCGATGTTTACTGTAAATCAAATTTTCTTACAATTAACCATGTTAAGTCCAAAGTTCTAATTTTCACCAAGAGTAGAAAAACCTATAATTGGAGAATAGACGGAAAAGCTATTGACCAAGTCTTTAAATTTCAGTACTTGGGAGTCTTCCTCCAACACAACATGGGCTGGAAGGTCCATGTTGCATATGTATTAAACAGAGCTAAAGCCCTTTCCTATGCGCTATTGCGTTTTTCTTTTCAGATGGGGCTTTCCATATTCCATCAGTGTTAAAAGTTTTCAAGGCAAAGGTGATTGCAACAATAGCATATGCAGTCCCATTATGGGGGTCCTTTGCTAATCTAACCCAGTTGGAGGTAATCCAAAACCAGCTTTTAAGAAGGTTGTTAAAATTACCTAGGTGTGTAAGCAATACTGCTATACGACTGGAACTAAATGTTACATCTCTAGAAACCACATTATGGAAATGCATCCTCTGTTACTGGTTGGCTTTATGGCATAAACTTCCAAATCTCCACCTGATACAATGCCTCTGGAGAGATGACTTCCCTAGCCCCTGGGCAAAAATAATACATGGGAAACTTGTGTCCCTAGGACTATCTCCATCCGAACTATTAAAATTGGATTTAACTCGGCCAAAAGAATTATAACTCACAAATTAGAGGAGATGGATTTACAATTTAATATTGCGACAGGTGGAGGCACCTGTTCGCCGCTAAACCTTGGCTTAACTCCACCCCCGACACTTCCATCTTACTTAACTACCTTATCTGTGGTGACGCACAGGTATGCCTTTATAATGGCTAGATTCAATGTTTTCCCATCAAACGTGTTGGGTAACAGACTCTCCAACGGACAGATCTCACTCCTCTGTGACTGTAAAAGCGGATCTATAGAATCGTTATATCATATAATCTTCTGTTGTCCATTACATTCGGCTTCACGGTCCAAGTTTCTGGCCCCATATTTATCGAGAATTGCTGACAGTCCTCAGGAAGCCCAAATAATATACTTATTAAGCGACGAAGATACAAGTAGATCCCTTGCAATCGCTAGATACCTGATTAATGTTTTATTTCAAAAGAGGAGAAATGGATCACTGTATGTTTCTGACAGCTTAGCTAAACTTAAGAACCATCAATAAGTGCCAGAACTAAGACGTATACCCCCAAAATCTGATGGATCGGAATTGCGGTTTACATAGAGGAGCTTATTGTGTATAGTGTTTACTTAACTAAAGTAAAATTGGTTTTATAAGGGTGTTTTAACTTGGAACTGTTTAAATTGTATTGTTTATGGATAAATTCTGATGTATTGTTTTTTATATGGGCCAATGGCCGTAATAAATCTAAATCTGAAATCTAAAGGATCGGTTCCCTAATATATTTTTTTTGTATATTTCAAAATCTCCTTGTTAAGGATGAAATACTACTGTACTACTAAACCATCACACAAAGATAGGAACAAACTGCTCAGTAAGAGTCAGTGAGCTTTTAACATGTTCTAATTGCAATTTAGAGCTTTGCAGACAGTGTTTGTGAGCACAAACCTCTGACCATGAATGAATAGGATTTGGGGCAAACCAATTTGCTGGTTTTTATTACCAAGCTTGTAGTAATTGTTTGGCTTACTGCAGGTGTTTATTAAGAATGCATTTATATTGTTGTGGATTGCACTGAAATTTTTAATGAGGGGTGTTATAGAAATGTTATAAATCAATGGTTTTGAACCAGTATGCTGTGGCATCCTGGCGTGCCTTAAATGGTGGTCCGGGGTGCCATGGGCAACACAAGCCTCTGTCCCTCTTTCCTTCCCTCCTCTGAGGCCTTCTCATGTCTCTGACTCCCAAAGGCTGTTTGTTGCACCAGCCCTGGCTACAAGATCTGCAGGTGAATGGTGCCTCTGGGGCTGGCCAGGGGGTGCTGGTTGCCAGGAGCTGAGGTGGCCTCGGAATAAGCAAGCAAGCAAGCAAGCATGCAAGCAAGCGGGTGAGGGAGCCCAACCAGCCCATCCACCAGCCCTTACTCTTGGGAATGGAGACACAAGTCCCAGGCCCCTGTGGAGCAGTGTGAGGAGGCACCTCTCTTTGGGGCGGTGGGGGGGGGCAGCTCAGAGACCAGGGGTGGCAACAGCGGCTGCCCAGAGGACTCCCAAGGAGAGGGGAAAGGAGGCTGAGGGAACCCTCCACAAGGGAAAGTGTTCAAAAAAAGGGTGAGAGGCTGCCAGCTCTGCAGGTGAGGGGTGACATAACTGGGCTCCTGAGCCCCACAGGGGTGCCGCAGAAGGAATGTAGTTGGTCAAGGGAGCCGTGGACTCAAAAAGGTTGAAAGCCTCTGTTCTAAATGAATGAATGAATCAGAACCAGGATGTGCACTCCTTTGGGTACTTGGACAGAAATCTAGCTTTCTCACTCCAGGCACCTCCAGACTGTCACTGTTGTCGGGTTGGGTTCAGTCCCGCCACAGAAGATTCAGATTGCACAGTTATAGCTGCTTGTGAGATGTTGTGCAACAAACCTGCTTTTCCCCAAAGATCGGACTTTTGTGATAAGGAAAATGGCAGGAAGGTGCACTGGAAAGTGTAGGAAAATCCGTGCTTTTATGCAGCACCATCTGACCTCCCCACAAATAAATGATAAGGAATGCTTATTAAATGGCCAGCAGCCTAATCTCCATGCAGGATGAGTGCTAAATAAACAGATTGTCCAGAAGTGACCTCCCTGTCCTATGCTTCTTTGGAAGAAACTGGAAGGAGGCAAGAGCTCCAACCTTGCTTTGTCCTGTGCAGGACTTGTCTTTTTCTGTGTGGGGCAGAAGAAGGAGGCCTGAGTTTTGTTCCCTTCTGCTGAGGGGGTGGGGGAGCTAAAATATTTACACTTCACTTTGATATGTTTCAGGGCTTTCTGCTTCTTCTTATTGAAATTAATATGCCCTTAATATGCTCTGTGAAATCCTTCACACCATCACATGTTAGCATAACCTCTGCTTTAGGCAAAACAGTTGGGTTTTATTTGCCAGACCAAGCTTTACAACACAGAGGATCTCATTTACACAAGATCTCTGAAACGCCTTGTTTTACAAATTCAGTAATTTGCCTCCAAATCAGCGTTCTGTTCTTCCCTTTCTTTAAACTTCTGATCATCCAAATATTTTAGGAATGTTTTTGAAGAGTGGGGATTTTAAAAATTTGTTAAGGGTTGGTTGGTTTCTGACCTAAAGTAGAACTCCATTTTTTTCTCCACAAGGTCTCTCTGTCCAAGGAATAGCTGTGTGAATAGCTACATGTCAGTGTGTCACTCTTGTTTATCCAGGCATTTCGAGGGTCCTGCTACAAAGTTCATGTGGATGAACAAGCTAGACTAACTTTTCTATCATACAGGGTCTAGTTTCCTAGGAGAAAAGCATGTTTGATGGGGTACGATTAATATCAACCCCACCCATGAAATGCACAGATCCCAGATAAAACATTTACTGTATCTTAACTTCCCTTTGAACTGCTTGCTTGCAGGAGAACTTGAACTGTTAGATTCAAGTTTCATCCTGTAGATTCGATAGACCCAGGGTTCTCTCATTCAACTTATCAGATGTCAGTACTGAGGTGGCATTCAAGTGAAGTGCATGTTCTTTTGGCCTATAACATTGCACACTAGACTCTTAAGGAGGACTGAACCCATAGAGATGAGCAGGGGTAAGCTATTTTAAAAGCACTGGCTGTCCTAAGGAGGATACTTATAGCTCTAATGCCTGTGTTAGGGTGAATTCACTTTATGGTGAACATGACAGTAAAAGGACTGAGAGTCATAGTACATTTCTTTGTCCATTCACATGGATATAGTAATTAATGGAAAGAGAGATGTTGCATGACTTGCCTTCTGATGGAGGCGATCTTATCCAAATACAGAGAAATTCATATAGGTCCAGGCAATTAAGGAGAGATAAACAAAGACATATTAATATGTCTTTTTATTTGCTTAACAAGGAACTCCTTGGACTTGCAGACAAAGTGGATAGGAATGTGGATCCAATTTACTTCTTTGCCTTTTTTCTTTTTACTAACAGGATGAGGGTATCGGATTCAGCACGAAGGTATGGTTCATTTCACACAGAGAGGCAAGAGCTGGAAGAGCTGGGTGAGAAGGATGTGTCTGACTTAGAGTTCCTTTCAAGTGGCCTGGAAAGAGAGGAAAGTGCATTGGACGCCACGGATCAGGAAACAGCGGTGTGTGAAGAAGAGAGCAGAAAAATTTTGTGCTCCGGGTCCAACACCGCTGTGAAGAAGAGAAAGAAGAAAAGGAGGTTAGAAATAAGTACTGAAAGCACTTGGGGCATCTGGATGGGGACAAGGAAATGTAATTCTGAAAGTCATAAAAATATACGAGGCACTAACCAAGGAGGCATTGCAAACTTTTGTGGTAATAATGACAAAGGGGAGGGTGCAATATAAATGCAGTGGGAGAAAACAAGGTGTGCTAAGAGGAAATTAGTGAATGAAAGAGCATATATTAATATACCTCACACCAGGGACGAATCTTCTATGAAACTATTGAAATTTAAGTTTCAGGGTCTCTAAACCTGGAGGGGTCCCAGAACTTACTTTAGTCCACATTGCTTAAAAGAATTGGGTCTAGTAGACCCAAATGAGTCGCATACTCAAATTGATTAATTTTGTGTGTGTATATATTTCAGAGTTTGAAAGTCAATAGCACAGGTGTTGTAAAGGTTGCTGTAAACAGCCCCATTGAAAAAAATAACAGTGGTTACCCAGACCTTGTTGCTGGTTGCAAAGGGGGTCCCATAACAGTTCAAGCCCCCAAAATGTAGGTTCGCCACTGCCTCCTAATCAATCACGCCAGTCCATTCCGAATGCTCAGCATGCATATTGATATATCCTTAACTTAGTTTCTCATTTACGTATTTATCCTCTGAGGTAGACTAGGCTGAATAACAGGGACTTGTCTGGGGCCTTCCTGTGAGTGATGAGCTGAACGCAGGTGTATCATTCAAATTCAACTGGCTTTCCTCACTTTTTTATATACAAAACAAAAAACATTCTGCTCTCTATAGCAATCTGTTTGAGGTTTGGCTGTTGGCAATCTAGCTGCATGCCCGATTGGCCTTAGAGCAAGGCAGCTTCTCTGCCAAACGAACCGTACTGTTTGTGGTTCATCTGATACTTCAACCCAAGGCCCTGGGAGTCATGTACTCACTTACTCTGAGACTGCAGAGATCGGCGAGCAAGCACATTTGAAGTAAATCTTGATCACTGCATCGTTTTTAGTCTCCAGCTATGGTGCTATACCCTGGTGCAATCATGCAGGGCCAAGGGGGAAAGCTCTGCACCCCATCTGAGAGTAGGAAGCTTGTACACTTTACTAAACTTCCACCAGCATCTGTCATTGTCTGAAAAGATTTAGCTCATTTCTGGTTTTAATTCTAAAACAGCCCTGTAGTTAAGCGTTTTCCTGATAGCCGTAAGATATAAGGAATTGCATTTAGATGAGAAAGGGGGCTTGTGGGGGAATGATGGAGCACTCCATTGTTCCTCTGTGCCCAGTATTGAAATGTAGTGGGTTGCTACAGGAGAAATGGAGCTCAGCAGACTAATAATAATAATAATAAAGCTTTGCAGCTTATTTGCAAGACTTTTTAAAAAATTGTCAATATCATATTGTTATGGATATACCGACAGGCTTCTGAAGGAAAGGGTCACAGCTTTGTGCAGCCATTCCTGGGGTCATATGCAGGAGAAGGTGAAAATTTCTCTATAGCAGCAATTGTCTTGATCTGGCAGCATATTTCTTGCTGACATGACATTTGGTGACTTACTCAGACTGCTTAGAAGCTAATTATTTTGTATATTTTTTATTTATTAAACTCATTAGACTCGCAGCAACACACCCACAACCCTAGTGGCAGACCTCAGGGTCTCAAATTTCAGCAGCACCCTGTGCAATGCCAAACTTCAATACCCCCCCCACCGCCTCTCACCTTCCAGTCTACATCATAGTTATGGCGCCCCCTGTGGCGTTCCGTGAGTTCATAGGCAATGTGGTACTTGAACCATCTACACCTGGAGGTAAAGGCTTAAAAGAGGTCCCGGAAGGTACTCAGGTGCTTTGCAATAAGACCATGAATTGGTTTTGCCTGTCTGCCTCTGTCTTTCTTCTTCTTCTTCTGTTTTTCAGATGACCAGTGATAAATCTGACCAACTGCAAGTACGAGAGTGGTGAGTGCCCTTCTTTGTCCCCAGTTGTGAAATAATAGATTGGCTTTATTTCTCAGTCACCGTTCTAAACAGTGAGAAAAGCACCATTTGCACTAGGGAGCAACTTTTAAGTGTCTCTTGACTTAAACTGGAATTTTGTTAAGACCAGATCTTTTTACCAATATATATATATATAGAGAGAGAGAGAGAGAGAGGGTCACAACTGCATTTGAAAATATACTTTAGTAACAAACATATGTTAAAACACAGCCACATACATTGCATTTTTTAAAATTATCATTACTTCTAAAAAATATTGATATTTTTTCAAGGGCAGCCTAATGTTTGTCAAAAGAGCTTTTCTTTGGCATATGAAGTGGAATAAGGTAAAGGTAAAGGGACCCCTGACCATTAGATCCAGTCGTGACCAATTCTGGGGTTACGGCACTCATCTCGCTTTATTGGCCGAGGGAGCCGGCGTACAGCTTCCGGGTCATGTGGCCAGCATGACTAAGCTGCTTCTGGCGAACCAGAGCAGTGCATGGAAACGCCGTTTACCTTCCCGCTGGAGCAGTACCTATTTATCTACTTGCACTTTGATGTGCTTTTGAACTGCTAGGTTGGCAGGAGCAGGGAGCTCACCCCGTTGCGGGGATTCGAACCGCCGACCTTCTGATCGGCAAGTCCTAGGCTCTGTGGTTTAACCCACAGAGCCACCCACATCCTTTATGAAGTGGAATATATATTATCTAAATAAATGAAGGCTAGGGTAGGAATTTGCAGGGGGAAATGTTATGATACAGAATAAATATTACGTATCTACCAACTGTATCTTGTCATCTCCCAGCCTCAAGCAAATTATCTTCTCTTACATTCATTCCATGGAATTAAAATATGTACAACTTAGCGGCAGCATTTTAGATTTAGATGTGTATTTGATGTGACCCTCTGAGTTGAACAAGCCTCCCCACCCGATGTTTCCTCTTGCAGATGTATCTATTAAATGCTGATGACACCATTCTCTCTTCTATGATGCAGTGCGACGGGCTGCTATGATGTGTGGCCTCCGGGAGGCAACTGAAGTTGATGATTGGACTCTGTATTGGACAGATTTTTCTGTCTCACTGGAACGGGTGCTAGAAATGAAAACTTACCAGGTACTTGGTGTTCCTTCTGAAGTGGTGGAGCTAAAACGTCCACCTTCATTTTTTCATTCATGAGAAAGATCCGAAGGCCTAGACAACAATCAAGCTTTTGTCTTGGACTCCTTTTCTAGAAAATAAACCATTTCCCTGGGATGTTGGAAATCTGTAGGAAGGATCTTCTGGCCAGGAACATGGGCAGGATGCTAAAGCTTTTTCCGAAGGAATTTAACTTCTTTCCCAGGACCTGGTGTCTTCCTGCTGAGTGAGTCTTTCCTAAATCATTTTCCATCTTGGCTTGCTTCCCCTCATCATCACAGAGATTGAGGAATCCGGGTGGACACAGAGTGGAGAAGCAAAGTCTGAAGGGGGGGGCGGAACTTTTGCACAAATGGTTTTTAAAAACCGTTTTATCAGGTCATGTCTGGTAAAATGCCACCACCACACTAAGAGCACATTTCCGCTTGTGCCATGCCTAGAAAGTGGTTTTCCCCTTACCTCACTCCATTCCAAGGGAAACCCCGCTCTTTAGCTATTGATCGGAAGAAATGGAAATCTGAAGAAAACCTAAATTGCCATTTGCTCTGACTGAGCACCAAAGAGCCGATTCCCCTGGGTGGTGGGGAAGCAGTGGAACAAGAGGAAGTGCAGATAAGCCCTATGCAGCGTATCATAAATGATTATGTCTTGTGGAAAAGCTCTTCTGGACACTTTCCTGAGTGGGCTGTGTGTCTTGTCCATGGGCCACTATCTCCCTGCCCACCAGATCAACTGGTGAGAAAAATGGCACAACTTCTCTGTAATTTGTAGGGGTGGAATGTACCAAATGAATGCATCTGAGCGTTCCTCAAACCTCCATACAGACACTCTCGTAGGGTTAAAACCTTTTCCTACAGGCAGGGCTTTTTTCAGCTGGAACTCAGTTCTGGCACCTCTCAGGTGGGCACCATTGGCATTATAAGAGAGCGAGGGAGGCGTTCATAGTGAACTCCAGCACCGCTTTTCCTAGAAAAATAGCACTGCTTATAAGGAGAGGTGCCGCAGCCCCTAGCCATTTTGATTGGTCTTTTCTGCATCTTTTTTCATCTCTACATTATCGATTTTCAGATGCAGGCATCATTATCTATGTGGACTTAGGCCTGGGAACAAATACAATTCAAGGGTTGTAATGAAAGAATGAGGCAGCAGGAGAGGGCAAATGCCCTTCAAAAAGAGGGATACCAAAAGATGGGACTTAAACCCCTTATTTTAACTGCTGCCCAATGTTACCAACATTTTTTTCAGTCCTTGTCAACTCAGGATCTGGAGAGAAAGCCTAGTTGCCAGACTCAGTTCTGAAAAATGCAGCATCCTTTCAGTGCCATATTTAGCAGGGTTATATTATTATAACAACAACAACAACAGTTACTACTACTACTTCTAAAGCATGGTGCTGATAATAACAAGGTTGCAGGTTCGATCCCCGAAAGGGACAGCTGCATATTCCCGCATTGCAGAGAGTTGGACCAGATGATCCTCAGGGTCCTTCCCAACTCTGCAGTTCTATAATCCCTACTACTACTCATAGCTGTCAACCTTCCCTTTTTTGTGGGGAATTCCCTTATTCCAGTGCCATTTCCTGCTGCTTCCCCTGCTATCCCGGATTATTAGATATCCCGTAGACTGTCCCCGGGACAGGTGAGGCTGCTGATCCCTTATTTTCAAATCTGAAAGTTGACAGCTATGCTACTACTGCTTATATTCATAGAGGTACCTACTGAGTAGATCCATAAAAAAGCAATAGTACCAAAATGAATCATTGTGAAACTAATAAAGATGGGCGGGGGAGTAAACTTAATCCTCGCCCAGGGGGCCATATTACCAAAGTCCACCCCGATCCTTTAATGCAGCCTTGCAAAAACAATTAAAACAAGTGCCTAGTCCACAGCAATTTGTTCACGACTCTCTTCTTCTTCCCCACATCAATATCTATATTGCAAAAGTAAAAGAGGTCCAAATTTTGTCAAAGGTTTCTTTTTCACTGGACGAGTATCTCTTGCTATAGATGAGCAGGTGAATGATTATTTGAGTCTCCTCTAATGGGTCAAGATCCTTGGTTTGACCTGCTGAAAGGATGCTCTTTAGCTTTAGCCTGCATGATTATCTCTGAACTGACAGTGTATGTGAGAAGTGTGAACTTTCCCATAGCTCAGTCATTAAATGTGGTTGCTGCAAGATATTGCTGGAGCTATTGACTCCATCTTGTTTTCCCTTTAACTATCTGGTCATCACTGGGGTTGGCGAGGAATGGAAGGATGAGGGGCCTGAAGGGAAGTGGTAGTGTGAAAGGCAGCAAAAGTTTCTTCTGGATGTCTTGGGAGAGAAAACAAACAACCTTAGTTCTGGGGTGGTTTGTGATGGTATCAGGCCTATTTCCCATTACTATCACTACTTTAGCTTGAACTATTATTATGCCACTGTCTGGTACTACATCAAACGAGAATGTATATTTTGCTTTCCTCCTCACTGCTCTCAGCTATGGAGAACTGCAAGCATTTGGCAGGTCAAAAAAACACAAAACCTACATCTGTAAGCCAGACTCTGGTTGTCAAGGCAGAGGCATTTTTATCACAAGATCTGTGAAAGATATCAAACCTGGAGAGGATATGATCTGCCAGCTCTATATCTCAAAGGTAACCCCTTTTATTAGTCTTCGAAATGGGCTGCCTGTGTTGCTTGTGTGTCCCTTTAGATCAGGCACAATTCTCATCATCCCTGACCATTCAGCATGCTGGCTGATGGGAGTGATGGCAGTCCAGCAACATCGGAAGGAAACAGGTTCCTCATCCCTGCTCTAGTCATTGGTTGCTGCAATACTGAAGATGTTTGTAGTGTACAATTTCAGGGAAGTGCCAATCCATCGAAAATAATGTTGATCAGTGAACCAACTCTGAGAGAAGGAGTTGTTTTGAAAGGGTCCTAACATCCAGCACCTAGAGAGAGCAGCTGCATGCTATCAGGGTGAAAGACGCTAAGAGGGGGACTGAGACTGGGGGGAGATTTGGCAATGGGAGTGCTCAAGGGGGGGGGGCTGAAGAAAGGGGAATACATAGGCAACACACTTAAAAGCAGGAGTCTTGGCGAAAGTGGGATAAGGCAAAGAGACTGTGATGGGATGACTTTTTATTCTAGAATCCATGGAATACTTGATTTTTCTATATAGTCCCCACACTATCCAGATCTATTGCATATTTTCGCCCCTGAAAAGTGCTTATTGTAGATTGGTTCTGCATTACCCAGAAGTGTGTCTAATTGAAAATGGATGTAAGTGGTCCCAGCAATGGTGGGTGCATCCACACCTGCCCAATGATGTTGTGGGTGCATATATAGCAAGATCGCAATCGCTACCTCCTTTTTCATTCAGCCAGGGCATGATTCCTTTTCTCTAGAGCTCCCGATAGCAGGATTAGGTCTAATGGCCTGAAGTTGCAGGGGGCATGATCATTGGGGTTAACCATTGGGGGTTAGTTTTGGTTTGGGGAGAAAAGAGGTAAATAAAAAGAGAATTTTATGGATGGCAAGATCCAGATTTGGGACAAGTACTCTTTGGTGAGAGAACCCCAGCAGAGGTTTAAAATATACAGCAAAGTGTGGAAATACAGGATGTTAGCCCAGGCTTCCTCAACCTCGGCCCTCCAGATGCTTTGAGACTACAATTCCCATCATCCCTGACCACTGGTCCTGCTAGCTAGGGATCATGGGAGTTGTAGACCAAAAACATCTGGAGGGCTGAGGTTGAGGAAGCCTGTGTTAGACCTTTAAAACAGTCAGAGCAGTTTAATAATGGAGCCAGTTACCAGGGGGTAATTCGTCTCTTCAAGCAGAGGCTGGACAACCATCAGCTGAGGTTATTGTAGGTTTTCTTCATCAAGAAGTAGGGGGTTGGACTAGATTGCCTACAAGGCCCCCTCCAACTCTGCTTATTAGCACAAACATTTCCTAATGGTTCCCAGAAAAAGGTCAGATGTGAACCTCCAGAGAAGGGAGTTCTAGAGTTCGACTAAAGCTGTGCCTCTATTTGTAACATTCTGGTGTGAACATGGAACAAGGGTGGGGTTGAATCAGTCAATGCACACAGTTGGAATCTCTGTGAAAGAGAGAAACTCAAGCCATTTTGGCATCCACGGGTTAAATGCAACATGTGAATTAGTACCCAGAAGGCTTTAGGAAGCCAGTGAACCTACCCACCCCCCAGCCCAATACACTAGTATAATAGTGGCTTTTGTGTGGTTTTCTAGGCAATGTTGCATTCTCCAGATTTATCAAACTACTCCTGCCCCTTTAGATATCTGATTTAAGAATTTTATCTCTCTCCCTTCCCCCACCCTGCCACAGCCTTTCATCATTGATGGCTTCAAATTTGACCTTCGGATTTATGTGCTGGTAACATCATGTGAACCGCTACGGGTTTTTCTTTATAAAGAGGGCCTTGCGCGCTTTGCGACGTCTGCCTACTCAGACCCATCACACAGCAACTTGGTAAGCAAGGGAGGCTCCTGCTGACGTGACCAAGCGCACTTGTAAGAAATATTGACGGCTTTTGGTTCAAACCACATAATTCATCAGGTGCTTCCTCTGTATTTTCCAAGAATTAATACCCAAGCCTTGTGGTATCCAAAGGAATGCAGCAATGTCGTAAACAACAGCCATAAATCATTGAGGGGTGTGCATTCATAAGGAAGCATCTCACGCAGCTGGTCTGGTGAAATCAAAAGTGTGGGAAATGCCGGTACCTGCAAGCAGAAGAGTTCTTTGTAGCATTCCTCCAGCTGGAATGATGGAGCTGCTTTGCAGATCCCACTGTTTCTTTCTTTGTCCTGTGAAATAAGCATCACTATGAGGAAATGCATGGGGCCAGGCAGTACTAAGGGATGCATTTAGTGAAGCTCAGAACTCCTGCACCGATTTAAGTTGGGTTTTTAACATATTTTGTACCTACTATCCCTTTGAAGCCTGCACAGCAACCTTTGTCTACAGAGCTAACCCCGAAGTTATTTGTTAATGTTGGTTTAGAAGCGGCCTTTAAAAAAAAACCCAAAACAGCAACTAAACAGCTTGTGGGGGCGAGGGGGAAGGAGCAATTTGGAATAGAGAAGTAATTGAAGGAAGATGTTGCTTAAGCCTTTTAAAGCCCACTACTGCTGGCCACATGACCCGGAAGCTGTACGCCGGCTCCCTCGACCAATAAAGCAAGATGAGCGCCGCAACCCCAGAGTCGGCCATGACTGGACCTAATAGTCAGGGGTCCCTTTACCTTTTTACTACTCCACTCTAAATCATCCCTCCAGCCTTCAGAGTTCCAAAAATGCATGTTTGCCTGTGTTCTGTTACATAGGTTTGCGTGGAAGAGATAGTCATGCCCTAAAGGCAATAAGGAAGTCTGAGGCCACAGCCAATTCTCAGGCAGAGCCTGGTTGTCTGTGGTTTGATTAAAATAGTCTGTTCTCTTTATTGTCCGAATAGAACAACAGCCACCTTACTGAGACGCAGGAGGGGGTAATAATTTTGTCATTTGCCTTGGTTTCATTCTGAACTGTGTTTTATGAAGAACGTCTGTGTGCATATTGTTATCTATTTCATTTTTATGATTCTGTGAACGTGACATCACTTTCCTTATGTGATCTATTCTGATTGACGAGTTTGGAGTCCAGAAATACTGAAAATACCCCACCACCACCACCACCACCACCATGTAAGAGGTATGCGCTCAAAATTCCAATTGGAATTAAGGAAAGTGATGTCAGCTTCGTAGGTCCAAAAGGGATGTAAAGGCCATTCAATATACTGTACACAGCCTGGTAAAGGTAAAGGTGCTTCCTCTCTGCCCCCCCCCCACATCCTGAAGAAACAGCATAAGGGAAGCAGAAATCTCTCTAGCCTCATAACCTGCTTGTTTGTTTAATTATTTACAGGACGACGTCTGTATGCACCTGACTAATTATTCAATTAACAAGCACAGCGCTAATTTTGTACGAGACGCAGACTCTGGTAGCAAGAGGTACAGAATGTTTTCTAAAATAATCACAGCTGGGGGGCCTGCTCTCATGAATCTTTATGGCCATTTCATACGTGTTTAGGAAACATTTCTCCAAATTCAGCTGCAACGTGGCGCATTCTCCATCATTAGGTGAAATAAATCATTTAAAAAGCTCAGATGAGTAACAGCAGGGTGCCTGGAGCAGGCGAGAGGAGCCTGGATTTATCCCCCCCTAAAGGAAATACAAATGAATTTGTTGCAAATGGAATTGCTGGATTGCCGCCCTCTGTTTTATTGTTTTCGGTGGGTGTAATTAGCCTCCCCTCTAAATCTTGCGCAGAACGGTCAGTTCGATCTAATTATTGTTGCCTCGATATTTCCCCCTCTAGAATTTCTTGGCTTTTCTGTTGATCACTAGCGCTGTGTTAGTCTGCTGGCTGAGGCTCTTCTGCAGTGCTCTGCCCACTGCGGCAAAGGCTTGATATGCTTTTGGTATTTTTCCTGAGTATTATTGTGCTTTCCCGGTAAGCGGCTGAAATATCAGCAGTGCAGCCTGACTTCTGCAGTGTTACGCTGTGCTGCTGTCCAAAAAACGGGGTCTGCAATGTGGCAGATCAAGAGACAAGTGGGAGGAGTTACTAGAACAGATGTCCCTATAACTCCAGTGCCAAGGGATCACTGTCAGTGCCCTGATTTGTTTTTCCATCATATCTGCTCACACTCTGTCCTTCTAGTTTTCAAATGTTTGGCTAGCGGCTCCTAGCCTGGCAGAAAGATAGCTTTGAAACTCAACTTTTCAAAGCTTTTAGGAAACTCGTGTCCAAGTCGGGGAAAGCATTTACAGTAATCTATTTCTGAGGTAGGCGTAAGAGTTCCATGGTGCTTTAAGATGTGGTCTTAGAAACAGGAGTTCATTCCCAATGGCTCTCACCACTCCCCTGTGCCATGGTTAGTGAAAGATGGGAAGTGGTTCTATGGCCTAGATGACCCTATGTTGGTCCCAATTTCCCCTGTGGATTAAGCATCCTCCAGAGTGTCCCCTGTAGCTCTATCCAGCCTATCTTCAGGCTTTGGGCCTGGCTTTTATTTATCTCTCTGTTGGTCTGACTAACAACATGAAATGTTTTCCTTAGGTAATCCAACATTGCAGGGGGTTGGACTAAATGACCCCTGAAGTCCCTTCCAACTCTACAATTATGTTATTCTATGAGCAATGTATATGAGTTCTCGGTACCCTTTGGGAGAGCCCCTCTCCCAGTATAATCACCCAGTCTTCAGTCTGGATGGGTCAAAACTGTCAGAAGGATGGGCTTTCTCGCCTTTCCCTTTGTTTTAGAAGTATTAACTGGTAGCTATCCAGATTAATTAATGTGAAGGGGAAAGTTGTGCAAATGGTCTTAGCTTACGGCTGCAGCAGCCCAACTTGCAGCGGATGAAAAACAGAATGCAAGTCCTTCAGGTATGTTCTCTCTCTCTCTGCCCCCCTCCCCAATTTTTTCAAGGAAGTTGTCCACCTTTAATGAGCACATGGAGCAGAATGGCTATGAAACGGAACAGATATGGAAGGACATTGAAGATGTTGTCATTAAAACACTGATATCAGCCCATCCTATCATCAAGCATAACTATCTCACTTGCTTCCCCAACCACACCATGTGGAGTGCCTGCTTTGAGATCCTGGGATTTGACATTTTGCTGGATCGAAAACTCAAACCATGGTTGCTTGAGGTATGTCCCAACAAAGCAAATGGCCTTGAGCTTAGATTCAGAAACGTCTGAGCTCTCTTTCTCTCTCTCTCCTACTTTGGGGGGTTAAAGAAGCTGCTATTATTCCCAAAATGCATTGGTAAAACCCACTTTGATCTTTCCCCCATCTTCCCTCAGTTGCTCGTGTGCCCCGTGGCAATTCTTCCAAGCATCAGGATGCCCAGCAGAGGGCGTTCGGCTACAGGAAATGTATTTGGAGTTGTTTTTAAAAAAATCACACTTGCCCTTGCACGTTGGCGTTCCCAACTGGGAAGACAGTCAGTTGGTTTCATAAACAAATCCTCTAAGAGGATCCAAAACAAATTGGATCTGCCAAATTGGGTCATAGCAAAAGGTTATCCAGCTAATTTTTCTGTCTTCTGGCATCAGCCAGCCAACTTCCACAGAGAAGTTCACCAGAAAAAGGCAAGCAGGTTGTACTTTTCGCTGTCACATATCTAATAGTCACTAATGGATTTAGGCTTTATACTAAACTCAAGCTGCTTAAGCTAGATGTCCCGTGATGGTCAGTTTCATAGTCTAGTAGTTACACATTGCACTCCATAGTATTACCCTATCTTTATCTTAAGCCAGTTGTCTGTCTATTGTAGCACAAGCCTCTGTTGTACATTTTTTTTGTCTTCTTGTTTATTTAGATTTCTAAACATCCCATTTTAAGGACTCATGGTCTTGTTAATTTTAGAAAGAAAGCCAACAAAGCAAGGCATCCATTAAAATATATCATCGTAAACCAAATTTATTAATGACCTTAATGTATTTAAATGTACATTGGTCTACATAAAAGAAAAATGAAAAATACTTCCATTAGAAATAAAAATTCAAATGTAACCATAAAATCATCTGTACAGTTATATGTTCCAATTATGTCTATACGATTATACACGCTCCAATATTTAAAGAAAAAGGAGTTGCAAAACACCTCCTGCTCTTCTAACTGTGATTACAAATTTCTTATTTCTGAGAAGAATCTTCTGATTTGTTATCATTGAGCAGCAGTTGTTCAGTACAGTGTATCATTCAATATACAGTACTTCTCCTTTTTCTTTAGATGACTAAAAGTTTGTTTCGGTTACCTTTGGAAACGACCACATCTCCTCTCAGTAAATTAAGAAGAAATCCATAACCAGCATTTATGGTTTCCAGTGTGATTAAATTTACATGGCATGCTAAGCCATCAAGCATTCAGAAATGACAACTTGTTATACAATTTATTTTCTGTATAAGCCTAATGTTGTAACAGTCTGCCTCTGTGTCCCGGTTTTTCACCTTGGCGTGTTGGAGGGTATGCCCCTGATGAGTATTTTATCCGAATACAGTTCTAGGCCCCAGTCTTCTGTACTGAACTGTCTCACTCCTCCCTAGCTTTGCCCTTCAAAATCTACTTATTCCCAACCTTAAAAAGCCAGAAACCAAATAAGAAGATTCTGCAGCCTTTCCTAAGCAACTAGGAGGGGAAATGGGGGTGAAAATGTGGCAAGCAAGCAAATTCAAAGTTGTAGAGAGATGCTGAAACAAGAATTCTGATAAATCTCTAGGAGTGCCATAATTAAGGAGCAGTCACCAAGGGTCTCTCTCAAGGTAGCTAATTGCATGTGATTAATAATTAGATAACTCAGATGTGCCCCTAAGGCTATTGCAGTACACAGTCTTCAATGCTGAAAGTTTTAAATGTTGGTTTCAGCTTACTTCCCCAGTAAATAGGTCTTTGATCTTCCAACGTTATTTTTTCTCCCAGTAATTTTTGTGTTATATATTTCAAATTGTAGCAAATTCAAATATAGGTTTAATTCCCATCCAGGTGAATCACTCTCCAAGCTTCAGTACTGATTCATGGCTGGACAAAGAAGTAAAAGATCAGCTCCTGTATGATACTCTGGTTCTTATCAATTTGGGTGCATGCGATAAACGGAAAGTACTGGAGGAAGAGAAACGGCGAGGAAAGCAGAGGCGCCTTAAGCAGTGCCCCAACCGGGAATCCAGGTGGGACCTTTTCAGTGCTTCTTCTGCTTCTTGGGATTACGCAGATAGGAATTTGTAAATCATCTGCAAAACGCGTTTAAATGCAATGGATTTTAATCTTTTGGCTCTTCCATGAGCTGTATGAAAAACAAACAAATAAGCATATATTTAATATAACTTTCAGTCCATTTAGTAGTCCTCTTTAAATCAGGATTACTCAGATGTATTAAAATAGAAATTTACAGAGCAAAATTAGCAAAGTGTTGATGAAGCCAGCACATTATCCAGCAACTTAGGCTGCAACTAAAATATATGCATTGCTGCAGCTGAAAATGGAGCCGTGTGCCTAGTTTCACCCGCCGCTCCTAATGTCTGATACAACTTATCCATATCCTGGTGATGTCACAACATTGTGCATTTCTCTGCTTGTTGGCTGTTGATTTTAGATGCATCTGTATTTTAGCATCTAGTTTTTGCCTGTATAACAACGTAGCTAACCTGTAAGCAAGCACACGGCACCTCACTCAAAACAACTAAGAACATTTCTCAAAGGGGAACACATAAAAATGAATCCATATATCTATTGGGGAGAGTCTACAGCTCACAGGCTTTGGCTGTGATAGGGCCAGGTTTCGTGCATATATGCCGTCTCATCACAGAAAAGCAAGACCCAAATTTTGTAGTATTATTTTATTCACTCCTAAAATAAAGCTAAATTTGTGCAATTGTGCCACATCATTCCTGCCATCCTGATAAATTGGATGGAATATGCTGGGAAAGTGTGTGTGTGTGTGTGTGTGTGTGTGTGTGTGTGTGTGTAGGTTTGAGATGAGGTGGTAAAATATGGAGGTTTTGCTTCTGATAAAAGAAATTGCATATTAGCGTACAGCAGAAAGTGTTTAGTGCTGGAAAATCAACCAACAGTCCAGAGTGTGTTAGATAACAGTGTGAATATTTGTGCTGTAGGGCTCATTTACACTTGGGGCATAACTTCAGGGCTAGATCATCCTTATTGTCTCTGCTATGCAAATTTTCTAAGAAATATTAGAAGAGCCTCACAGCCTTCAGCAAGAGGAAACTCGCTATTTCTGTAAGCATTATGTGCCCAAAACAGAACTAGTTGGTGCAGAAAAGTGTAACTTGTGAATCCTCATACTGCGACGTAAATTTTAAAAGAACAGAACTTTATTTATTTTTGAAGTGTGCCTCTTCTTTCAGCCATCATTCAAACTGAGTTTCCTCTGCAGTCTGTGTATAAGTAGTTCAAGAAAGAGTAAGCATGGATTACATACACAGAAAGTGTAAGTGAGCCCAGCGGTGGCTCCCACTCTTACAGTTTTCTAAATGCCATTAGTGTGCTTAGGTCCCCTCTCATATATGGATAGGGCTTGGAGCGTACAAAAATAGAGCTGGATTGCAAGATCCCGCCAGGGTTTGGGGCAGCCTCCTATTTCTTTTCTACCCTCCTTATCTTTTCTTGCGAAGAAAATAAGGAGCGATAAAACTGAGTTCTTATGTTGCAGAAAGACTGCAAGGATGGGCCTTTCTTCCTTCCCAGTCTGGAGAATGCAACATTGCCTAGAAAACAACACAAAAGCCATTATTATACTAGTGTATTGGGCTGGGAAGGGAGACAGAAGGGGGCCTGCCAAAAAAGCGCACACACCGGTTTCCTTCAGAGCTCTTTGCACCTAGTTAATTAGCATTTTTTTTAATAAAAAAAGGGATATGATACAATTGTGAATGGTGTATATCTCTGCACTTTGTTTAAAAGCTGTATAAACAAGCTTTGTCCTAGTGGGTTGAGTTAAACAGATATAATTTAAAAGCTGAAATGGCAACATGAACACTAAATGGAGAGGTCTCCCACTGTGGACGTTTTGTCTGTTAACCGTTTTTCTTGGGTGATTTTATCAGGGCTGAGGAATACAAGAACTCCCAGGCTGCTTGGCTCCAGCAAGCGGAGATGTATGAGGAAAAAAATATAGGAGGCTATCGCCGAATTTACCCCAGTTCAGATTCAGACAAATACGACAAGTTTTTCCAACACAATAATTCAATCTACCAGGAAACAGTAGCTTCCAGAGCACGTGAAGAGTTTGCCAGGTAAGAAATGTCATTTTTCTCTGTTTTGTGTTAAATAAAAGGGAGGTGTAGGACTTGAGGTTGCTGGGGGTTTTTTGGGGGGGGGGAGAGACTGCTAGGATCAGTTTTTTGTCTTATCCATGGGCCATTAGTATAGAGCTAAGTAACCATTAAATCTTTCCATTTCTTCATTTCAAGGTAGCCTTCTTTCTGTTTACTTTTTAAGCCAGGGCTTAAAACTTTGGAAAACTTTGCTGCTATCTTTTCTTCTTTTTTTACTAAATGTATAGGCTGATCAACTATTTGAAGAGTACAGCAGATGTTCTTGTCTCACAGCACAACCTGCTAAATTGTCATCCAGCCCTGAACTTAGTAGTTCTAGTCTCTCCCCCCCCCCCCAATTTTCTTCATGGTAATCCCTAATGTGTTGTTGTTTTTCCTGACAAAGGCTTTTGTGTCTTGTGTTTTTATGTTTATGTAACTTCCAGGTTGAAGTGCCATCCACACACATTCAGATGGTCTTGTTGCAAATTACGCAACAGACATCTGTACTCACATTGATCAAGTGCCATTGTCTCATCAGAAACTAGGAGGTTCTACAATGCCAATAAAGTCCACCACTTATCTAATGGACTAAATATTAGATAATAGATAATACCCATAAAATATGCACCAAGACAATCTTCCCCAGGCAGGTAGGAGAAGGGAAGGCAAAGCCTTCAACAGGCCTTGGCTCTATCATATCCAAGGCTCCCTCTGAGGAGCTTTTTATATTCCTATCATGTGCCTATCTAGCAAAACATGAATTATTGGTTTAACTCCACTTTAAATATCCCATTCTTGCTGCAACACCAAGTGATCCCCAGGAGTACTGATATTGTGGTGGATCAGGCCTCCCCAGATTCACTTGGCAGGGTAAGTGCTCCCAGTGTTTTGCTCATTAAAACCCTAGAAATCCTCTTTTTCCTCCCCACAACTCTGGAGAGGGAAGGAAGAGCACTCATATCAAGCTGAGCTCGGGAGCAGGCACAACCCATGCAAGCAACCAATAGTATAATAAGCCATATCTTGGGGTAATGAATTCCAGGAGCGAACTGGGTGCTGTGTGAAAGTGAGCTTTCAGTGCTTTACTTAGTGCCAGTTAGCTTCATTGAGTCATCCTGAAACCCTCTATTTTCAATGCTTCTCTGAGAGCCATAAATTTGAAAACGGGTGTGTTAGAGGATGCCAAACTACATATGCCCAAACACTGCTTGGTCTTGACCAAAATAACTCCAGAACCCTCTTGCTAATTTGGTTGTGCAGTTTAGCCTGTTTTTAAAAGTTGTTCTGTTAATGGTGTTTTATAGAAGGTGCTTGTTTTACTGATGATTATTTTATATTACTTATGTTGCAGTTGTGATGTTCGACTATGTTATTATTTATTGCATGTTAGCCGCTTTGTGACTCATGCGGGTGAAAAGAAGCATGGAAATATAATAAAAGAGATGAAATAAACTATACCCTTCAGACGCTGACATTCTGTGTCCTTGAAGTCCCCACCACCAGATTGTGTGGCCCTGGTTGTGAAAGGAAGCATACTTTGCTTCAGGGTAGCCAACTTAGTACCCTCAACATGTTGCTTGACTCCAGCTCCCAAAGGAAAGGAGTTTCACTGCTCTTAAAAAAAGGCAATTGAAAAAGGATAGAGTTAAGGTCAATTATTCAATTATAGACTGTATAGACATTAGGGCTGAGCGATACCTGGTTTTCAACATTGCTAAACATTGTGATGTATCGCTATATCACGATGTCTGAAATAAGGATGGAAATATGTAGAGGTGAGCAGTAGGGCTGGGCAATATCTGGTTTTCAACATCACGATATATCACCATACAAACATTGTGATATAGCGATATATCACAATGCCTGAAATAAGGATGGAACTATATTGAGGCATTGACTAGCTTCACAGTTTTTCCCACATTGTGATTTTTGCATAGCACACACACTCATTGTGATTTGCGATATATTGTCAGGTCAAAAATTATGAAACTGATATCTTGATATGGACTTGAAACTGGTTTTGGACAATGTATTGATATACTGCCTAGCCATAGACATACATTTTTGGTATTCCTTATGATAAAATGCACAGTATAATGAATACAGATAGAAGGAAAGCCCTTATTTTCTCACTTATAGGCCACCGCCAATTAAAAATGAGTGCTCCATAAGGCATAATGGCCAGATGTGTTTCAATGTTCTATTATCTTTAGTGCCCAATGATAAATATTGTACAAATCATGATGGTCAGAACCTTGGACGAGCAAAACATTCCTTTGGAAACCAAAATACAGTGCAGTCTTACCACTCACCCTTATGCTTCTTATAAAAAATAAAATTCGAATGCGCAAACATTTTCAAAGATCAAAGAGTTCCGGTGTAGACATTTCCCAAAGATCAGTACACAGCCACGGGGTGACTTGACTGCATGCACCTACCATTTTTATCTTTTGCAATCCGCCTGGAAGTGTTGTAGCATTCTCAGTCCAACTCCCATCCTCCTCAGCCAGCATCGCAAATGGTTACGGATCATGGCAGTTGCAGTCCAGCAACACTTGGCGGTCATCACTTTAGCTGGCCCTGCTCTGCTCTTCTTTATTATTGCATCACATTCTGTCCCTATAGTTAGACCTTGGACATTTCCTTTTTTACCTACCTTCCCATGCTTGTGGCTGGGACTGCTAAATTGGCCCATATTGTCTGGCCACTTACACTCTCATTGCCTCCACTTCTCTTGATTAATTTGGGGAAAGACATGCCCCATGTCTTGCTATGCCGCCCTCATACAATAGGCAACCATTTGGGCTTGGCTTAAGAGGCAAGGCCACTCTGCCTGGCCTTGATCCCATGCACTTTCGGGGGGGATTTTTTTGGGAGGCTTTAAGGGTTTGCAAACCCGGTGTAGCAATCTCGACGGTAAGCAGCACCTGGTAGGCAGCCTTCTCCCTGTCTTGAGTCTGTTATGAACGCTTCTCTGCAATGTCGTCAACAGGCAGCAGCTCCAAGGGCTGCGTCTCAAGAAAGAACAGAAAGCAGCTCTGCTGAGAGAGAAAAAGGCCGAGCTGCAGGGAGAGTCGGGTGGAGAAAAGATAAAGCTTCCCAGGCAAAAGATGGTGAACAGATCAAGTGTGGTGCCAGTCTCTGCCCAGGTAGGACTAACACAGAAACGTATTGGCTAATGAATTATTCCACACACATGAACACACACCCACACACTACTATCTCTGGAAAAGTAAATTGAAAGGCCTTCTCAATTCTCTGCTTCTGTAAACTAATTTTAATGACTCCCCGCCACCAAATGCCATATTCAGACTAACTTGGATTAATCAGCATCCTGCAGGAAATTCATCTTAAGCCAGATGGAACTCCATGGAACTTAAGATTTGCCCTTATATAGTTCAAATGGCCCAGATGATAACCAACTTGCTTGCCATGTTGGTGGTTTGGGGTAGCTCTCTCATTGTCACTTTTTCGACATCTGCAGAATCTACCCTTTCCTCTCTCTACCTGCTGCTAAAGACCCTTCCCAGAGCTCTAGTCTCCTGTTGTAGCTTCTTCCTTGCAGGCCTCCCCTTCCATTGCAACTTTTCTGTCTGGCCAACTGGAAATTCCCTGCTAAATTTGACTTTCTATCCCTCTTCCGCTATTGTCATATTGTGTGCTGAGTGTATCTTATTGCTGTGCTTCCAGTTTGTTTTATTTACTTACTATATCGCCATTCCACTTCTCCTACAAGGGGTTCCAGATGATGTTTCTAAAATTCACAGGATGGTGTGCATGGAGATATATTATTTTATTCTCTCAGCTTTGTGAGGTAGTTCAGGCTAGGGACAAATGGATCTCTCAGTTTTCATTTTCTCAATTTCTCATTTTCTTAAGTTATATTCAGTTTTCTACATTTCTGCATAAATTTGATTTAAAACAAAACCTCAAATGAAAATTCGTTCATTAGTGTGAACTCCGAATAAACACATGTCTATATGCAGTTTTAATTAATGTGCACGTTTTGGTAAGCAATTTCCCCTAATAGGATGCATTTTTCTGTTATTTCCATGAATAAATTCATTTTTTTTGCACACTTCCCCCAAATATAATGATTTTTTGTAAATATCATTTGGTTGGCGAACTGCATTCCAAAATTCGGATAAGTTTGCATTTTGAAGAATGGCTGTGTTTCAGTTCACTTTTTTTTTTTGGAAACTGAAAATTAGAAGGTTCACATTCAAATGCAAACTGTCTCCTCTAACCCTAGTTTAGAATAAGATGGGATGCTGGCTCAGTTGGTTAGAGCACAATGCTGATAATGCCAGGATTTCAGGTTTGATCCCTTTATGGGACAGCTACATATCCCTGCCTTACAGGGGGGTAGACTAGAGATCCTCTAGAATTCTATGATTCTATGACTTTCCCAGAGCCAATGGTTTGCTTTCACCTTCCAATCGCTCTGCTTCTATATTTCTTTCTCTGTATTCATTGCTTCCCAAACCATCATGTGATTTTAAAAAAAGAAAATAGGAATATGTACTTGCGTGTCTAAACAGATGACTAGCGACTAATAAATTCTGAACTACGGTAATTTAGAGTTTGTGGACTTGTAGGGCATACACACACATTTCATTTCATGCCTGAATTTGACCTTGCTTGGTCTTTATTTTTCCTCTTATTTAGCCTGAGGATTGTTCAGAGGCTGGGCCTGGGACTACCCTCCTGCTTGAACATTTTGCAGATGAGAAAGAACCCAAGAAAGAAGTGACTTGTGATTCTTCGAGCACCTCTCAGCTTCAGAACCATGGGACAGACAGCAGCCCAAAGACCTCTGAAAACCGACCCGTGAGACCTTACAGTTCTGTGCCTGACCTTACCAGACAGACTGCACCCCGCATCCGAGAGCAGTATAATTCCAATCCAGAATTGAGAAATACCATTAACAGCCACCATTCTGCAACAGATGTGAACTTTATATCTGGAGTAAGTAATCAAGTTGTGTTTCTGTTGTAAAATTACTGCTGAATTGGATCTCGTGCCTCACCATACAGCAAACACAGAACAGGCCTTTTGCCCTGATTTGTTTAAAAGCTTTTCCCTTCCGGCAGGAATTATTACTGGGCAACTTTAATATAATATATCTGAACAAATTGGCTTTTATTTGTTGCGTTTCGAAATGATGCATTTCTAGATGCTGTATATTTTGGGTTTTTTACTGTTAAGTGGGTGTGTAAGCAGCTAATGAATTATTTGGTGTATTTTTATATTATTAATAATAACAACAACAACAATCTTTATTACGGTCCAAAGACCAAACAAAATATTACAAATCAATACAGAGTTCATACAGCCTACCTCCAGGTTAATCAAGCATTTTGTTTAGAATATAGGGCTCGTTTGTTCTTGCAACCACCGATAAAAACTTTGCCACTGCCAACGTTCTAGCTTTTGTCCAGTCTTCCAGTAGGAACCTGACATAGTGAGCCTCTGATTTTCCCGGGAAAGGCACCAGCAAGGGTAGTATCAGTTCAGCCCTGGCCTGCTCATACTTCGCACAATGCAACAAAATATGATTTATGGAATCGATGTCTTGAGCACACGAGCAAAGTCTGTCCTGATAGGGAACTCCTCTCAACCTACCATCCAGCACTGCAGAGGGGAAGACATTTAGTCTGGCTTTGGTGAAAAGCCTTCGATAGTTAGGTACTGTCAGGTTTTTGATGTAAGATGTTAACTCAGAGACATACCCATATTGAACTCCTGCTGCCAGCGGACTACAGACTGCGTGTGATCGAGATCTCAGGTCACTGTGTGCATTGTCCCATAATCTTTGCTTTAAAACCTTTTGGGCGCCTTCATAACCCAGGTAATACAGTTGGGGGGGAGACAGACCAATAGAGGTGGCTTTTTTAGCCATGGTTTTCTGCCATTTGCTGACAAATTCCTCATTGGTCAAATGTTGGTACAGACCCTTCCCTAGATTAAACACTGAAATCCTGAGCCAATATTATTATATTAATAATATAAAGAGAAAGAAAAACTTCTAAAAGAGGGGCAATCCGTTTGGAAAAAACTCTTGATCAAATATGATAGGGGTCCATAGTCTTCATGTTAAGAACATAAGAAGGAGTCCTGCTGGATCCAGCCCAAAAGCTAATCTAGTCCAATATCCTATTCTTACAGTGGCCAACCAGGTGCCTTTGTGAAGCCTGCAAGAAAGACCTGAGTGCAGCAGCCAGGGTGGATTTAAATCAATTGATTTAAATCACAATTTAAATCACTAGTCAGTAAGCCTTGATTTAAATCATTATTATTTTTACAGAAAGACTCATTCTTCCTGGTATAAACTTAAAACAGTATTGACAACCAGATGAAGGTTTCATTTTTGGAACAATAAATTTTCAGAGTAGTTTTTACAGTTATATAAAAAATTACTGATTTGGTTATACTATTAGAAATCCATAGACCGATAATTATGGAATTATTGTGAGGTTTAATAAGCTAACTGTTTATATTTGGACAACTTTTCTGCTGTGCTTTATTGGAAGGAGAAAAACAATAATTTCCTTAACAACAATTTAAACAATTTATTTAACTCAAACAATAACATTATAGCATATGTATCCATGTTTTTTAACTGATGTGGTTAAACAATTAAAAAAAAACCTTAGACTGAGTTTTAGCACACATGAAAAACTTAAACAAATCATTATTCCCTGTAAATAGCCTTTGGACTATAATGTGTCTTAAATAGAAAACTATCTTTAGAAAGATTTTTCCTCCAAAAGCATTTTATTTTTAAAAATCCAATTTAAATTTTAAAAATCCAATTATTATTTTTTAATCATTGATTTTTACCCACCCTGGCAGCAGCACTCTCCTCATTTCTGTCAAAGAATGGGAAGAGGAGGAATGGTGGAGACCGCCTCCCCATCCTGACCCTTCCAGGGAGGAGGAAGAGGAAGACAGTATAGATTTACAAAAGGGGTTTGATGGAGGCAGCACCTCAGAGGCAGATGAAGGGGAAAGCAGGGAAATCATAGAGAGCCGGAACAACACCCAGCTGACACGTTGTCATGAGAAAGCATTCCAGACCCTACATCTCCCAGAACCTGGCGAGCCTCAAAAGTAGGAGAGCAAAGAGCTCAAAGACAGAGGGCATGTTGCAGCACTCGTAAAGGTGATGAATGAGTGGGAGAGACGGGTAGTGGAGATTCACTAGGGACAATGCCATTATACAAGAGGCTGGGTTCTATAGCCTCTCTCTGTAAAGACTGAAATAAAAAAGGATGGCAAGAAACTTTCCCTTTTCTTTATACTTTCCTGGGCAACCATCTGACAAGCCACTGACATCATCCTGACAATTTATCGCAATTCCCAGGGACTGCTATAAAGAAGCACACTATGTCCAACATTGGCTGTAGAACAGTCATCCCTAAACTCGGCCCTTCAGACGTTTTTGGACTACAACTCCCATCATCCCTGACCACTGGTCCTGTTAGCCAGGGATGATGGGAGATGTAGTCCCAAAACATCTGGAGGGCCGAGTTTGGGGATGCCTGCTGTAGAACATAGGCATCATGCCTAGTAGCTGCTGATAGCCTTGCCCTCCAGGAATATGTCAAATCCTCCCAAGTTATCTTATCGTAGAATCATAGAATTGTAGAGTTGGAAAGGACCCTGGGGATCATCTAGTCCAATCCCCTGCAAGGCAGAAATTTGCAGCTGTTCCATATGGGAATTGAACCTGCAACCTTGGTGTTATCAGCATCACGCTCTAACCAACTGAGCCATCCGGGCCGATTAGGAGTGAATTCCATAGTTTAACTTTGGGCTGTGTCAAATACTCCTTTCTTTTCTTTTTTTTTTGTCTTTCCTGATCTAACATTCAGCTTCTTTGGATGGTCCCAGGCTGCTCTTGTATTCAGAGGGAGGGAGGGTTGAGAAACTACATTGGTTCCAGGCATTGGTTCCATTTTTGCTTCTGCCAGGTATTTTTATCAGTCTGGTAGCCACCAACTTGGGGGACAAGGGTGGCACTGTGGGTTAAACCACAGAGCCTAGGACTTGCCAATCAGAAGGTCGGCGGTTCGAATCCCCACGACGGGGTGAGCTCCCGTTGCTCGGTCCCTGCTCCGGCCAACCTAGCAGTTCGAAAGCACATCAAAGTGCAAGTAGATAAATAGGTATCGCTCCGGCGGGAAGGTAAACAGCGTTTCCGTGTGCTGCTCTGGTTCGCCAGAAGCGGCTTAGTCATGCTGGCCACATGACCCGGAAGCTGTACGCCGGCTCCCTCGGCCAATAAAGCGAGATGAGCGCCGCAACCCCAGAGTCGGTCATGACTGGGCCTAATGGTCACGGGTCCCTTTACCTTTTACAACAAGGTACAGCACTATTTGAAGCTACATAACTGATCAAACCAGTAGAACACATGGCCATCCTAATTAAGAGGGTTTTTACTAATATGGGTGGCGCTGTGGGTTAAACTACGGACATGGGTGGCGCTGTGGGTTAAACCACAGAGCCTAGGACTTGCCTATCAGAAGGTTGGCAGTTCGAATCCCCATGACGGGGTAAGCTCCCGTTGCTCGGTCCCAGCTCCTGCCAACCTAGCAGTTCGAAAGCACGTCAAAGTGCAAGTAGATAAATAGGTACCACTCCGGTGGGAAGGTAAACGGTGTTTCCGTGCGCTGCTCTGGTTCGCCAGAAGCGGCTTCGTCATTCTGGCCACATGACCCAGAAGCTGTACACCGGCTCCCTCGGCCAATAAAGCAAGATGAGCACTGCAACTCCAGAGTCGGTCACGACTGGACCTAGTGGTCAGGGGTCCCTTTACCTTTACCTAGCCACCAACATGAAACTTAGGGTACTCACTCTTAAGTGCAAAAAGTCTAAGCCAGTGTGTGGCAACTGTATTATTTCCTGGGTCTCTAACAGCTGCGTTATCAGCGAGGTTGATTTGATGCTTTGGTTGTGTTTCTATGCCACTTTCCATTCAGATGAATCCCAAAGCACCTTAGGTCTGTCAGGCATTTGCAACAGGGACTCCGTGATAGCCCTTCCTTCTTTCCCTTGCCAGGTCCAGCCAACAGATGAGTTTGCAAAAGCGCTGTGCGGTAAGGAGAGCCCATGTGCTTCCAAATATTTTCCAGCAATGGCCCTTCCTCGTGCGAAGAGTTCGACGGTGACCAAAATGCCTTGCTGCAGAAGTCCGCCTATTAAGAACTTCCGTCCGTTTGAAGAACACTCCTTCCGGTTTCACGTCAGAGAAAACACAGCCTCCCCAAACTCAGTCACCCCGAGGATGAGAAGGTTCTATGGGAACAACAATGAAAAAGGAACCCTCTTGACCTCTGGATTCTTCAGCAAGCTGACTTTTGCACCAAAGGAAAGAAAAATCAGACTTCCCTTGCAGCAGCACTCTCATCACTTGGTCAGCCGAGCACGTGAGAGCCGTTTTCTTGGCATCCTGTCAGCGCATTGTATCTGTATCGTAAGGGGCAGCCCATCCATGGGGCTCCAGGCAAAACCATTTGCCCTCGTGCAGCAGATTTGCCCCCCCCGCCCTACACCCCCTCTCCTCCACCACCGTTGCACTGCTGCCAGTCCCCGCGCTATCGTCATGGCGCCATTGCCTTTACTGCTGCTTCTGTGCCCTTACCACTGCCACTGTGTTCATAGCAGCAAGCGCAGGTGCAGCCACAGGCATGGGCAGGGCTGGCAGCAGAGTGGGCACAGTCGTGGGAGCGTCGCAATTGGGGAGCTGGTGGCATTGGGCCGATTTTCCTACAGCAGCAGTATGCCAGCCCTGTCTGCAGAACATGCATAGATATATTGATCCAACAGAATGTGAGATGTTGTACAGAAGTGCTTGGTTGTTTTAAAATGTTCAGGATTTTGATTTCTTGGGTTTGGGGTGCATCCAAGAAGTTTTGCATGGGGGGAGGGGATAGGTGCTGCTTATTCACTACTTCCAGTTCACATCTTCCAGGTGTGTAGAGTGGTTCAGTAATAATAATATTATGATAATTTATTATTTATACCCCACCCATCTGGCTGGGTTTCCTTGCCACTCTGGGCAGCTCCCAACTGAATAATAAAAACATAATACAGCATCAAACATTATAAACTTCCCTAAACAGATGTCTTTTAAAAGTAAGATAGTTGCTTATTGCTTTGACATCTGATGGGAGGACGTTCCACAGGGCAGCCACCACTACTGAGAAGGCCCTCTGCCTGGTTCCCTGTAACCTCACTTCTCGCAGTGAAGGAACCACCAGAAGGCCCTCGGAGCTAGACCTCAGTGACCGTAGTGTTATCCCCCTGGCCACATGTCAGAGAAGAGCTGGTACAAGATCTGCGTAGGTTGTGGCAGATGGGGAGGACAAACCCAAGTCTCACCGCAGCTCATTCTTTGTAATGCCAAGCTGTGGTTCATACGCAGCTAGTGCGTTGAGCAATCAGGTCTTGGCCGCAGGAGCTAGGGATGTGAGGGAATTCCAATGGAAACAGAAACGGAAACAGAAATTGACAGTGTTTGCTTATTTGTCCCATGTCTGGAACGGAAATGAGTCCAGCAAATCCACGGCTTTTTTCAGCCAGAATTTACTGGAACTCAGTTCCAGCACCTCTCAGGTGGGCGCCATCACCATTATAAGAGAACAAGGGAGGCATTTGTGGTGAATTCCGGCACCTCTTTTTCTAGAAAAATAGCATTGGGCAAACTTGTTGGGCAATTCACTGTCGTTGCTTTCGGTTCATGATTGCTTATATTTTTCTTCTCATTTTGCATTGATCCCTTTGCATGGAAATGAATGGGGTGGAATAACATAATGACAACACAAGTTACATAATTCATTCTGTATCTTGTGTAAGTACTATAATTTAGGGTTGCCATATTTCCGACGTGGGTTGCCCAGACATTTTAAACGATTTTCAGAAATTCAGCCCGGACGCTGTTTGTGACAGATACAGGGCGGCACAGAAAATGGATGCCTTCTTACATCATTCTTCTCCCAGAAATAGAAGGAGTTCAGTAACACTGCAATGACTCCATTACATTGGCACTGCAACATCTGTGTAACTTTTCTCTCCGCCTCCAACTGGTGTTTGAGGCTATAAGATCAATTCTGACTCTGAATCTTTGCTCTTATGGAGACTCATACTGTATTAGGTCTGTTGTCTGTGCAGATAGATACCCTCTTTTTCTTTGTAGTGATGATGAGATGGGCAGGGGTGAGTGCAGGTGATCTCTTTCCTGGGACCCACAAAACGGGTGCCAGCTCTGAACAAACCTGGTAGATGATTGTGAGACAAAAGTAATAGGCAGGTGCCAGGTAGGTTATGTGGTTTTGCCTGTACTTGCTGGAGAATGTGCCTTATGTTGACTGAGGAAGCACCCAGGTTAGGAGCCCCATTGTGCTTACACATTCCATCTTATTTTCTTACCTGCTGTCAGATCCAGTAAAAGAAAACAAAAAAATATGGTCTGGTGATACTGCTGTGCAAATTCAATCGCAGCACATAAATCTTGGTTTTTGTGCTACACAGAAAGCGCCTCGCTCCCAAGAGAAATCCTGAGCTGCAGGAGCGCTTCGTACAAGAAGCCAACAAAATACTACAACCCACACCTTGTCACGCAAAGGCCGATGGTTCAGCAGCACAGCTTGCAAGACCTGCTGGTGATCTCGCGGATGAACAACCAGTCCCCCCAAAACAGCGACCCAATGTTGGAAGAGAGTTCTGTAAACAGGTAACTGGCGAGTGTGGCTGCCAGGTTTTCATTAGCAGAAGTTTAACATTTCTGAAGGTGCTGGGGAGAACCATAACTTTTAAAGCAAGTAGCTCGTTTTTTGTGAACCGCCCTGAGACCTCCGGGTATAGGGCGGTATATAAATTCAATGAATGAATGAATCATCCATTCAGTCAATGCACTCCAATCATCTTCCAAGACTGTGCATATACTGTACTTGGAGTGTGGGGTGGGGGTAGAATTTAAGCTTCTACACTAATACAAGAAAAACTGCTTTCTGATATGTAAACTATTTGCAAACCATGCATGTTAGGCAAATGTATGTACACTTCTTCATTTGTTTCTGCTTTCTTTGGAGAGAGGCAAGGATTGGGTTTTGGCCTTTAAACCTCTTCCTGAAAATTCTGCTCAGTTCTGAATTTTCGTTTCAACAGGCCTTTGCACGTCTAAGCTTTTGCATTTTTAGGGCTCAAAACATACTGTTTCTGAAAATGACATTGAGGTTCTCATAATGTTTACATTTCTGCACCCAGGTCCAAATCTTGCACTTCAGGGGAAGTATAAAGTTCATCAGAACCTTGTATAAAGCCAGGGGTGTAAATGTTGAAAATTGCTACTTATAGTAGCTATTTCATACAGAATGCACGTAATTCATACATGCAATTTTATAGGTAATCCAGACATTTCTGCCAGCCTGTTGCATTGCATTAGTTTCCATGTTGTCCTCCCATTTTTTTCTGAGACCTAATCTATGGTGATATTTTTTTAGTTAAAATGCAATTATAGTGCCATTCAATGACTGTGAGCAAAGGGCTATTGAGAGTACCCAGAACAATTCTCCCCTTAATTTTCCTCCTTGCCCCTTTCTTTTAAAAAATAGGCCTCTCAAACTCTGCCACTTTAATATTCAATCCTGAAATGAGCCTTTATCAGTCCATTTTTGTTCTGTTGCTCATTTATTGGTTTTTTTTATTTTTCTCTAGAACAAAAATAATAACAATGAGCATTTGTTTTTTCCAACAACAACAAAAAGATGGCAGCAATCTACAGCTCCCCAAATAGACTCTTTCAGGACCATTTCAGGAAGTAACTAATTAAAATGGCCGAGAAGTGGGCATTTGCAACTGTGGTAGTTGTTATAATAGGCTGCTGGTGGTCTTTGGGGCAAAATACTTGGTGCTGTTGTCTTTATCTTCCAGTTCTGTTTCCTCAGCATATCACTGTATTCTTCATTCCAGGGTCTGAGTGGATCTTTCACAGAGAACATGGGATGGTTCCTGGAGCCCGAAAGATGCTATTTTCTATTGAGGGGCATACGGAACCGTTTAAACTGTTCAGCTATATCCTTTCCAAGTGAATTCCTATGCAGCCAGCCTTTCCAAGAGCTTCCATGCAGCCTGTGAAGTTTGACTTGTAAAGATAATTGGGTCTTTTTAAAAAAAAAAAAAAAAGTGGCTCTGAGATAGTGGAAGCTCCTGACTTTCTGCTCCCTGTGGAAGTATGTGGATGGTTGTTTGCCAACTGGAAAATTCTCTTCCAAAAATTTCTTTGAAAACGAGAGCTATGTTAAGTGTCCACAGGGTTAGCATGGCTCCCAATCATACCTTCATCTTGATCTTACAAAGGTGTGTGGAGTCCTGCAGAGAAGGATGGTATCTCCTGCAGTGCATTTTGCAGATTGAATCTTAAGGACTGAGCTTGAGTGGCACATGGCCGTTGTGTCTGTTTCCCTTGATGTTTTGTGGGGGTTTTTTTGTAATGAGCATCTGCATCAGAGGCTACAACTGGAAGCAGAAATACGGGAGGAAAGTAGATACCTAATTCTTCTCACTCCAATTGTTTTCCCCACTATAAAAAAATCTTCTTTCAGCTGATTTTGCATCTGCAAAATCCTGTTTTCTCCTTACGGGGAAAAGGCTGTTTGGAAAGGACAGTTGAGTAGAAAAACAGCAGAAGGGAATAAGTCTAAGCAGTCCTTCCCCCTGCTTTCTTCTGTTCCCTATTGCAGCTCCCAAGGAGGTATTTTTTTTATATAAAAAAAATTTAATTCAGGGAGATATCCATGTCCTTTCTAGCTTAACTCTAAATTCCTCGGATTTTCCAAAGCAGTGTTACATTAGTAAACCTAGAGAAAAGTTGCAAAGAACAGACTGTTCACCAATCTCAATAAAGGCTTAAAAATGGCAAAGATTTGCATTCAAAGGGGTTTGGCTTCCCCCACTGGAATAAAAGTGAGTCCTGTCCACCTCTGGATGGTGTCTGCAACGTCTGTAGTTGTAAATTATTTGCTAGGGCTCCTGTGCTTTTCTCACAGTTTTCCTTGCTGTGGGTCGTATATCTTTGCTCCCAATTTAATTTACTTTCCTTGCTTCCCTGCTGCATAGCCATGCTCTCAGCGCTGTTTGGCGGGAGGAAGGCATAGTGAAGTTGCACTTAAACTCTCCACAGGCCCCAAATGACTTGCAAGGCACAAATTGGGCTGCCATATTCTTGGCATGAGATATGGGCCTGCTCGGAAAAGAAGTGCGGTGACTGCACAGCACAGACTTCGTTCTTTGGGACAAAGTCCCTGCAGTTGCATGTTTATCTTACTTTAAATGAAAGTTTATAGTCATGATTACTGGGAGGCGAGGGGCTGGGGCTTCCTGGCAGGACTGAGACTTCCTGGTAGTAGCAGAAAGTGTGATAAAACCTATTAACACCCAGAGCAGAAGAAAACACGGCAATAATGAATGTGTGCTTTTCCATGAAGTAATCAGGACATTCCACCTCTTTATCTTGTGGGCACTGCTGCCAACCATATCAAAGTCGACGGGGCACTTCAAATATACTAATGTATTTATAATATAATAATGACGGCCTGTATCTACTACACGTCAAGTGTAGCAACCGCTTCACTTACAGTGAAGCTTACAAAAACATAAGCCAAATATCACCTGTTGGATGTGTGTATTCTCAGGAGAAAGTGACAACTAACTTTCTGTATGCAGAATGTGAGATTTCTGCATTCTGCTCAGTTCCACAGTATGTGACCTCTAACCGCCATCTGTATGATGATTATTATTAGCACTTGTCCTGTGCCCCATAGTGCTCGCTCTATCAGACCAGGCCCTACCTAATAAAAAATAATTAATAATCCAGTACCAGAATGGGAACAAAATTTGCACTTTCTGCTTGACAGACATTGTTTATTCTGGTTGCAGAATTTGCCTTCTGGGCTTCTGTGGATCATACATTGGAATTTGCTTCGGCAGAATATGGTAAAATAAAGTATATCATAAATCGTACGGGTGCTCCACCAACAGCAGACAGAATTGGGGGCACTGGAATTACCAGCCTGGCAATCATAATGAGGCAGACCATATTTCCCATTAGGCCATATCTGTGCTAATGCAAGTTCACCAAGCATCTGTGAGGTAGCTACCCAAATGCAGAACATCCTTGTTGGATGTAGCACCCTGAAAACCTCATCTTAAAAGCAAGTTTGTACCCCCATGTTTGCAAATAAAAAGACTTTGTCCACTTTCTCCTCCGTTATTATTAACTAGCAAAATACCCATCATCGTGACCTTGATGGGGTGATGTGTGACTAAAAAGGTGTTCCTACAGGCAGAGCAAATCTTCCTTAGTCAAGGTCACCCACCCAATGTCAAGGGCAGAATTTGCCTCCATCGCTCTATAGATTGTTGAAAGGACTACATTTGTACCTTGGTTGTTGAATGCTCTGGAACTCGGACGTTTTGGCTCCTGAACGATCAAAACCCGGAAGTGACTGTTCCAGTTTCCGAATGTTCTTTTGGAAGCCAAACGTCCAACAAGTTATTTTGGAAGCTCCTGCAGCCAGTTGGAAGCCATGATTTGGAAGTCAAACGCTTTGGAAGTTGAATGGACTTCCGGAACGGATTCAGTTCGACTTCCAAGGTTTGACTGTACTGCAATGGTTGTGACATTTTAGTTGATCCTGATAAAAGATCAGGATCTCAGGTAGGTGCCATTGCCATTCTAAGAGAACAAGGAAGAAGTTCACGGTAAGCTCCGGCGCCTCTTTTTCTAGAAAAATAGCACTGCTGTTCCTGCTACCTGTCTGGGATTGCAAAATGGAAGGAGGGGATTTTCAAGCAGCTGGCAAGCCACAGTACGTGGGCTGCACTTGGCTCTGTGGAATCATAAATCATGCAACATGCTAGGGAATGTCACTTTGCGTAGCAGAGATGTCCACCACTGTAATTTACTTAATCCCCAATCCCAGAGTGAAGACAGGGTGAGGTGGCCATATCCAAAGGTGTAGGAAATTGTGGCTCTGTCTTTAAATGCCCTCTAGTTAAGAGACTGGAATGAGTTCATCAAGAGCAGTTAGGGTAACATGTTGTATAAATGGCATACCCTCCAAGTGTCCTGATTTTCCAGGGACAGTCCTGGAATTAAAGAAGCTGTCACAGTTTCTGATTTGATCCCGGAATGTCCCGGGTTTTCCTTTTTCCTCCCCTCAACGTCTCGGAGAACAATTAGGTATGTGTAGGTGCAAAAACAGAGTCCTGTTTCTACTGAAAGTAAAATACCTGCACCAAATGAAGGAAATGGTGAATCTGACATACAAAGCCCTTCCTATAATTTTGAAGGAAAATGTCACCAATCCACTTTAAATTATTTAATTGCAATGCATCAGCAGCCAGCAATTTTTAAGGAAATGCATGGAGCGTCGATTCCTTTATTGTAAATGGAGCCTTACACTGTCTTTTCAAAAGAAAGTCACACTGTATTCAATGGCGCTTACTCCCGGGTAAAGACATTGCAGTCCTAAACAGTTTTATTCAGAATTAAGCCCCACTGAGTTCAATAGGAATTACTCTCTAGTATGTTCCTGATCTTTCTCACAGTTTCTATTATTATTATTTTTCGACCTTTTCCCCTGACAGGGACTCAAAGCAGCTTACAGCTAAAATTCTATTTCATTCCATTTGTCTGTGGAAGCTGTTGTACACAATCCCTTCCCTTGCAAATTTTTTTCTTTACAACGATCCTGTGAGGTAGGTTAGGTGGAGAGGCTGCAATTGGTTCAGTGTGACCTTGTAGATGTTTATATGATGTCTGTGAGTGCAGGAGACACAATGCGGGAGAAGTTTCCTAATGTGGAATAGGATGTCCCTATTTTCATTGGAGAAATGCTGGAAGGTATAAAATGGGCCCCTGGCTCCATAGCATTCTAATTTTTCTGGGCCGTCTCACGACTGCAGCACAACCCATGCTGTCACGCCGTGACCTATCTTGATAGTTTTATCGGCTGCCGCAACAGCAATCCTGTTTGAGGGCCAGACTGTCGGGCCGCTTGCTTCCTACGCATCCCGAAGGGCGAACAAAAGAGTTAATTCCCCTTTCCAGTGATTAACGTTTAATGACGGAGCCGGGAGAAAAATCATGCGACTTCCAGTCTGAATGATCTCCAGCAAGCTCTGAGTCAGCAAAGATGGTGGGGGCTGGGAGACCAATAACAAGCGACGCGCCGAGGAAGAGTGTGTTCCAGGAAAAAGAAGGCTGCTGTTGCATCTTTTAAAGGCCAGCGACTTCTGTGTTCTTCCTCTGGCGCCGCTGAGCCACAAGATGGAGGCAGCGCTGAATGGCCAGGGTGGGCCTACCTTCCCATGTTGTGAAGGCATTATTATTGTCTTGGGCTTTTCTCCTCCTCCTCCTTGTATAAAAGACTCCCTGCTGAGATAAACCGAACAACCATTGTCCGTCCGTCTTTGATGTGTGTATTTTAGAAACCTTTCCTATAAAGTTCTCTGCCCTGAAGGCTTACCTCATATGACCACAGCCTCATCCTGCCTATAGATAAAGGTTTTATTGGGCTTTATTCCCATTATTTTTGTCGTTTGGGCTCGGTGGCGTTGTTTCAAACACATTGGTAGGATTTATTTTTTTACCTGGGGCAAATCAGCTGTATGCCGAAGGAGGGAATAGAGGCATCTGAATGTTTCTCCCTGTAATCCGTCACAGAACTGTAAGCCTTGGATGCTTCTTCTCCAGCCAGAGAACCTTCCAAACCAACACTCCTACCTGGTTTTGTTGCTACAGTGACAACTGGCTGGATATTATCTCTCTACACACCTGTTTTCTTTGAATTCAGTGCCCTTGCACTGCTGATTTAGGAAGCAAGTGTACACATTCTGTGTTAGCCACAATCCGTATCTATACAGTGGTACCTCAGGTTAAGTACTTAATTCGTTCCGGAGGTCCGTTCTTAACCT